ATGCAATCTAAGAAGTGTCGATATCGAGCCTGTTCATGAGGTCTCTGTCCGAGGACGTGGTCAGTGTGTATGGAATCCCATGAAAGTCCCCGGGTCGCTTCGCGTACCCACACTTCGCATACGCGCGGGCGCTTGCAGCCACCGCGCCCCTTCTTCCCGGATACCCACCTCGTCCAGACCGTTCTCTGCGCAGTTCTTCGCCCATGCTCAGCAGCGTCTCCGTAAGACGTGCTCCCCCCGCTCTTCTCCGAGCGCTGGGCCCGTTGGGGTCCCCGTGCGCACAGAGCAGCAGGTTACTAACGACGCTCCCGGGTCAGGACCACTCCGCGTGCGGCATTCGTACGACCCGACCCAGGTCACCGTCTCCGGCGTCGACACTGTCCTTCCCAGCCTCTGAGCGTAGAGAGAGACATCAAATGTAAACTGTAGCAAATAGACTGGATAGGCGAGATTTGGACGTCTACGCGGGGATGGACTTGGCAGCGAACCACGACGACGGGCGGGCGGCTGGCTGCGGCTGCTGCGGTGCTCGAGGAGACGGAGACGGTCGGCGATTGTTTCGTTCGTTGGGTAGGTTATTAGGGGTATAGTTAACTCGGAGGCCATGGTAGAGACACTGGTCTGCGCGGGCACTCAGGCAAGTCGTTTCCGCACTGCGCTCGTTCCATTGCTCACAGCTATCCACACACAGTGTATACTACTAGGACATCCCGCCCTTGACGTCTCGAGCTCTGCGCCTAGTACACGCCCGCCGCCCGATTTCGCGCACAACCCGAGTGCTCGCCAAGAACCACCCTCGCGCCGATTCCCGTGTTCTACAGCCGCGATCAAGATCAGTTTCGAGCCGCGCAAACCGGCAAATCTTCGACTCACGATGGTGCATTCGGGCCTGTTACGTCTGCCGCTGGCGTCGACAGGCGGGTCTTCCGAGGCGGTCACTGATCTTGCATTTCTGTATGTACGCGTCCGGCCCCTTTGCTTCATTCCGCACTGACAGTTTCCCGAGCAGCTCGGGACGTTCGCGATGATGAAAACCCGTTCTGGAAGAGGTCGGGGCCTTCCCTCGTCGCTTCGTGCGCCTCGCCGTCCTGCGCGCGACAGTCATTTCATCGTCGTGCGTCGGCGACGTTGCGGAGTCCAACAGCGGCTATAAAGTACGACAATGCGTGGCTGCGCAAAGAAGACGCACTCGTATCCGGACGGCGGCGCTCTTCGAATGCGAACTCGCCGACAGTCAACGCCGTCAATCGCCTTGCGGACCTCCCCCGCGGATATCTCCCCGCGCTCGCCCCCTGTCCTAGACGCCTGCAGTAATAGCAGCCCTGAAAGTGAGTCCACGCCCCATTGACTGGAAATGTGCGCTCACCATTCATCCCGCAGGCTCTCCTGCGCTGCTCTGTTCGTGAAGGAGTGCCCGCGTCGCTCGCGATCTACTCGACATGGCCGTCGCGCGGCTGCAACGCGACACGACGCGGTCTCCGCGCGGTGCAGGCCGAGTTCGATACAGAACTGGTCAGCAGCCACTTTGACTTTGAAAGCGGTCGCGCGGCTTACCGTGGAAAAAATCCTGCAAACAGACCGCTGCGCTGGAGCCGACTATCTGCGGCAGCTGACGGCGCGACGGGGACGCTCTTGCGCAAACGGATGCCCCGCTCAGAATCCTGCCACGCGGCCGCGCACAAGCTCCCTCCCGCAGCGTTCACGATACAACCAAGAGCGCTCCCCACGCACCGGAGCGCCATGCGGCGCGGTTCCGGCTCTGCATTCGCCATTCGGCAATGGCCATCGTTGAGAGGATCGCGAAAACTGTAAGTTACGTCAGTCTTTGGTTCGCCTGTGCTTCCATCGTATCCCACTCACCTCGCCCGTTCTGTCTTCAGACCTGAAATACTGCGGACGCTCGCTCCTGGTACCCGCATGCGCAAAACGTCTACGTTCGGCGTTCTAGACTCCCAGAACACAGGGAGTTTACCCCGAGACTCCGAGCCTCAGGAAGACGAGGTCCGAGCCCGCATTTTGGATGCTGCCTCCTTCTATCGCAAGACACGCCCGCGACGGCAGGCTCAGCTTCGTATGTACCGATACCTCGCGCGGTATCTAATGCTCGAAACGACTGTAGGACGTCAAGGGTATCTGGTGGACGCCCACAGCGTCCAGGTAAGTTCGCGCGACATCCGTAAATTGTACAAGACTCATGGGAATCACCTCTTCTTCCTAGAGATCTAACTTTACCACCTATGTGGACGGACAAAGTCCTCGCGTCGTCTTGATGCGGAGATAGCGCGCCGGCTGCGCGCGAACCTTCGGTTGCACTCGCCAGACATCCCGCACCCTGCTGCGCGCGACGCATGCTGCCAGGATAGGCCCTCGCGATCGCGTCCCAGCCTACGCAAAGGGAGGATGAGCATGTCCTATTCTCGCGAAGGCGGTGTCTTACCTCTGGTCCGAAACCTTACAACACCAGTCGCCGCGCCAATACCCTCCATGCACGCCACGCCACTGTTGGCTGTCCCGAGGCCGATTGCACCCGAAATGGCATCCCTCGGCCATGTCAGTACGTCGCATTATCTTGTAAGCAAACTGCGTACTTACGAATGCGACAGCTTGATTCGTCACCGCGTGCGGGGCATGGCGACCGCGAGTTTCACTCGGCAGCGTCCTTGGCGTGTGTGCGACTGCATGCACGCCTACGCGCCCACATCGTTTCATCGCGTGCGCGAGTTGCCAATGACTGTCGCGTGGGCTGGGACTGGACGCTCATCTGTCGTTTCTTGCGCTCTGTGAGATGTGTAAGTACTTGGGACGCTTGCAAAGCAGAGGCAGCATACTAACACACCTCGAGAAACAGCTTCGACAATTCTGTGTGTGCACGGCTCGCAGGCGTGTCCGTGCGAATGCGGCCTCGGCCAAACGCGGGGCAATGGGGGAAGTACTTGCCGCCACCGCTGCCATCGAAGGCGCAAGGTGTCCGGTCCCACATCTTGAATAAACGAGGTGACGAACAAGGCGAGTACGTGCACGAGAGGCTGAGCACGTTCTGTCCGGCGTTGGTAAGACAGAATTGCGTGGGAGGAGGAGCAAAAGGGGCGTCAGCGAGAGGTGCCTACGAGAAGCTGTTCGGAGGACGGGAGCGGTCGGTGAGCATATTTCCGTTATGACCACGTGTGTACTCGAATGACACACACCGTACTTGTCATAGAACCACATGTTGGCGGCAGCGGGAGAATTCGCTCGCCAGGCAAATGCAAGTGTCTGCGAGAGAGGAGATCGGTGCGGACGGCGGAACACGAGTGGTCGGAATGCGGCGCCAGGAACATGGCCCGGAGTTGCAGGGATAGTACACCGTCACCGCCGCCAGAAGGCGATGCGGAGGGTGGTGGGTATGGCGGAAGCCGTCGACTCTGGCCCCGAAGCGGTATGCTGCTCTCCTTCCAATTACGAATTGTTCCACCTCTCCCCCAACTGTTTCAGGGCACAATATCCGGCCGCTCTTGCATCCCGGTGCACGCAGCAGGAAATTCATTCCCTGTCCACAGCTTTTAAGCAGCACCGCTTCGCCCTACCGCATCAATGCCGGTGGACCCCACCCGAAGACTCGGTAATTAGGTATGGCCTTCTCGGATGCCTGTGAGCTTCCGTGCTTGCAGATTGTGTAAATCTGGGACTGGCCGCTTGGGCATTCCTGAATTTCCACACCCCGCGGGCTCGGAATATCCAGCATCCACTGTCTTCTTATCAATCCAGTCCTGCAGTATACTAAACCACACAGAGTGTGATCCAGTGTGTGAATCTCTTAGTACACCCAGCCTACAATGTGCACCGCCCGTACTCTCAGTAAACTCTAAGCCGTGTGAATCAAGTGTGAATATTTTGAATGGGATGTCAGCTTCGCAATAGCTGAATGATGCTTGCAGTGAGATCCATGATGGCTGTTTCTGTGCACACCGTTTCAAAGCTCTCCGATCACAGCATTGCCTGGGTAGTGGGCTTCAAGTGAAGCGGCATGCCATGCCAACGGTGTCAAGCGAAGGCTCGCTCACTCGACAACGTCCGACGGAGCGCCGCACACTCATTTCCCAGGCAAGTCTCACACGCCCGGCGGCGCCGTCGGCGGGTAGCATATCCATGTATTGACACACCCGGGTAGCTAATCATGGTAGTCGCTGTCGTCTGCGCCGTCTGGGACGATGAGTGCAGACTTGATTGTGTACGGCCCCAGCCGCTTCGACCGTGTCGCAGGGTCCCGCCGCCGTCCCCTGATCAAGCCTGCATCAGCGCGCCGCGGCCGCGCCGTGCGCGCGAACAGTCCCACAGCCTCGAGCCGCTCCATCTCCTCTGCGCCCACCTCCCGGAAGCGTGTCGTGCCGACCTTCCAGCGCAGCCAGAGCAGTTCGAGCCGCACGAGCGATGATGTCGCTCCGCTCAGATCGCGGAACGGGACAAGCTCGTGCGGCCAGCCCTCGATGCACACGCCGTGCCGTGCGACAATGTGCGACCAGTATGTGCCCCAGTGCATTGTCGCGGTGTCGTCCTTGCACGCTGCGCCTGCAGAAGGTCAGTGTCTGGTATGCGGCGCGCGAGTGAATCGCGGGGACGTACGGAGGCGTTTGGTGATCATCTTCCTGATCTTTCCCTTCGTCCAGGTGACTTTCTGATCGTAAGACATTCCTGCAGGCCATGTCAGTGAATAAGAGCATGGCAATGGCAATGGAATTGAGAATTTACCATCTCGCGGTGAGGGGTGCGCGCGCCCTTCTTTGCTTACATTTCGAGCCATGGTGTAGCGGCGGAACAACGTGCTCGCCCAGGCCTCGTACTTATTAGCTCCCACCTCTGCACCGTCCTGCCCGCAAATTCAGCGAGTGTTTATTTCCGCAATAACCGGTGTACCCCCGCAATGAGATCCTCTGGGACGGCGCACGCCGCGGAAGCGCAAGCATCGAGGTTGTGCCGAGGACGTGGTGCCATCGTACTGCAGCTGAGATCTGCATGCACCGCAAATCTCGCTCCCTCGGATATATGAGCTGTTCGCATGACCGCGTGCTCGTGGCGCGGTCTCTCGTGGCCTGACTACGATCGGCATCGGGTTCTGGCACTCGAGAATGCTGCGGTGCACGTCGAAGCTTGATTACCTCGGATGCGAGCGAACTGAAACTTTGGGACAGGTGTCGTCGAAGGCGCACCTGGTTCGAACAAGTGTACATTCCAGATACAATGCCAGTCTGCGCACAGGAAGTCCAACGAGTCAATCTCGGACCCTCGCGGCATGCAAAGTCATTGCCGTCTCAAAAAAAACCGGCGCCGTGCACAAACGAGGGCGATCGGACTCGCACATCGGCGCAAGTTTCCCTGGACATTCCTGGGCAGGGGTGCAAGCGTCACGCACGAGCCGACATTGCGACGCATTCCGCGCCGGCTGCACGACCCGTTGTCCTCGGACCTTCCTGATTTTCACTGCGCACGCCCAGGCTGCTTCCTGATCGTAACACGTTCCTGCACGACGGGAATGGGGATGGGGATGGGAGCGAGCGCCAAGAACGTACCGTGCATCCACGTCCACAGCTTTGCATGTGTTTGCAAGCCGTCCACTTGATCCACCGGTCTCCTCGGCGCGCAGCGCGGAACGTCGCAAGATGAGTCATTTCTGCGACGAGTTGTGAGGACTCCGCCAGGATGGCAATGGTACGTCGTTCAGCGTGTACCGCCGAGGCAGTGGCAGCTGAGCCTGACTCTTGAGATCGGTGTCGTGTGCGCAAGTCTTGTCGTTTTCGGGACGCGTGCGTGAAAGTCGCGCACTCACACGGGCGTGCTCACTGATGACTCCTGCGGATGTGCGGACGAGTTCCTGTGCTCGAGAACGAGCTGATCGAGTCGATCTGTCAGTGAGTAGCATTGCTGCACGAAGACACCCGTTCAAACGAATGTGCACACCGTCGGCGAGCACGAAATGAGCTCTATCGTGTGCGGGACGAGTCGAGGCTCACAGTGCACTCTGCCGCCGCCTCTGCCACTGCACCGAGCACAGACGAACGCGATTGAGCCCGCCTCGCCGGTCTGACGGATCGAATTTCTGCTACGACACACGTAGCGACGATGTGATGCATTCCGCACCGGCTGCAAGACCCGCTGCCCTCGCATCTTCCGGATGTTCACCGCGCCCGCCCAGGCCCCCTTCCCATCGTGACGCGTTCCTGCACGACGCGAGTGAGCGCGCGGCGACGAGGATGGGGTTGGGGTCGAGAACGTACCGTGCGCCCGCGCCCGCGCCTTCGCGTGCGTTTGCGAGCCGTGCCGACCGTCTCGTCCGCACCCCCCTTGATCCACCGGTCTCATGGGCGCGTCGCGGAGCATCGCGGAATGAGTCATTTCTGCGACGATCTGCGAGGACTCGTCCGGGATGACGAAGGAGTGTCGTACCGACCAGGCGGTGGCAGCCGAGCCTGAGAGCGGCGTTATGCATGCAAATCTTGTCGTCTTCCAGATCCGGGCGTGAAACACGCACTCACGCGGGTGGGCTCACCGTTGACTCCTGCGGGTGTGCGGACGTCCAGCACAAGTTTCTGTGTTCGGAAATGAGTTGCTGGAGTCGGCCTGTCAGCGGGAAGGGCCAGTAGCATTCCTGCACAAAGACGCGGCCGTTCAGACAAACGTGCACCGTCGAGGAGCACAAGATGAGCTCTATAGTGTCTGGAATGAAACGAGGCTCGCAGCGCACTGTCTCTGCCGCTCGAAACACCGTGCGTCGACTCGGAGCACCGACAAACGCGATTGGGCCCGCCTCGCCGGCCTGACGGGACCACACTTCTGCTGCAGCGCCAGTGTCCGCGAGCCTCCGTTTCGAGATCGTTTTGCTGCTCGCCCCTGCGCTGGCTGTAGTTCTCGTCGCCCTCCCGATCGAGCGCAACGCTCGTGAGCACGCGTAGGCGGCGTCCCTGTTGTCCACTCGTAAGTCTCGAAAGTCGATCTCCCGAGATGAGCCCCTCACGGTCGCGAGCGCCACAGATCTGACTCGGAAGTGTAGTCATCGAGGACGCGCGCACACCCGAGTCCCAACGGACTCACGAAACGCCACAGCGGAGGCACTTGTTCCTGCTACGAGCACAGCGGTGCGACCGCACCAGCCCCACATCTCCGCCGCGCCGCGCCGCGCGCAAATCGTCTGATCGCCCCGTCCACCGCGTACCGCGTACCGAGTCGGGCGCCCCGCCAGTCTCCAGGGTCGTCCACCTCCGCGCCCCAGCTGTCTGCAGTCGCGTATGTGCACCCTCAAACGCCACCCTCGAAACGCGAGCCGAGGGCGCGGCCTGCGAAATTCCGACGGTCGTGCTGGGCGACGGCGATTGGCAGGCGGGCTGCGGCGGGCGCGGGGATGAGGACGGAGAGGTGGGGCGCGGGAGGGCGTGGGGCGAGTCGCTGTACGCGAGCAGTCGGCTGGGCGGGGCAGATAAGAATGGGCGCGGGAGGCAGGACGAGACATCGCACTCTTCCCCCCGCTATCCGTCTCCTTCCTTGTCTCACCCTCGACGATGCACGGGATTCTGTGCTCGCCGTGTCGTCTATGTCGGCCGCTGTGCTGCACGTCCTCGCCGTCTCGTTTCGACACGAGCCGCCGCACGATGCGGGTGTGATACGGTACGTGTGCGCACTCGTCTTGTTTCGCCTCTGACAGTCGTCGCAGCAGGCCTGGTGCACTCGTACACACCGGCTGTGCACACCACGCGCACACCACCCACGGCGAGATTCGTCTCGGCTTCGCATGGCTGGTCTGATTCTCGCGTCACGCACGCAGGGACAGGTGCAATATCGGAACACGCAGCCCAGAGCGACTTGCTCGTCTCGTGGTGAGTCCGCGTGTCCTCGTATCGCCTTTGCATGTCTCTGACGCAGCGAGTGTTCAGTAATGAGATGGCGCCGGTCGCCGCGGGCGAATCCCGTCGGGGAACGTGAGGGCGGCTGCGCGGTCGCCATGATGCTTTCCGCACCCCGTTCGCGTGCTCGAGATGACGAGGGTGCGACGCGGGGTGCAGGCAGCCGTCAAGTACGAGCCGAGGGCCAGCAAGGCGGATAGAGGCCGGCCGCGCGACGAGCTTTACAGGAGCGCATGTCCTAAACACATGGATGCCGAAAACAAGCCACTCACAGTAGCGGGGAGGCGCGGCGGAAAGTGGTGTAGATGTACTTTTGGGTACTCATGCCGGGGCGCGTCCGTAGGAATGATTTAGCCATCTTGACGCGTCGTCAGTCGCGTGAGTTGAGCGTACGCACAGTCGTGGACGTCAGAGTGCTAGCGCTAGTCGAAGTCGAAGAGAGGGTAAGCAAGCGGTAAGAGAGATGGGTACGAGATCTGGGAAACGGCCGGTGGCGGAGGATGTGTCTCCCGTAAAGACTAAGAGGAGTGTTGTATGTACAGAGGAAACCAACATCCAGTGGGCGAGAGCGAGAAGCCGGGGGGCCTGCGAGAGCGCGAGCAAAGCAATTGCAATTCAGCACGTCAGCGGGAATGTGTGGAGAACACCGCCACCGCCTCGCGTACGTAGGAGACGCGGCAGGCGAGACGGGCTTGGAGTAGCGTCGTCGGGCGGCGGCCACGGGCATTAGTAGAGAGCGACGGAAGAGCGCACGCAGGCAGAGCGAGGCATTGAAAGAGAGGAGCGAGCAGGCAGAATCGCGGTTCACTGTGGGAACGCGCGCTGCCGGGCGCCTATGAAAAGCGCATACAGCGACCCTGGGCCCCTCCCTCCTCCGACGCCCTCTCTGCTCTGCAACGCCGCCATGACGCGCCCCCTCGATCGTCCGCGCGAACCGGAGCCTAGGGCAGCAGGCGCTCATGGGAGGCTCCCTGGGCGCGTGATTGTCCTAACAGGATCCATCTCTTCCGACTCCGAGCGCAAGAGGTAGCGCGGGCTTTATTCAAGCTCTCTTGTAACCACCATCTTCTAGGTTCGAAGGCTATCCTGAGTGCCGTAGGTTGTGCGGACCAGATAAAAACCAGTGCAATCATCCGACAGACGTAGCGGTACGCTGATCCCACAGAACACACATCGGCTACCCCACCTCGGGCTTAGGAGTCACACTATGGCTGCACCTCGCAGACCTACCGTAGAAGAAGAGGATCTAGACGATTTGGATGGTATGTCCCAACCCATACCGATATGTCTCTATACATCCCGACTCACACGACCCAGATGTCCTGGAACAGTTCAGCGCGCCGCCACCAAAGCCCCCAGCCAAGCCCGCCCCCGCATCCACCTCCTCATCACAAACACCACTCGCCAAGGATGCACCCACCAGCGCGCCCAAGGCGGTCGACCCATTCGGGCTCGGGGGGCTAGACGCGGACTTCGCGGCGGAGCTCACGCGCGGGATGGAGTCCCTCTTCAAGGACATCGCGGGCGGCGCGGGGCTAGACGGCATCCCGGACCTGTCGGAGGCCGAGGACGGCACGACAGACGAGGAGCGCGCGAAGGCGTTCAAGGCGGCGTGGGAGGCGATGCTCGTGGAGGGCATGGATGGCGCGATGTCGGCGGAGGACGTGTCGGACAAGGGGAAGGCCGCGGAGGGCGCTGCGCCGGGTGTGGGCGCGCCGACGGACTCGTTCCAGGAGAATATCCGGAAAGCTATGGAGCGGATGAAGGAGAGCGACCGAAAGGTAGGCGTTGTCTATCGCCGCTTAAGTCTCGCCGCTACCAATGGGTATTGACGTGAAAACTGTAGGCGGACGAAGCCACTTCGACTGGGGATGGCTTGGACGACATTTTCAGTAAACTCGGGAACGGCGTGGATGGCATGGAGTCGGAAGAGGAGCTCCAAGGGCTGCTGGAGAACATGATGTCCCAGCTCATGAGCAAGGCGGTCCTCTACGAGCCGTTGAAAGAGCTGAGCGACAAGGTGTGTCAGGAGTTCCAACTCGACGATGACACGAGGCTCACGCAACTACCTGCAGTTCCCTTCATATTTGAAGGATAATGCAGCGACGCTCAGCGACGAAGACAAGACACGCTTCGCCGCACAGTCCAAGGTGGTCGCCCAGATCGTGGCGACATTCGAGGACCCAAGCTATACAGAAGACGACCCGGTAAAGGGACTGAAGATCGTGGAGCTCATGCAAGAGGTGCGTGTAGCCTCTATCTATGCAGCGGATCTCATAGTCTAACGAATGCATTTGACATAGATGCAAGAGCACGGCTCGCCTCCCGCCGAAATAATGGGGCCCCTTCCCCCAGGGTTCGACCTCGGGGCGGATGGGCTACCGAAGGTACCAGAGGGGTGCACTATTGCGTGAACCGAGGCGTCGCGGCGATACCCGAGCAAATGAAAACCGGCAGACATCGTGTATGATTGGTGTAGGAACAACAGTACAGCGAACATGGCTAATGCTTTCCATCCACGCCTACCGTCCGACGGTACCTGAGGCCTGCATCATTGAGCGTACGTGCGCGAACGCCGAGATACCAGTCAGCCGCAGGCATGACTGCACGTGCAGCGTTACACATCCTCGCAGCCGGAGCAGCAAATACACCCGACCCACATCGTCCCACTGCATCTGTGCAACATACCGTGCATGTGAGTAGTTTGCTCAGCCGCTGAGTCAAACGTCATGCCACTTTCACGGTATTCGTGCGGTATGTTCCTCTGCTCCGCATGCGAGCTTCGGCGCCCCGCATGCAATCTAAGAAGTGTCGATATCGAGCCTGTTCATGAGGTCTCTGTCCGAGGACGTGGACAGTGTGTATGGAATCCCATGAAAGTCCCCGGGTCGCTTCGCGTACCCACACTTCGCATACGCGCGGGCGCTTGCAGCCACCGCACCCCTTCTTCCCGGATACCCACCTCGTCCAGACCGTTCTCTGCGCAGTTCTTCGCCCATGCTCAGCAGCGTCTCCGTAAGACGTGCTCCCCCCGCTCTTCTCCGAGCGCTGGGACCGTTGGGGTCCCCGTGCGCACAGAGCAGCAGGTTACTAACGACGCTCCCCGGTCACATGACCAACGCCTGCTATAAAGCATCTTTTCCCCGCACCCGCTCGTCGATAACAGCTGTTCAGACTAGGACTGCTATCAGAACACACACGCCGTCTATCTCCACCAGAACATACGCATCGAACGCCATGTCTGACATCAAGATCCAGGTCGGCGACACCATCCCCCAGGGCACCTTCAAGTACATTCCCTACTCGCCCGAGCTCGAGGACCACTCCGCGTGTGGCATTCGTACGTGATACGAACCCCGATTCACGCGATGTGTCGATCTGACGTTAATTTGGACCATGTAGCTATTCAGCTCAACACCGATGAGTGGAAGGGCAAGAAGGTCGTCCTCGTCTCCGTGCCTGGCGCGTTCACGGTGCGTCCCCGTTTTGTGGTTGGCCTCTATAAATTCAGTGCCGCTCTCAGGGATGCCTTCGCGACGGGTAGGGCATCTCTGAGAGGGCACTGTTAGTCCCGCTTGAGGTCGTATCTCAGGACTGCATACGGAACTATCGGCATCGCCACGATGATGCCGACTTCCCCATTATCCACTGTGGTTGCTTTACGCCATACGTCAGGAAGCACACACCCCCATGCTCGATTCTCCCCGACTGTCGGGCTCTTGATCTCCCACCAGTCTATCATCTCCCTTGTGCAATACTTAGGACACGTCGCTGACTGCTCAACGCTCTTACCAATGTAGCCCACGTGCCACGCGAACCACCTGCCGCCGTTCCTGCAGAAGTACGACGAGTTCAAGGCGAAGGGTGTTGACGTGATTGCCGTCATCGCCGCCAACGATGCGTTCGTCCTCAGCGGCTGGGCGCGCTTCCTTGGCCTCAAGGACAAGGTAACCATTTTAACCAATTCTTACTTTGGGCGTCGCTGAAATGCTCCATAGATCATCGCGCTCTCTGACGCTAACGCGAAGTGGTCGGCGCAGCTTGGCCTCTCGCAGGACCTGTCGGCGGTGGACTTCGGCACCCGCACGAAGCGTTACGCGCTTATCATCGACGATCTCAAGGTTACCTACGTAGGCGTTGAGACCGAGCGCGTCGTGTCTGTCTCCGGCGCTGACGCCATCCTGGCTGCCCTCTGACTGGCCCAGCCCTCGCCCTCCTGTGGCCGACTGTAGACAGCTATATCGAGGATGTAGGATAGAATAGCAACGAAAGCATATTACTGCGATGTAACATGAGAGTCTCAGCATGGTGGCGTACGCGCCAGCTGCCAAGGCCGCGGAATCTTCCCGAGTCTCTCTTCCATGTCCATGTTTTCCAAATTCTCCACATGCGCGACCAATGCGGTACACGGTATGCACCGGATGTCGCACGCGGCGCGGTCGATTGCACCACCATGAGTGTTCGCACCACCCGCGCAAGGCGACAGCTGCCAGCGACGACAGCGCAACATCGATAACACGACAAGGTCCCCCGATGAGGACGGCGACATCAGACGTCGACGCAGCATTGTGAGTTCTGAACAACAGAAGCCCGCGCACTCCCCCGCGAAGCCACGGTGCCCTTGGAGCGGGCGCGGGCGATATGATAACGCAATCTGAGCCCCGCGAATGGGCTTCAAGCCGCAGCAGAGGGTCACCAAGACCGGAATAGGGCGTGCGCAAGGGTGCCGCAGGTGTCAGGGTCCACGGATTCTGAGCGCGCGCACGGTATATAAGGATCGGGGGCCAAGTGCGCTCTCAGACACATCCTCCCACCCACCCCCATCCCTCGACACCACCCCCACATACAAATTCGCAATGGCCAGCATCAAAGTCGGCGACGAGGTCCCCGCGGGCACCTTCGTTCACGTCCCCTACACTCCCGAGCTCGCTGACGGCAGCGCGTGCGGTATCCGTACGTCGATCTCGCGCGATCGTCCCCTCCCCCTCCATCACTTAACATTTACGTCTTCGCAATAGCCTCTAAGATCTCTACCGATGCGTGGAAGGGCAAGAAGGTCTTAATCTTCGCCGTCCCCGGTGCCTTCACGGTATGTCCCCGCCCCCGCTACGCTGCATGCATGCATATGCATACTAACCGTGATGTGTGATAGCCCTCGTGCCACGCGAACCACGCACCCCCGTACCTGGCGAAGGTCGACGAGCTCAAGTCCAAGGGCGTTGATGTCATCGCGGTCCTCTCCTCGAACGACCCCTTCGTGCTCAGCGGCTGGAGCCGCATCCTCGGCTTCGAGGACAAGGTCAGCGTGCATGTTCATCCCGAAAAGCTCGGTGAACTCACATGGGAGCATATGAAATAGATTCTTGCGCTTTCTGACCCGGAGACTGCGTGGACGTCGAAGCTTGGCCTCACTGTCGACCTGACCGGCGCGGGCATCGGTCTTGGCAAGCGCACCACGCGTTTCGCGATCCTCCTCGATGACTTGAAGGTCAAGTACCTCGGCGTGAGTATTCATATTCGAGGGCGATTGCGCGCATAGTTTGCTGACTGTGAAACAGGTCGAGCCCGACCCCACCCAGGTCACCGTCTCTGGCGTCGACGCTGTCCTTCCCAGCCTCTGAGCGTCGAGTTTATATATCCACACATGAAATGTAAATCTGTAATAAATAGATTGTATTTTGAGTTGCTCGTCATACTTCGCACATATACCGGGACACGCGGCAGTCTTCGAGACGAAATATGTGGAATTCTCGTGCTGGATGACCACATGAGGAGGCCGTGTACTGGAGACAAACGTGTCATATAAACCGAGACGTGTTTCAATCGTTGCTGATATCCATGTCGGAACTGCCAGAGTCGTCGATCGCCATTGTCATCCCATCGATTCCGAAGGTTATCTCCTCCGAATGCACACTTTCCTCGTCCCGCGTCTTGCTCTGGCGTAGACGGCTGAAGGCGTACGTGCCTCTGTTCCCCGGGTCGGCCATGATGGGGTTATACCGCGGCATAACAGACGCAGGGGAGTTCACCGCCGCGAGCGCACGCTTCTTAGGCGTAGACGTCATGGCGAAACTGGGCCTCTTCGCGGCGAGCCCGCGCGCCATCGTGCGTCCGCGCCCACGGTTTATCGTGACAGCGGCGTTGGCGTTGAGGATAGGGTAGAGAGGAGGGCGCTCGGGGAGGTTCTGGCTGCGAGTGCGCAGGACGCGCGCGTTCGCAGTCGGGGACTCCGCGTTGCCCGCGACCAGGGGCGCGACGCGGTGCGACTGCGAGCGCGTGATGGGGCGGCGCGGGTCGAAGGTGGGCGTCGAAGTCCGGAGGACCGTGCGGCGGCGTTTCTGAGGACGCTCGTCAGACCCGCGCGAGCGACCTTCGCTCTCCTCGCGGAGGGGGCTGAGCCCGGGGGTGCCGAGCACCGTGTTCGGGCGGGAGCGCCCGGCGAGCGGGGACGCGGGGCTGGGGGGCACGAGTTGGGAGGCCTCGAAGACGGAGCGGGAGCGCAGGCGCTTTGGGGTGAGCGGGGGCATCTCGCTGCGGATCCCGACGAGGAGCTCGATGGAGTTGCGGACGAACGCGTCCGAGCGCGAGGCGCTGATGTCGATTTGCATCGCGCGCGGGAGCTTCTCGTTGAGCGTGCTCGCGACGGTGAGGAGCGCGGCGTGGTTCATGGTGACGAGGTCGGCGTGGCAGCAGAAGGGGACCGCGGTGAGTGCGGTGATGACGATCGCGTCCTCGTCTGTGTCTTCGTTCTGGAGCGCTATGCATGCGGGTTGGGCGCACGGGGCTGGGGTGGCAGACGGCCCAGCAGTTTGTGCGTCTGCGGGGGCATCGTCCTCGTCCTCGTCATCGCGACTGCGTTTGCCTAGAGTCGGTGTGGGCTTGATGAAGTTCAATAGGAGCCGGAGAGTCTCTCTCTTCCCTCTTGCTGGTTTGGTCATTGTGCGTCGGTGTTGCGGGCGGAGGTATAGCTGCTGAGGTCCACGGTTCAGACATATCCCGACTCACCTAGCAACGAGGCTGACGATGTGGAAACTAGCGTAGAGAATGTCAGCTTGTACTCCAATAAATGTGCTCGTACTGGTGGCAAGTCAGCCTCCCGTCCGTGGTGGAACACCTTGGACAGTCTCGTTTCAAATTCGCCTCTCGCCCGTGGTGGCGAGGGCCTGTGTCAAATTAGTGAGCGCGCGTGCATGTCAGCCATAGCTGCTACCCAATTAACGCGCCGTCGAGCATAACGCCATGCTGGTGAGATATCAGAGGAAGTCATGTATGCCTCCTCAAGGTTCGAAGCACAATTAATGCGAGGCCGCAAGCGCCCGCCGCTGTGGCGCGTAAAATGTGCCCACGTGATGCTCCTAGACGCGAACGCGTTGAGTGGCAGCCGAGCACGTCGTGTTTGGTGTCGACCTCATCGTCCACCACGATGTCCAACCACACTCCTCTGCGGGGGTCTTCTTTGACTCCCATAACGGCTATACGATCTACGCTCCTCTCACGAAGTGCCCCCTCCATCCCACCTGCCTCTCAAACTTACGAACCGCTTGTGAAGGGTGTCTTGCGCCACCGACTGTACAAAATATTTCTTCATTCTGCGATTTTCTGCTGGGCTCTCGCGACAATATGGATGACTTGGAGTGCTAGTGGAAGGTCTGGGATGGGTGTGAAGGCTTCTCTCCTCCTGCCCATCAGGCCGTCAACACTAGCTTTTGCGGTGGCCACCTTCGCGGCCGGTGCGCTGCCTGTGGTGGTATTGAGGAAGACTCATTTGGTCGGTGAGTAACCTAATCATTTGCTTTTGAAACATGTTTCTCTGCTTCGCTATGTCAATACATACTCCGGACGAGCTTGACACGATCCCGAGACCGTTCTACAGTGACTATGCCGAGTCTGGCATCTTTCACGCTCCTTCTACCTTCATCGCGTTTGCGTTTGTCACGATATCCGACTTTATGCATAGCTTACTGACTGTGACCCTCAGCTGCGCCAACACCAGCCACCTCACCGTCAAAGATTTTGAGCGGTGCGCTCCAAAAGCGTAGTACAGCCCACGCACTCTTCACCTACCTCGCCTCCTCCCTATCACTCTTGGTCTTGCACATAATGATTACCGGAGCATACGACGTGAATGCATCGCCTAATTCACGACTGACAATATTCGTCAAGTCAAGGTCGGTACCACATTCTTTCCTTCGCATCTATGTTGCTCAACGTTTCTGCTATAGGAAACATCCGTACTACCTGAATGGCCACTTGATCTACGTACTACTCTCCCAAGTCGTCGTCGCGACCGCATGTCTGCTCCGCTGTGTCCTACTCGACCGCTTCGCCGTCCGTTGGGCAAACACCTTAGTCCCGCAAGGAGATGCGAAACTGAAGTCATTCGGCCTCGCGCGCGTCGTAACCGTCGGCCTTACCGCCCTAGTATACACGATACTTGTTACCGTCGCCCAGCTCTCGGTCTTCGCGCTCGCGCGATCGGTCGTCCTTCCCCTGCTGTTCCAGGTCCCGGTCCTCAATCGCTTCCTTCGCCCTTTCATGGCGCACTTCCTTCGAGGCCCCTGGACTGTAACCCTCCTCACTCGTCATTGGTCTCTGGTGTCCCGCGCGTTCTACCTTGCGCTCACTACCGTCGGGATCTGGGAATTCGCGGAAAGTGCCTTCGATGGTGTGGTTGCGGAGGTATGATGGAGGCGCTACCAACCGAGACCCTCTACTATATGCTGATGTATACGTCGTTATAGCCGATCGCTGTGGCCCCTCAAACGGCTGACCAGGGCCTGACCTTGATCTCCGGTATCACATCTACCGACGGATATCTCAAGCACTTCGCGTACGCGGAACTGCGGGAGTTCTCTGCTGACGACTCCTCCGCCGCCAGCGCGCGCCGTACCGCACTCTTCACCGACCAGAAATACAACCCGAGCATGTGGTCAACCCTTGCCAGGGAAGCACTGCTCGTGCTCGGCCGTGATTACCAGCTACTCCTGAGCAGAGGAAAACCGCCATCGCCTGGTACGTCCGTCGCTCCGTCATAGACATATGTCCATATATGCTGAGTGTGTTTACAATGCGTAGCTGCAGCCGCACCTGCACCTGCGAGCAAACCATCTGTACCCCTTCCCGCACCCGCAACGCCGCTCATCCGCACGAAGGTCTACAAGCCTCCCAAAACCTCTCCTCTTCACGCGGCCTTCGACACCTTCGCGTCGGACGGTCCGTTGGCCGCCGCCGTATCTGAGACCGCAGAGGCTGGCGCGTCGCACATCCCGGAGCTCTTCCGGTCGGTCATGCCGAACACCCCGCAGGCCACGGCCGAAGCGGCCGTCCAGAGCGTGAAGAAGGCAGAGGAGAACGTCGCCGCCCTCGTGAACGAGACGAAGAGCAAGTGGCGCGCGAGCATCAGCGCGTGCGTCCCGGGGGTCGTGAAGCAGTCCGCGGGCCAGGTGAAGGGCTGGTGGACGCGCGAGCGCGTGCACCGCGTCGCGGAAACGAGCCTTCCGAACCGCCACATGGACGCCCTCGCTGCGGAAGGTACGTTGCATTTACATGTTACAGGGCCACCAAGGCTTGGTGGTGGTTACTAGTTGCTGATGGGTGCCTTGGGGGCGGGCGATCGCAGCGCTGTGCCGGCTGACGTGCGCGTCGCTCACGGAGGACAGCTACGGCATCGTGCAGCGCGACATCCCGAAAATCATCGAGGCGCTGCTCTCGTTCCTCACCGCGCTCGAGGAGTACCAGGCGGAGCTCACCGCGGCGCACACGCCTGCGCCCCCGTCCTCGGAGAAGGCGTCGCCGCGCGAGGCGGCGGAGCGGGAGATGCTCGCGATGGAGGCGGCGCGGGCGGGCGAGGTGCTCGGGGTCGTCAGCGACGGTATGTCTTCCGTGTTCTGCGGGCCTGTTAGGGGGAGGGACGCTGATGCGCGTATACGTAAAGCCATCAGGGACGGTATCGTGCAGATTGTACGCACGTTCGGGGACAAGTTGTCGGCGTTCAAGTTTCCGCCGCGGATTGCACGCAAGCTCCAGGGGTTCGTGGATTACAATTAATAAGGCAAGCGGGGACACATCCATGGCAGCACGGTTGCCCCGGGACTTGACTTGGAGGATAGTTACCAGGGCAAGGATGCTGTGGAGCGACTACGAAAGAGCCGTCGGCAGCGTCGGGGAGGCGGAGCGCCGAACGAGGACGTTGTCTCAGGTTATCAATGTCTCATTGAGCAAGGCCGATGACGTTCTCCGACCTCGTATGTGTGTGCTTGTGTGCGCTTTATGCGATGCCGTGACACGAATTGAATGGCACAGTATATTACGGTACAGGGTCACGGCCGTGGTATAGCGTGGTATGTATGCCTCTGCGGCTTCACTTAGCGGTACACCATAATCCGCTTCCTGCCGGTGTACATATGTCTTGTGCCCCACGACCCCCGCATGGTTTTCGAAGCCAAGATTAATGATGCATGACATCGAGAGCGGGCAGCCCGACGGACGCGGTTGGTCGGCCTGAGCGAAGACCGGAGCCCGAGGGCGCTTAGATCAATCGCCGGTGACTTTCCCATGTACCTGGGCCGTATCCGGACTGCGGCTGTGTCGCGATCAAAAGAAGCACTGACCGGGCGATCTGTACCGATTTGCGTCGGATCTCGCCACCCACTCCTCATCCGAACCACCAACGTTTGCTTCTCATTCCTTCATGGCGGTATCTCTCAATCATTTATATATTCTGGAGTACGCTAGTGAATGCAGGAAAACCCGGAATGCGCTTCTGGCCGGTCGAAGCGACCGTCGGGCCCGACTGTGATGCATGCAGTCGGGCAGCGCAGCATCCGCCCCCGGAGACAAACCAGACGCGGCGGAGAAAATGCAGAGATTCATGAATCTTGGTCAGCAACCACCACCGGTTGCACGTCCCTTTTCAGGGGGTCGGGCACCGCTGCCGGGGCGGCTCCGTCGATATCGAGCTGATAACCTTCACCCGCGGCTGCCGGAGCAGCTGGTTACCGGTCGGTTACCGTCGAGCCCATTTTTCGTTACTCATCCTGGCCTCGACTCTCCGCGCGCTGACGACGGCGTGTTGACCTTGCGCGACAACGGATGTTCCACCCATATTGCAGAGAAGATCCGGGCGCGGCGCGCGGTTCGATATATAAGAGCCCGCGCGGTGGGTCGTAATCTCTGGCTTTCACTGTCCCCCTCCGTTGCACCTCTAAGTATTCGCGCAATGTCTGGCTCTGTTACGCCGCGGTCTTCGACGAGCACCCTCCACGAGCCGAAAATGCAGCAGATCAACCCGCACGTCGCGGAGGAGCTGCACCGTGAAGAACTCCGCGCTGAGGAGTATGGCGGAGACGATCCTCTGGACCCGTTGCCGAAGGAGGACGGGCATATTCCCATTGCGGAGGACGAGCCGAAGGCAGACCCGAACAAGGTCGCTTGGGACGGGCCTGATGATCCCACAAACCCGCAGAACTGGACAAGAGGCCGCAAATGGTTCATCACCATCCTCTGCTTGCTTATGACCGTTAATGTGTGAGTACACCACTAGTTCATCGCACTTGTGAAGTACTAATAATGGGATTCTTAGCACGTTCGCTTCCTCCGCACCCTCCGCTGCGGGTCTGTACATCGCCGCGGAGTTCCACGCGAGCACCGAAGTCGGCTACCTGGTCACGTCCATCTTCCTGTGCGGCTATGTCGTCGGCCCCCTCCTCTGGGGACCCGGTTCCGAGCTGTTCGGTCGCCGCATCGTCTTCCGGGTCACCCTCGTCTGCTACGTCCTTCTCCATCTGGGACAGGCGTTGGCGCATAACCTCGCCACACTCCTTGTCACCCGTTTCCTCACTGGTGTATTCGCTTGCGCGCCCTTGACAAACTGCGGCGGTGTCATCGTCGATATTTGGGACCCCGTCACCCGTGGTACCGCCACCGCGCTCTTCTCCGCCGGTGTGTTCATTGGCCCCGTCCTCGGCCCCATTGCGGGTGGATTGTGAGTTGTTCGTGCTTCCTCTGGTGCTTCCCGCGTTGCTGACTTTTCTGTTAGTATCACGAGCAGTTTCCTCGGCTGGCGATGGGTCTTCTGGATCATGATGATCTTCGCCGGCACTTGCACCATTGCGGCGATCGCCTTCCTCCCGGAGACGTACGCGCCAGTGCTTCTGCAGTGGAAGGTAAGCAATGATCAACTCATCAGCGAAAGCACAGAAACTCATCCCCCTTCGTTCTCTAGGCTCAGAAGCTGCGCAAGGCAGACCCACAGGCGAACGCCGGGGTGTACGCTGAGCACGAGAAGTCTGACTGGTCGGCAAAGGGCATCTTCCACCGCACGCTGTACCGGCCCGTGCAGATGCTCATCTTCGAGCCCATCCTCCTGCTCGTGACGGTCTACCTATCCCTTGTATACGGTGTTCTCTACGCTCGTGAGTACCACTTCGTGCTGTTATACACGCCATTCCTGACATTCCCCCAGTTTTCGAGGCACTCCCTCTCATCTTCATGGGCACCCGCGGCTTCAACATCGGCGAGTCGGGCCTCATCTTCGTCGGCGTTGGTATCGGCACTTCGATCGGAGCGTACATGACTATCCCGCTCTCGAAGCACTACCCCCAGCTCATCGTCAAGTGGCGTGGATTCCCTCCCCCCGAGGAGCGTCTCCTCGGTGCCATGATCGGCGCGCCTGCGCTCGTCATCGGCTGCTTCTGGCTCGGATGGACGGGCCAGTACTCGAGCATCCACTGGATCGTCCCCGCCATCGCCACCGTTCCCATCGGTGCCAGTGTCGCGCTCGTCTTTAACTCTTTCCTGGTAAGCTTCTCCAAAATGCCGTCCCGTAGAGCGTTATATTGACAATCTACCGCAGGCATACCTCATCGACACGTACCTGCAGTACAGCGCGTCGGCGTTCTCTGCGAACACGATCATTCGTTCCTGCGTCGGAGCCGCGTTCCCGCTATTCACCGTGCAGATGTTCCACAAGCTCGGGATCAACTGGGCGTGCACACTCATTGGGTTTTGCGCGTTGCTCCTGGCGCCGAGTCCGTTCCTGTTCTACAAGTACGGTGCATGGATCCGTCAGAAGTCTCGGTTCTCTCCTTGCTTGGTATGTCTCCCCGCACTCTTACATCGTCTGAACATGTGTGCTAATGTCTCCCTCAGGATCTCATCATCGCAAAAGAGATTGCAGCAGCGGAGGCTGCCGAGACCAAGGGCTCCGAGAAGGTCTAATCCTGTCCCTCCCCCGCTCGCTCTCGCCCCCCTTCATCGCACGTTGTACATAACTTATCCCTTCCCGCTTTCGCGCACATCCCCCGGTTCCCCTGATCTGCGGCAGCTCCCCGGACTCTGACCCTGACGCCCTACGTACCCGACGCCCCCCATCATGCTGTATCCCCTAGCCATCTAGCAGTAGTGTTCTCCCCGGTCCCATTGTGTTCTCTTTCTCTTTTTTACGCCATTCTGCCCACTTTTACGACGTTCCGACACTCGAGTTCTCCTCATCACTATCGTCCATCATCACGCACGCACGTACGCAACATCCACCATAGACAGTGCGCATCCATAGACTAGACAATATATGTCATAATATCTTTCCTCGTTGAGAATCATTAAGTGTGCATCTTTCCCAAGACATCGAACTCGAAAAACTGCTCGACGGCGTCGAACGAAGCCTCGCTAACGGAACGAGATGGAAGCGCCCGACGCCGCTAGACTCCGAGAAGATCGGGTGGCGCCGTCTGTCCCAAAATGGAAGGGGCCGCCAGAAGCGGCAGGCTACCGAACTTCGTGACCTCAGCCGCCGATGTCACGCTGATGAGCTGGCAGCAAGAACGTTCGCCATCGACCTTCGACTTGAGGCGACTTCCTGCTCCCTTCAAGTGGACACATTCCCTCTGGATTTAGCTGCAATTTTGATCTCGTTGCATGTGGCTTTAAGCGGGCGGATCGAATTTCTGCCGTTTTACGGCCATTGTCTCACCACCTCAGTCGCTGTCTTGGACGGGCAGCGATGCGCATGTTGAATGTGAGTGCCAAGCTACGAAGGGTTCTTCAAGAGCCAATGGTTCTGACAGCTCATCCGGTTCGTTTACATGTAGCTTCGCTGGCTCGCGCAGGCAGTACGCCTTCGTGAAGCATGGGACATGAATATGTTGCCGAGTACTCGAACCCCCTGTGATGTTGCAAATTCCTAGATAGACCATTTTGCATGGCCGATGCAAGCAGTATCGAAGTGAACCTCTGTGCTTTCGTTTGAGAGCGCAGCGATTTTCATCGATGACGAACAATGAGAAACCACGTCATGATCGGTACTGCCCGTGTGAGGGCGACGCGCATCTTGTGAGGGTGGAACTCCTAGGTTATCAAGCAATAGCACAGCTTAGCCGGACACAATTGGCAGAAGTACCTTGACGTTGTATGCTCTGAACGTCGACGGGTGCAGCGAAGTCGCGGCGCGGAATGGCGGATCACCTCTCCGCCGCCGTGCAGAGGGTCTGTGGCTAAAATTCCCCGCGTATCGGACGAAACTCTAGGCCTTCCAGCAGCTCAGCACAGGTGTACGTATGCAGACGGCGCTGCGTTTATCAGAGGCCATTGTACAATTACCAAAATAGCTGGCCAGGCCCCCCACCGTTCATTTCGAGCTTGGCTAAGGCTGGCTAAAGCACGCGTGGGGTGGGATTTCTTTTATTTCCTTTGAACCACGCAGCCTGAGTCAATGCGGCGACCCCGGCTCCCATTGTTGTGCTGACGTCGATCACCCTGATAGCGGAGTGCGTACGGCGAGCTTCTGTCCCACCTGCCCAGAGGGCCTGTTCGCGTACAAAGGGACAATGGCCGCAGCCCGCTTCCCGCATTGTCACGCCCGAACGTGACTTGCACTTAGCCATCTCTCCATTCTCGATAAAAGAGCGGCTGCCCCAGGTCTGTTCTTGCATCTCACCATTGCGAACGCGCCTCCACACTTGCCCACGTCCCCTCCTCCGCCCTCCATCTCTACACCAGCCCCTCTCCTCTTTGCTCATACGCCATCTTTACAATGTCTCACTACTTCGAGTTCAACATGCACAACGCCGCGTATGTCCTACTGTGCATTCTCCCGGGTCGATACATAATGACCGATATCCTTCAGCGCCATCGCAGACAGCCTTCCGGGGGTTATGGACCCGGAAGACAAGTATCTCGCCATGGCGGCAACAAACAGCGAATCTTACAACCACGGCGAGCGATCGAGTGCTAGTGTCCTCTTTGACGAGCTAGCAGCGCACCTGGCGCCAGCACCAAGTCCAGCGGCACCCCAAGAGGAGATAGATTCCACTTCGGCACAAGAGTACGTCACCCTGCAATCTCCCCATTCTCTGGACGCTGACCCTATCTTTATTAGGATGAACGACTTCTTCAGACGCTGGGGTTGCATGTCGCCAGAGGTTCCCGCCGCGGAGTCCAGTCACACCACCCCGAGTCTATCGACGGGCTCAACGCCGAATGCGAGCCCTGCGCTGGCAACACCGCCCGCACCAAGCGCACTCCCCTCTCCACTCCCGTCCTTCTACGACTGTGGCGACTATCAACCACACGTCCACACCGGCATAGTGGCATCTCCCGAGGGGAGTGTTCCAACACTCCCACACTCCATACCGGCACCCGAACTTGGAGAGCGCGAGTTGAACGACGAGGATATACGACACAAGCCCGCAAGCGACGTTATCGCCTGCGAGTGGGATGGTGGGTGTGGACACCACGGCCACTACTTGGAGATGTGGTTGCATATCTTTGGCACTGGTAAGAAGAATGTCGCCGAACCGATCGCTGGAAAACACCTCGACGGGACGGAGTCGGCGATATTGTGCCTATGGAACGGCTGCGAGAGCAAACTCCCGATGCGTTCCGATTCCCTGAAACGCCACATCCAGGCCCAGCACTTGTTTATGACCGTCGAGTGTACATGGTGCAGCGTCAATAGGCGAGAAGACGCGTACAAGACTAGCCATCGTCCGGCCCGCTTCTGCGAGCACAGGCCGACGGATGAGAAAAAGCGCGACGAGATTTGGGCGCGCAGACCCCCGGCCGCCGTCCCTTCCACCGCACTCCCATCCGCTGCCGGCCCGGTGCGCCCAAAACGCACTCGGGCTCCGCGCAAGAAGGCGCAGAAGGCGATTGCGTACCCCTCACCCACGGACGTTGCTGGTTCGATCCTACACCAAGGACGGGGCGGTGACCAGCGGAGCATCCGCCCGCGCCCGGTCGCGGGCCCTTCTTCCTCCAGCCGCGGCCTCATGTCTACGTCGGCATTCCTCCCTTTCGAGCCAGCCCAGGCGTCCTTCCGTGCGCCTCAGCAGAGCCACTCGATGGTCCCGCAGGTCGTGCCTACGTTCGTCCAGGGCAGCTCGACCGGTCGCGGTACCGGCCCCACCTCATACCCCGCGCCCATTGCGCCCGCCCCGATGCCCTCGATGTACGGGTATTCGTCCACCGGCCCCGACCGCGCTGCTGGAAGGTCGTTCTCCCAACCCCAGCTCCAGCCCCAGCCACAATACTTCGACCAGCCGACCGCGGGGCCATCGTACTTCCAGATGAATCCGCCCGTTCCCGCCCCAACCAGACGCCCTCCAATGCAGCGCCGCGCGCCTTTGCAACCCGCTGCCTCCGCGGGTCTTCAGGGCCCTCCGATGGGCCAGATGGACCTCTTCACTCTGAACGACTTCATCTTCGCTCCCGCGGCAAACCCCATGCCGCAATACAACCCAGGCGCGTACAAGTACGACTCGAACCCCTTTTCGATGTGGCCCGCCAGTGACGCGGAGAACCAACCACCGTACTTCGGTGCTCCGTTCAACTAAACCGCGGCTACCCCTCCTACCCTTCCAACACGATACCTCTTCATCGCCTCTCATGTGCTTGTCTCGTGTGCTTGTCTCGTCTGCATATCCAGCTGTCCATTGCTGTCTCACGTCGTCCTGTCATCGCGCATACCCTCTACCGGGACTGCACATATACGTTTGTGACGGCCGCGCCGCCCTGTTTCACCTAGCACTGCTCTGTATAGTATTGTCTGGAAGCCCTATTGCTGTAGTATATGTACCTAAATCTGTCGTATATCGTTGCGCATATCCTGGTATTATATTCGTTCACCGTCCATCTCACTCGAGCTGAACCGACGTGTCACTGGTGCTTGAACTGTTCGCGCAGATGGTCTAAACGCGCCCGCCACTCGTGCTGCTGCCGCTCCATCTTCTTCCGCATCCACACCGCGCGCAACAGGCGCACGATCTTCTCGCGCGAGTCCGAGAAGTTCGCCTGCACACGTACACATGTCAGCACGGTTGTCCCAGGCTTTGAGCGGGGGTCACGCACCTCTGCGACGTCGAGGAGGTTCTGGCTCTCCTCCGCGGCGACCTCGCGGCGCCACGTCGAGACAGAGAACGGGTCGAAGCCGGGGACACGACTGTCGTTTGGCATGAGCGGGATGTAGACGACGGCGATGCCGTCGCGCTTCAGAAGCGCGGCTTCGTCGAGCTCGTCCAGGCGCGCGGACGCCTCGTCTGTGGACTTCGACGACCCGATCCACACCTCGCACGTGTTCAGCGTGGACTTCGAGGGAGGCCTTGGCTCGTCTGATAGGTCGCGAGTCAGTAAGCGTGCGTCAACAGAAGGATTGAGCGTACCATTTGGCATCTCGCGTTTGTCAGTGGAGCCCTGCTTGTCTGTCTGCTTGGCGAGCGCGGACTCCTGCGTTTGGGCGAGCTTGGCGTTGGCGGAGTCTGGGGAGGACGCCTCGTAGTCAGGGACACGCGACGTCTCCGCTGCGCCCTCGTCGCCTGGGTGCACGCGGGTAGGCCATGTTGCGCCGCGCGGCCAGGTGTGGAGACCGCGTTTCGCGGCGAGTTCTGCGGGATGTCAGCGGATGTGATGATGCTGGGATAGCATGGACGCGCAGACCTTCCGCTCGAGTGAACCACAGATCCTGGGGAAGCGTTTGTGGTCAGTATATATATCGTGCGACATATGGCGGCGGTGATTACCTGGGAGTCTGCGCTTGCGTCCAGAGCGATGACACAGTCTACGTTTCTTCGGAGAAGGGGATAGTAAGGAAGATTCAGCTCCGCTGAGGGGGCGTTAGTACAGGTATTGGAAGGTCTTGAGCGTACATACCTCCAGCATCCTACATATGGCACATATGTCAGCATTACATTCGCGCAGAGCTACGGAACAACCCACCATGAAGCCTAGTGTTTCATGTTCGGTGATGTCGGGCGGGCTGCCGTAGCGCAGCTGCCCTTCAAGACCCCTCACGAAGTTCGGAAGCTACGCAAGTTTAGCAGGAGTGCAACGGGGACATAGTCGACAATGACGTACCTGGTCTGGCAGCACGGGATGAATGAGACCCAGGTCCCCCTCGTTCTCAGTGACGATCTCCTCGAGCCAGTTGTACAACTGTGCCGGGAAGAGCTGAAGCACGGGCTCGATCTCGCGGAAGTAGTGCTGTCCAACTGGTCAGAAAGTTGAAGCTCAAGGAGGTATGTCGCACGACCGACCTTGAGCGATGCGCAGAAGGCAGATCCGAAGACGCTATGGGTAGTGCTTAGTGCTGGTGCGCGAAAACTCATGAAAGAATGGCATACCCAGCAAGTATCGTAAAGCTCAGCTCGGGCTACTCAAACATCATAAGACATAATCCTTCACACACGGATGAAATACGCACTCTGCGCTCAGTGTTCTTGCCGTTCATGAAGCGCCTGCCAAGGGCCCAGGAAGGAATCCAGGCTGGTCGGGAGGGTGACGTCAATTTGTAGTCATGTCCGTATATGGGGCAAACCACCTACCGCCAATCTCATCGCACCCAACCTCGTACGGTGTGAATTCATACCACAGCCACCGAATGTCCTGCTCGAGCCGCGCCTGTTCGCTGTCTAATGACCACGAGCGCTGATTGCGGATCGACAGCGCCTTCTCGTCGGCGACTTCCTTGATGTCCTCCGCCTTCTCCAGTTGGGTGACTAAACGGCCCCCCGTCAGCGAACGTGCACGTACGCGCCGAAGGCCGTCAAAGAAGGAGGCCGTGTCTCACGCACCGTGTTGGATAGCGCTGAAAATAGGGAGCGGCAGGGCGCCGTTGTCTAGGTTCCTGCGATAGAGGTGCAGAGAGAGGTGTCGTGGGTCGAGCTTCGTGACGTCCGTGGGGATGTACAGCCGCGAAGAAAGCAGCGTGCCATAGAGGTCCACAAGTGACGCTGTGCCCGTGGGACCCGCTGCTTTGCGGAGGATGCCAGCCTGCAGCCGCCGGGTCAGGTTGTGATTGAGCGCGTGAACATGGTAGCGGTAGCGCTTACAAGGAGGTACTAGACAGAACGTTATGATGTTAGCGTGCTCGACCCTGTCATACGAAATGACTGGTAGGTACCTTGTTCGTGGGAGGGGTCACTAGCGCATCTAGCGTGTCCATATCCAGGTAGCTGAGCTGTATGCGATCCTTGGCGTGCGCAGCAGCGTCCTCGGGCTGGTTGGAACCCGCCACGCCCGAGTACAGTATTCCCAATGCCCAGCAACTCCCTATGAGGCCATGCAATTAGCGAAAGCCGGCGAGGGATAACAAGACTATACCAGACACGCCAGCGGTGTATGATACGCAGTCTAGCACACCAAGGCTTTTCGCCGCCGAAAGCGATCCCAGGGTGTTGAGCATCGCCCGATAGCCTAACAGCGACGCATGTGGCATCAGCGGACGGATCTTACAGACGATGCGAATACCGACCTCCTCCCGAACCGGCGATAGCAACTATAGGCAGGTCCCGCTCATCAACCTCGCTGTCAGGAACACCCATGAGCTCGGCGAATGAGGCTTTCATGCGTCGTTTCCGCTCGCTCAAGAACACGCGTTCGGCTAGACACAGGTCCTCACCGAGGCGAACCTCTGCGTCCCAGTCGCACTCGGGGTGAACGGCCGGGTCGACGGGTGCATTTACGATCTGATCGTATAGAGACCCAGGTCCGAGGCCGAGTTCTAGTATGAGTGCGGAGAGACGCTGCTGTAGGTCGGATACCGAGAATGATGTCGGCCACGGGATGTCAGGGGGCATAGGAAACGAAGTTGGCCATTTCCAGGTGGACATCGAGTTCGAGATGGCATGCACGGGCACGGAGAACTGTAGGAATGAAAGCCCTCGCCAGTCATCCTACATACATAAATATTTAGCATAGGAGAGACATACTGCACGTTCGGTGCACTGACCTTTGGGGCGGCGCCCTAGCGAAACGAATGTCAGAAACATGGTCACCCAATAAGCTCAGGTAGGCTGGATCATACCTCCGCAGTGGACGCATCTTCTACTTTCTAACCAGAGCGATTGACAGTCAGAAACGCCCAGATACGATGTGCCAAGCAGAGAATACCTCTTCGGTGCTAGTCAGGGCTCCATGGGTCGTGCCTCCTGGTTCCGGCCCGCGCTGGCTTGTTGGGTCTCTCAGTTTACTGAACCACAACGGCACGGTGCCGGCCGCGCAAGCCGTTCCAAAAACAAACCAAATGCGCGATGCCAGGCTAGCTCCTGTGAGATGAATATTCAGTTTACTGCTTTGCCACACTACTGTGATAATTACGTGGTGGTTCTGGCTCTTGAATCGACTTCCAGGACCATGATGATATCGTCCTATTTCTTCGAGCTGACGAGCATGTCTGGGCGACCGCCCGATTCAGAGTAAGGTGCTGACCCCGCGTGGCATGACGTGCACGGAGTAGACTGCTCATCCAGGAGTTCGCCAATTTTTCTGACGGTTGGGACAAAATTACCGTCGAAACCCTGGAGAACGTGGGAGCATGGAGGCAAGAAGGAAAGAGGAGAAATGAACTCCGCGGGCAGGGCAAACGTCGTACTTGTATCGTGGATCTGGACTCTGCAGCGCATCGACGTCGACGTCAGCGGTCGGCGGAAACACATGTGCCTCGTGGCGTGCGAGTCTTGGCACGCGCGCGTATGATGCGCAAGGCGCGAGATCGACCCTCTGAACTCCCATTCAATTTCAGCGTATGTGCAGAACGGGGGAGTGTTATCTTGCACACATAGACTGCCCTGCGTCAACTTTACGAATGAGGGGTGGATGCGGGGATACCATAAAGCAAGCAGCAACGTATTAAGCCATGTATTACCATACCCTGTAAGTAGGGGCCAATATTTAGTACCAAGGTCATTGCCTGTTCTCCGGCATGCGCGCGAGCTGGCTCTTGCTCCGTATCCGCATCCGACGCTTCGAGTACCACTCCCAAGTCAGGCGGACAATCTCGCCGTCCGCGTCCCAAGGGGTCGGGATTTCTGAGTATCCAGGACGCGCCGTCGGGTGTCGGAGGTATATCACGGAGCAAGTCGAGAACGACGGCTCGAGGTAGGCGGGGATGAACATGAAGGGCGCAGCGTATGCTGGGAGGTGGAAAGGGGTGTGCTCCGGGATGGTACCGGGGACGACAAAACGCTTCTGGGTATAGCGTGACTTGAGATCGTTCGACTCGGTCGGCGTCGCCTCTGGCTCCTCTGCGGGTTCGGGTACCTCTTCAGCTTCTGTCGCATCCTCAGCCTCGGCAGCGGCGGCCTCAGCGTCCTCAGGGCTGTCTTCAGAGTCAGCCTCCTCCTCAGCGGCTTCGGCGGTAGCTTCCGACGCGTCTTCCTCTTCATCCTTAGCCTCCCACCGCGCCGCGTTCTTCTGCAAGAAGGGAATAGCGGCAGGGTCCACAGAGACCATGTCTCCGGGAGCAAGACGCGCATTGGGGTTTGTGTGCTAGGGGCGACGAACATGAGCACAGGTACAGCGGCGGCATGGAGTGCATCACGTACCTTCTTGCCGTTCAGCAAGACACTTCCGTGGACAACCATCCTGCGAGCGTCATACACACTATGCGCAAAGCATGCCCGGAAGATTACCACGTCTATCCTGCGCTCCACCTCAGAGAACATCAAGCTTCCGACGGGAGCGAGCCCTTTCCGCCTCTCCTCCTCAGCCCGCTTCGCTGCCTTGTCCGCCGCGTTGTCCTTCAATGCCCACTTGTTCAGGTCGGCACCGGCATCCACGGTGAGCGAGGCCGGGGGGCGGACGTCTGGCAAGTTGTCCGGGAGGTACCACCGCTTGAAGATCTTCTCGTTAATGTAGTCGCCGTGGTAGCCACGCAGGAGGGACTTCGCAGTCCATCGCCGCCAGTTCAGCGTCTCCTTGTACTCGACACGGTCCGTGATCTTTTGGAGCGGCCCGTACGAACGTCGCCAGAGGTTGAACAGGTTGTGGGGGTGCCAGCTCTGTGAGGGTGTCAGCTGCGTTGGCGTGCACAGACACGCGTCCGGCGCACCATGCGGGGCAGCGCCCTTTTAAAGTTGTATACTCTCGCATCCCGCATCCTCGGAGTCGTCCACGACGGCGTAGACGGTGGAAAGGCAGTAATGGTCGCGGAACAAGTGACGGCGCAGGCCGAGTCCGCGAAGAAATTCCTAAAGCTTACGACCGGCTAAGCGGGATAAGCCTGGCTTCAAAGCCTTTGCTTACCCAATGCTACTCGGTAAGTAAAGTGATTAGATCGCATGTAAGCGCCCGTATCATCGCGCGCGTTTCGCGACGCGTGCAACCGCGCGACACCCAACTTGACCTGAGCCTCCTCCTACCACGCTGTGATCCTGGCATACCTGCAGCAGCATGGATCCGTACACACCCAGGGCACGCGCTGGAACGAAGAAGAAGAACCTCACACTGTCTGCGAAGGAATATCACAAAGTACGCGTCCAGATATTGTTCCAGGCGCCCTCCTGCAGCTAAACGATCTCAGGTAACGGACACGATCGCGTCAGTGCGGCGCAACAGGCACTATGTCGAGGATGAACTGGTGGAGGACATAAACATACACGTCCGCGCATCGCGTGAAAGTGGGAGGAGGAGTACGCTTCCAAGCTCTCGGCCTCCTCCGCACACGCCTCACGAGCCGCGGCACTTTCGCAGGACGCGACGAGGCCTCGTTCGAGGCGGAACGATCCTTCGTGCGCGCACCGCTCAACTCACGGGTGGTGTCCAGCAATGTGCACAGGGACAAGGGGAAAGGCAAGGCCAGGGACACGTCCCTGTACGACGTCCCTGTCGAAATACAAGAAGCGCTTGTTCTGGAGGATCTGCTCTACGTGCTCATGGTGCGTTCTCTCGTGCCCTCTTCCGCGTTGCACCCCTATTGCACCCCAAGCTCTGTTCCCAAACATTGGCGGTGCCTCTCGAGATTGGGGTTGCAAACTATCATGGCGGATGGGGATGGTAGTCTAGTGGGGAATCGACGATCCTCCGGTTTACGTGAAACCGCCGCCCGCGCCGTGCCACCCAGCCGTATCGCCATGTCCGCGGAGCGCTGCGGCTTGCGGCGCTGGCGGGGGAACTTTAGCACCCAGTCGCGGGAGCGTAGTCGAAGTCTGAGCGTCCGCGTTCGGCCTGGAGCATAGGACGCGAAGATCCGAGCCACTGTTTTTGAGAAGCCCAGAAAGAACCAATGCTTACCATTCCGGTTTACGACAGGGAATCGAGGGTACGCACATTGCATACCATCCGGATTACTCGCCGGACGAAGAAGACCCACTCAATGGCCTAAGATTCGTAGTGGCGCCTTCGCTAGGTGCGCAGCATACCTCTTCGCCTCTGTAGGTATAGCTGATGTCCGATGTAGACCCTTCGCTGCGTGATTTGGTCGAGCGCATACTACCATTGGCCACTTATTATACTGCGATCAGTGCATTCATTGAGTCTCGCAGCCACATCGACTTTGGTCTAGTGAACCACGCGCTATGCGCTTCGATGCGAGATATGCTCAAAGTATGTATTTCAAGGCGCCTGATCCTTTGCATGTTTCCTAAACGAACCGATAGGACTATCAAACCTTACTCTCCCAGCTAGAGCACGCCTTCAACAGCTCACCCCAGTTCACCCTACAGAAGCTATGGTTCTATGTGCACCCAACATTGCACACCCTGTCACTCCTATACCTTCTCATCACCGACCTGGCCACGGCGGACGATCCGACGGCAGAGCTCTCGTCGTCTTCTTCCGATGGATCCGACGCAGAAGAAGACGCGCGGAACGAGGCTTTGGGCCTAGGGGGCGCGAAGCTTAAAGCGGTCCTGTCGGAGATCAAGACCACTGGTCTGGGAGTCAACGGTGGAGCGAGCGGCATCGCGGTCAAAGGTGGCGAGGTCCTTGCTATCTTGCACGACCGGATGCAGAGTATGTCAGGGGACCCAGCCGCTCGGGAGCTATACGGCGCGCTGCTCCGAGATGCTGGGAAACCGTATGTCGAGATGGTTCAGGCGTGGATCCGGTCGGGCAAGCTCGTCGACCCATACGAGGAGCTCCTTGTCAAGGAGAGCAAATTCATCAATCGTGGGACGCTGGAGATGGACTACACGGATGAGTATTGGGAACGTCGATACACGGTGAGCGCGCAGTATACATCGATACGCTGTAAGCTTACGCCGACTGTTAATAGTTAAGGGACGGGTCTACGACAGGTGGGTCGTCCAAGCAGCACCAGATGGGCGTGCCTCCGCCTCGTTCAGCCGGCGGACGCCTGCCGGGCGGTGCGTGCATCCCGGCAGTGCTTGAGAGGTGGAAGCACAAAATTTTGCTGGCCGGGAAGTACCTCAATGTGATACGAGAGTGCGGCATCGAGATCCGCCGAGACCCAAGCCAGGAGGATGACGAAGATGTGTCTATGGACGACGAAAGGTACGCTGTCTGCACTCGGCCGCGTCGCGCGTTGCTCAGGCCCCAGGCAGGTTCTACAAGTGCATCGAAGACGCTTATACCCACGCGAACCGCACCCTGCTCCAGCTTCTCCTGCGAGATCAGCAGCTGATCCCCCGCCTGCGTTCGTTGAAGCGATACTTCTTCCTTTCACAATCCTCGTTCCTTACGCACCTCTTGGACCTCTCGCATAACGAGCTTCGCAAGTCCGCGAAGTCCGCGTCTCTCGTAAAACTTCAGAGCCTCCTGGACCTGGCGCTGAACACGGACGCTCAGGGCGAGGACGCCATGTTCAGGGAAGACGTGAAGGTCACGATGGCCGGAAGCGGGCTTTACGAGTGGCTCCTAACGGTTGTGAACGTGAGCGGCTTGGAAGAGGGAGACGCCGCTGAGGGGCACGCCCAAGCCCACGAGTCGCAGAAGCGGGAGCGGGAGAAGGAGAAAGATGATAAGAAACAGATGCTGGGTGAGTCAGCGTGCTCAGGTCAAGCGCAATGGGCGGTTGGAACTGACGGCATTATGCAGCGATTGACGCGCTAACATTGGACTACCACGTCAAGTTCCCCTTGTCGCTGGTCATTTCGCGCAAGACGATATTGCGTTATCAGCTGATCTTCCGATTTCTCCTCCACCTCAAGCACGTCGAACAGTCGCTCTCCTCCATGTGGATCGAGCACAAGACCGCAGCTTGGCGCAGGCCCACCCGGCCTCGCGGTACCGGCCCTGACGCCGGTCGACAGACCCCGCAAGCTCCGCCACCGGCGCAGAAAGATTGGCATTCGGAGTTTGAGAACTGGCGCAAACGTGTCTTCTTGCTGCGGGCGCGCATGCTCGCTTTTGTTCAACAAATCCTCGCGTTCACGACCTTCGAGGTTCTTGAGCCTAATTGGCGCAAGCTCGAGGGTAAGCTCGAGGCTGGAAAGGTTGAGACCGTCGACCAGCTACTCAGGGACCACGTCGATTTCCTGGACACCTGCCTCAAGGAGTGCATGCTGACTAGCTCGAAGCTGCTCAGGGTGCGTGATCAGGTTCTTGCGAGCTTCGCGGATGCCGATTGACAGCTCCTCCCTGCAGGCGTACTCGCGGCTGATCGTCACCTGCTCAACGTTCGCGCTCTATACGGCGTCTTTCACCAAGTCAGCGAGCAATGCGATAGCCGCCGCGGACACGCCGGACGGCGACCATTCGATGGCCAAGCGATGGGACATTCTGGGCAAGTTCGAGACGAACTTCAACCACTGGTACGTCCGCCGCATACGTCCCATATGCTGCAGTGTCTGATTGACGTGCGCGCTCAGGTTCAAGGTCAGCTACGACGCCGAGATGTTCCTCCGAGAAAGGGTGCTGATCATGTCCTCCAGGTCCACCTCGACTGTGTCCAGTTCTACGCTTCGAGCGAGAATGTCTCGCTGCTGCCCCTCGTGGTAAGGCTTAACAGTATCAAGTCTATGCCCTGAAGGGGCTGCTATTCCCATGTGCCAGAAACTCATTTGGTATGATTGCTGTCTGTTCGTCCCATGCTCTGATGATGTTACCTGTATCTTGTATCGCCATGATGCTTTGCCTTGGTATCGTCGCTGTGGTCTGATCGTGCGGTCCGCCATCGGGTGGCTGTCTGAGGTAACAAGACTTTCTCCGCTTGACGGCGACATGGGAAGAAGGCCGGCGTGATCTGGTTTCGGGCTTTCAATGGGCGCCGCATTTCTCCGCTCCCGAGAGTCTCGCAACAAGGTATCTGCGCGCCTCGATTTGGCATACCCATGCCGGCAGCCTGACCGTTGCCGCCCCCGACGCGCTTGTTGTGGGAGATTCTGCACGGTGCGTCATCCACATGTCCGGTTGCTGCTACACATCGTGGAAATCTTGAGCTTGTTTGACCGAACTGAATCTGCTATAGGCTAGGATCCGAGTCGCCTATGCGCCCAGCGGCCGGGGTGGGATCAGGAACCAGGACAATCACCAAAACGTAGCTGCATGTTCTATTCCCGTACTAGTGTGCTGTGGTGCGCCGCGAGCGTAGCAGGGCCTGACATGGCGTGCTTTGTCCTGCACACAGCATTCCGGCATGGGTTCTTCGCCTTTTGGCATCCCATGTGGCCTCCCCTGACCTGACCCTGAGGGGGTGAAAGATGTATCGGAGGTACGCTTACGCAGTGTTTCCCAGTCAGGAGCCGCGCGGACTGCACGCAGTCGCCCGAAACATCCGCGACGATTTGTGCGCCATTGATCATTTGCTGCCATATACGCGTTGTAACACCGCGGCCTTCATCAGCAGGTGTCCAGTGCTTCCCTCGCCGCTCGCACTTACACGGTTCGGTCAGTTACCACTATCTACCTGGCGCCCGTACCTATTGTGTCTAACTCGGAGTTCTTCCAGCGGCTTCGTGCCCGTGCGCCTAGCCTTATCCGTACCATCGCGTTCATGCCGCTGTCACACCCTCTCTTCGAACTCGACAGTATCCTCGCGCCAAGCATCGGCTTAGGGAATGCGCTGTCTCCGTGCGCACCGTGGGCCGGGTCCGAGAAGGCGCGGAGCTATGAGGTCAATTGCCTTTTCCACTCGTCCGGATTGTAGTGTGGGCGTAGCAGCGCCTGCGCCCCAGGCGCCGCCGCTCATTCGGACCTCATTCAGATTCTATGACAGATATTGGAGATGGGACCGAGCCGCCCGTGCTGGAGCCATCCATATAAAACATAGGAGGCGTTCCTCCCGGATGGCACATCCCCAACCCGCCGTCTCAACCCGCGACGCCTAGTCTAGCCGCGACGCCCAGCCTTGACGCCATGCCCAGCCTCACCACACCAACCCCCTCGACCGCTAAGCCTCAGCATAAGCAGCTTACCTTCTACACGTCTCCGGTAGGTCGTCACTCTGTATGCTGCGCAGAGTCTTAACTGACACGTGTAACTTGGTTCTAGTATTCTCCTTATTGCCATCGTGTGCACATCGCACTCGAGGAGGCCAAGGTTGCGCCGTCGCTGGTCGAAATCGACCTGAGGCCAGGCTGCAAACCGGCATGGTTCACCTCCAGAGTCAACCCCATGGGCACGGTGAGAGCGGCGCCCACAAACGACCCAATGTGATCTGATTGGGGCGTTGTCAATTCACACAGGTCCCTGCGTTCACGTATGGTGGCGCACCCGCTCCGCCTGATCAGCCGTCCCCTGCTGCCCTGAAGCTCGCAGAATCTATCGTCCTGATCGAGTTCATCGCCGATCTCCATCCTGAGGCGGCCCTCCATCCCAAAGACCCTGAACTTCTGGCCAGGGCGCGTCTCTTCATCACCCTCTCCCACGACACTTTGCACCATGCGTTCAGAGGCTTTTTCTTCCGCGGCGAGCGCATCGAATCGATCCTGCCGTCGTTGGAGGCCTTCCAGGCTCTCCTTGCGCCGTCCGGCTACGCTGTCGGACCGTGGTCGATGGCGGACGTCGTTGTGGCGCCGATGATTGTTCGGTTCATGCGGCTCGCGGGGTATGAAATCGGAAAGTACCCCATGGGAGAGGGCAAGAGACTCCTGAAGGCGCTCGGGGAGCCCAAGTTCGCTCGGTTCATGCAATATTACCAGAGCCTGTGGGAGAGGCCGAGCGTCAAGACAACGTGGGACGAGGTACCGGTTTCATGCGACTCACCCGAGGGCCGACTGATCTAACCTCTTCTGCGACCACCAGCACACGAACGTCAAGATGTGGAGGATTCACCCGAACGTTAACCGCAGCACATCTGCGGTCGGGCATTGAACGCGCAGGAGTTGAGGAAATCGTTCTCGCCGTTCTGTCTTTCTTGCGCCACCTACTGCTTTTTTGGACGATGCGCTACTCATCTTCGCTTCTTCACCAGTCTTGTTCTTCCCATGCTGTACGTTGTACCCCTTCTTTTCGCGGCTTCTATACCTACGCCACCCGCCCGGCAGTAATATCCCCCGTGTTTGCCCTCGTTGACTTATCATTACGTTGCCCGTGTCCGCGGAACCCTGGGAGCTTGTGCGGAGCTGGGGAACTAGCGCGTCTGAGTTCGATCTGAGCATCCCCGCCCCGGCGGAGTGGTTGAGGAGTCGAGCAGGCCAAGAGCTCGGGCCTCTGCGTCCAACTCAAATCCAGTGAGCGAGTATTCTGCGCGCCTGGTGACCAGTCCACCCAAGCACTCTCCGCTCACGACGCGTGCTGTTAGGTTCTAGGCCACCGCTCATCTTGATATGATGTCTTGCAAATCCTGCCACGCTGCATGGGCGGCGTGGCACGGCATCCCACATGATGCCAACGAGGTCTTCCGAGCTGTACCGCTGCTGGGCTAGGGTGCCGTACTTGCGGTGCCATATTGGTCAGTGCGCAGCCTCGCGCTCCTCGAGCCCGGAAGTTACGGCAGTGCCGTTGCACGATCCCCAGTCGGAGTCGTTCGCTGCAAGCCGTCCTATCTCAGAGCGTGGCCGCCGGCGACCGCACCGTAGTTTGTGCTTCTCCAGGTGATGTGCGTCTCCCTCCTTGGTTTAATGCGATGAGCAGAAGATGTTGGGGACTGAATCGGAGGCGTCTCTGCTTACTCTTCTGTAGGACCACGTTCCTCTGCGACGACAATAGCTGCCTGTGTCTCGGTCCACCTTGCAACCGCCGAGGCCATCGTGGAGCCCATTTCCGGGTTAACGACTCGGAGTTGCGTGGATCCGGTATGGTATGCATGTACGCACCATGTCTTTGCACTCTGCTGGGGCGACTGGCAGGCGCAATCGCGGTTCAGTTAATCCAAGGTGGGCTCAACAGCTGTGGCCCGACCCTGAGATCATGCGCGCCATCATGACAACCTCAAACACCTTCGATTCTCCAGGAAGCACGGTGTAAGGCACGGAACCTAGAGCACAGGACGATCAAGACGGATGTGCTCGAAGAATCGAGCCCCCCGGAAGCGACGAGTGGCTCGCGGATGCGGTTCTCTTGGGTGGTGCGTCCTGCGTCAGGCTGCGGATTGGAAGCTCACCCTCTTCGCCAGCGACGTGGGAGACGGCGACGGCAACGCGCGGCCAGGCTGTCTGTTCCCCGACTGCCCCCAGCTGAGGGCCTAACTTGCTACTGGTGCCGTGATGATATCAGAGCGCGGGCGTATCGATCGCACCCGCCGCCGGGCCACTGCACTCCATGCACAGCGCACAGCGGCGAACCCGGTCGGAGTCGCAGCGCTGCAATTTGCCTCACTCGGGCAGCTCGCCCGCTTAAGCCTCTGCATTACCGTTGCTGCGTTACCGATATACCAAAATATCCCCGCCGGTGCGTCGGAGTGGACTGTCCACAGTGAGCAGCGCGTCTATCGCGGCCCCCTGCACGGCCGACCCGGACGCGGAAGAACCACGCATGACGCGTGAGCGACCTACGCCCGCACCCTGTGAATGTCGCCCTCTCGCCACTCGTCGTCTGACGACCCAGCTCACCGTCGCCTTCTGCTGGTATCGCCGCACTACTGCTCGCCACGAGGACTTGCCGAGACAACTCTTTCTGGGGCTCGCCCCAGTGTGCTTAACAGCGTTTGATGGCGAGGTATGTGCGCGATGCTCAGCCTCTGTGGCCGATTATATGAACTATGCCCTCATATCCTGACGACACCAGAACATTCTACGAAGGCATGGCGGCCCTCAGGGAAAGCGGAGACCGGCCAATATCGGTCAGTTCCCCGAATCCTCTTTCCAGTCTTGACCCCCCGAGCGGGGTGTCCTGGCACCACCCCGTAAGCACGAAGGCTGGACGCCGCATGAGCATACATAATAGTACGTGTTCGTTCTACCGCCGAGTAGAATGCCTAACCTCAGGCTTCGCGCGCACTGCTACGCTCTCACCGGAATGCCTATTCCTGAACCACGCCTCGCAAGGCTGCCATTCGCACTGTCAACTCCCCGACAGCCTGTGTTCCCGCCAAGGGGCCATGCAATCGCGCTGACGCGACATTCAAATCTGCAGGCCTCACGGTGCTTCCGCGACGCCTCGAATCGCCGCCCGCCCCGCGACTTTCACATGCCGCGGGCTGATCAGGCCCCTCCCGCCGCTTCCGTGCAAGCTACTTAGGCAAGAGAGCGAGGCTTCGCTGAACTCTCTGTCGTGCCACTCATCTTATGGCGTCGTTATAGACATCCCGGCGTACCACCGCGCGGCCTCGCGGTGGCGTGCTCTTAATCTCCGTACGAGGTCTCCACGGAACATGCCCGAGTCTCGACAGCAGCTGCAGCAGAGCAACGTTCTCCGCCCACTGTCGTCAGGTCGGAGTTGCGCCACCATTGGACGAGTACGTTCGTGAGTGTTTTTCGAAGCTGGTGGCGTACTTCCATGCCGGCGACGGGCCGTCCGTGCTGAAGATGGCCGCTCGCGTAGCTGGGCGCTCAGCGGGTTCTCATCGGCGGACATGTTGCGTGGTGTTGCCAGCTGCGCCGAAGCGGGGATAGTACGGGACTGGCTACTTCCTAGGGGCGCTAGTCAGACTGTCGACTGTGGTTTGAATGGCCGCAGGTGGACGGTCTGCGCTACGTGAAGTGCTGGCTCGGCGGTGCTACTCTGATATGCCGCTCACTCGTGATGTCGTTGACGGACGGCCGTACTACTGCGAGCTGGCATGCCTACCAGTCGAACTCCGGATGGAACACACCAGCGTGAGCGCGCGAGTATGCTTTCGGACGACGATGAGTGCTTACACATGCCACGTTGTACGGAAGACCATGTCATAGTCGTGGCATGTTTGAGCGAGATCGAGGGTGATAAATGTCGAAGTGATAGTGAGACGCGCATGCAGCACTAGTGCCAATGGGGCCAGTGGTAGGCTCGGATGAGTTTCCTCGAGACTGCGTAACAGTGTTAGATCCGTGTCAGTGTTTGTTGAGCATGCCAGTGTTTCCTTCCTAGCTTGGTTACTGTACCATTCTACTAGAACGTGGGTTCCTGTCGTTCTCAGGAGCCCTACTACCAGTAGCTCTGCCAATGATTGCGGCGTATTGCTACAACTTGCCCGAGTACACACGACCAAAACGCGAATCTCATATTCCTCGCTAATCGTTTCAGGTTGCATACGTCGAAGAGCGGTCAATTAAAGCCATTATACTTCCTTGCCAAAGTTCGTATGCGTTCGCCCACTAGTTCTCCATATCAGCTCTAGGTTTATTTGAGAGATATGTTTTTACAATACCACCATGTTCAACTGACGATCTTGTGTAACACATACTTATCGCATGGAATTAATAGTGACCGGATTCGAGCTTCAAGGCGGTGTGGGGCCTCTTCGAGTTGGGACGCGCCGTCACGGTCCACCAAGTTGTCGGTGAAATATTTCGATCCTCGCAGAGTCTTCTCTCTCAATCCCTCCATAAGCCTTATTTATCCGTCACTCCCCCGTTGAGACATCTCTTCCTCCTTCCTCCTCCATGGTTTGTGAAGTGGCTGAACTTGAACAAGTTCTAAATCGGGACAAAGGTGAGCGCTAAGCCAATTCAGGAACCCGTCTTTCTGTCGGTAAACGCCGTTCAGCTTCCGCGCCACCACTGCGAGGAGGAGTCGAGGACGTCACTGGCGCAAGCAACGTACGGCCCCAGCCCAGACCACGACCCAGTGAGCTCATCGCCATGGTCATGGCCGTCTTTCTCAAAATAGCATCTCACCTGTTCCACCCCACGCCAGTGACGAACACATAGCTAACGAACTTGTACGACGCACTACCTCAACAGGACCAACCCACCATGCCGGCACTTTCTGACAGTGCGCCCAAGAGCTCCTCAACTACCGGGCACCATGCACGCAGCAGCGAGAAGGCATCCGTCTCGCCCATCCACCACCCACCGAAAACAACTCGCCCACTGCCCTTTTTCCGCCCGACACGCGCTGTATTCATGCCCCACCCAGACGGGGACGTCTCCGGCGAATTACAGCGCGTCCCATCCACACACTGGTCCTCGCGAGCTTCTAGGAAACGTCGGTACTCGTCGCGGCCTATTCGCGTAGCCCCCCATTCTGCACCCGGCGCTGCAGACCTCCGAGAGACGTCAGCGGTGCAAAAGGACCTCAGCTTGCTTGAGCAACGGGTACGGCATCCCGAGACCCGGCTCAAAGTGCATCTCACCTGGGACATCTCCTTCTGGGTCGCCGTCGTGTTCGTACTCGGGTCGACAGTATGGGTAAGTCCATGTCCTCGTCTCGTGCCCCCGCCAACGCTAACCGCTTCTTGAATTCTGCTGCGGCAGATCATTAACGGCTTTTTCCTGTTCCTCCCGCTCGTCGACCTCGGCTCGGACAACTTCCCCGCGTCGGCGTGGTCGGCGTTCGCGGGAGGCACCCTGTTCGAGATTGGCAGCTATCTCATGTTCGTGGAAGCCCTCAACACCGGCCACGACGAGCTATTCGGCCCGGCCGTGCGCGAGCTCGTGGGACATGCGAGGCGAACGGTGCCCGAGGCGCCATCCCAGGACTCGAGTAGCGCGGATGCGGAGAAGGGCCTGACAGGCGGCGGCGACAGCGGCCGCCGACGCGTAAGGTTCCGCTGGATGTGAGTGCACGGCGTCGCCCGGTTTGGACTAGCCTCGACGGGCAGCACACGCTAACGGGGCGCATCGGTGCGTGGTGGCGTGTAGTGGCAGGGGCGACTGGCGCGAGCTCGGGTTCCTCGCGTGCGCGGTGCAGATGGGCGCGGCGACGATCTTCTGGGTGTCGACCATGTGAGTGCGGCGCGGTTCCCGCGACCCGTGGCGTTGACTGACGGACGGGCACTAGCACGGGCCTGCCGAACGCCATCGCGGGGTTCCCGGAGGACCCGCCTACAGCTGTCACGGACGTGTTCTACTGGACCCCGCAAGTGCTGGGAGGCACTGGCTTCATCATCTCGTCACTACTGCTCATGATCGAGGTCCAAAAGAAATGGTGGCAGCCTAATTTGCGCAGCATGGGATGGTGAGCACTATCATGTGCTATGGGTAGACTTGACGTTTGCTGATGCTGTACCTAGGCACATCGGGTTCTGGAACTTGGTCGGCGCGGTAGGCTTCACGTTGTGCGGCGCCCTTGGTTATGCCTCTTTAGCATCCACCAAAGTGAGTTTCTATGCTGTTGCGCCATGAAAAGGCAGTGTCTACTGCCTCATACTAACCGCTCTTTACGCCCTCAGGTCAACTACCAGAGTGTGCTGTCCACGTTCTGGGGATCATGGGGGTTCTTGATCGGGAGCGTTATCCAGCTGTGGGAGACGTTATGGCGCGAAGACTCGGGCCCTCCGAAGTCTGAGCCTGACTCGGAAGCAGATGATTAGATACAGTATCATTATTCTCCTGATACCCAGACCATCAGTCCTTTCACGCGGACTTGTACACACCTGTCTGTTGTATACCATAGTTTGTTTCACGGGGCCCCAATACATGTGTGTGGCATTCTTAGATCGCGAACACAAACGGAACTTCTGAACATGCCAAATTGAGATCGTCCAATGAACCCCTTAGATAGACGCCCGACTGCATCGGGCGGCGCGGGCGTTGCTGCTCACTCCTACGCTCTCCTTTCCACAACCACGCTATCCAACCACCCATCCAACGACCGCGACCGTAACGAACATAATGGTGCGCCCCTTTTATAACAAATACAAGCTGTAAACTGACGATTGACGCGTCGCAGAGCGATAACGCAGGTACGCACGCCCTGTTGCCATCGCGGACCCAGGCCTAGGATAATGACCGTGGGGGGACCGAACAGAATACAAGGAGGCATTCGCTCTGTTCGACAAGAAGGGCACGGGCGCCGTGCCGCGCGAAGTGCTCGGGGACCTCCTGCGTGCGCTCGGGCAGAACCCGACGCAGGCTGAGGTGGCGGACATCGTTGCGGGCGCGCCGCGGGATGGTGCGTTTACAATAATCGTGAATGAACTTCGGCGTGCTCATCGCGTGTCTTCATACTTTTGCTGTGGAACGTGGATGTTGTGCATGATACTCGACGGGTCCGTGATGCGTTCGATGGAATCGGCGTGCTTCTGTGCTGGGGGATGCGTTGCGGGCGTGCAGTCGACTACAAGTCATTCCTCACGATCCTGAACCGGCCAGACGGCTTCAAGCCTGCAGGGACACCAGGTGCGTACCCCATCCTTCATACCGCTCACAGTATCCCTCAATGCCTCCTCCTGCACTTGCCCCGCCTCTCCCCATTCTCTCACACACACTCTTCATCTCCGTCATACGCGCCCGCCACCGACCGCCTTAATCAATGTACACCCCGGACGCGGCCCGCGCCGATCAGAGGAGTTCATCCGCGGGTTCCAGGTGTTCGACAAGGAGGGGAACGGGTTCATCGGCGCGGGCGAGCTGCGATACGTGCTCACGCAGCTGGGGGAGAAGATGTCGGACGAGGAGGTGGACGAGCTCCTCAAGGGCGCGCAGATCGGACCGTGAGTCGCTCCTTCCCTTCCTTTTCATGCGTGGTTGGGAGTGTGTGCTGAATTGGGGCGGTAGGGACGGTACCGTGAACTACGAGTCGTTCGTGCGCACGATCCTGAGCCAGTAAATGGACGAGACAGACGTGAATAGCGGAAGGTGTGGCCATAGCGTGTAATGATACCATTGTTGACGTCGTCGTGCTTGTTGTCTTTCTTATTCTCGGATGCTGACGAATGGGACCTGCGAACCTTGAAGCTTCGCCGGCAGGAGCTTGCTCCGTGCGCGTGTCCACTCATGGTGGTACACTTGCCGCGATCGGTGCGTTGTTGACCAAGAAAAACTATCGATTACGCCAAAGTACACTAAGGTGAGCAGTCTATCTGCAGGGCTTCCGTCAAGGAAGCCTGTGTGGCCTAACTCTATCATATCTGATGCAACAGCATGCAAGGAGAGGAGCAACATGACCGGTATGTCACCCCCATAGCAAGAAACCAAGCGGGAAAGCATAGGTATACTCGACAACGATCGCAAAGCAGCGGCACCCTTTTACGAGGACACGTACGTGGTCCCGAGCGGGCTCAGGGTCGCGTCCGCGTTCACCAGGTTGCCGGCAGCGGTCATGAACCACGCATAGTGCGACACGCTCTCCAGCCCGTCCAAGAACGGCACCATCGTCTGCAAGAACTGCTGCTGCTGCTCGACCGAACCCGTCGCGCCGAACTCGGTGATGAGCACGGGGCGCTTGTAGCGCGTCCCCAGGTCGGTGATGTACGACTGGTAGTACGCGACGTTCGTGGCGGAGTCGTAGATGTGCGCCGCGATCGCGTCGACCTGGCACCCGAGCTTGTCGCACGCGGCGAGGAAGTCGTCCATCCAGCCCGTGCCCATCGCGGGCGGCGCCCCGTTGGTGATCGCGGGCGAGACGAGCGTCGCTTTGCCCGCGAACGGCTGCATGAACTGCATCCACTGCGTCGCTGCGTCCTGCGGGCTCGTGTTCCCCTGCGAGGACAGGTCTGGCTCGTTGATGCTACACATCGCACGCGTGTCAGACATACCCGCAAACGGTTCTGAGCTGTGCGGGGGGCTGAAACTCACAAGAGCAGGTGCGTGCTGCCCTTGGCGATCGCAGCGTTCGCGTTCGCGGCCCACTGCGTGCTGTGCTCGGGCGCGGCGCTGAAGAGCATCGGGAAGAACGTGACGCCCGCGGGGAGGTCGCCCTGGAACGTCGAGTCCCAGTCGTACGCGAACGAGACTTGTCTGTCCACGCGTGTTAGCCACCGCCACTATAAACAGCGCGAGTGGGGGCGGGGCGACTTACGAGCTGGTGAAGTCCTTCGTCAGCGAGGCGTCGTTGAAGGACAGCCCCCGCTTGATGGTGGACCGGGTCGAGAGCGCGGTGGACGTCGGGGGCGGCACCGCGGCAGTCCTGTGGCGAAATCAGCGGCGTCAGCGAAACCGCGCCCGGAGCGAACCGCCCTCCTCGCATCGGAGCGGGGGGCACGTGGAACGTACGTGGGCGCGGGGGCGAACGTGGGGGACGCGCCCTGGCGGCGGGCGTGCTTCTTCTGCATGTGCTGCGCGCCTTGCGCGGAGGACGCGAGGAGGAGCGCGATAGAGAGGAGGGAGGCGGCGGACTTCATCGTGGCGTGCGTGGGGCGTTAGTTTTTCCTGACCGGCGGGAATTACTGTGTTATATGAGGCAGGGGCGCAGTGAGCGGGTAGGTGAACGATTGTGGTGTGTGCAACGAGGTGCAGCTAAAGAGACAGATGGGGGGTAGGGATGAGCGGGGAGATGGACACGGAAGTGTTGGTTGAGGACGAACAAGTTCCGGGGTTTTGTCGATTGGGTCGCTCGATCTTTTTAAAGGACGCGCTTGGCTATGGACGCGCGCATGGGTCGGTCCTCGGAAGCACCGCGCTTAAGCTGCGGACGTCTGCGGTCTTTGCGAGGTTTGGTTTCGAGCGGTGTCGATGACGCGCTGATGTGATGTGCAGCGTGCCAACCGTGGCGAGCTCATGATATTCATGATCTCGTCCCGGGGCCCCGACTCAGCCGTTTGTTTAATGAGCGAGTACGATGGGCGAGGCTTGGCTAGGGTAGAGTCAACACGCGTGCAAAAGTGCGCCTTGACGACCCCAGCACAACACCGCGCGGCGCAAAGCGTCAAGACTCAATACACGAGAGCCGGCGGTTCGCCCAGTGATATCGATGAAGCAAACCCGCGCGGCACCGTTCGCGAGCGGGCATGCGACGTCCTATTACAGGTCTGAACTTCAACCCCCTGGCCGCGCGCTCGCTCGAAATAGGGACTGGGGATGACAGAACTCACCTGCCGGGCGCCCGAGCCCGAGTGCGATTGGTGGGTCCAGTTGTAGCCAGGCACGCTGGCCCTTCGTGCGGCGATCATGGGGAGGTTGGAAGTGTTGTGTGCAAATTCGGGCTTCTGTGGCAGGCAAGAGTGCGGGGCCGGGCTATAATGAATTCAGGCATCCCGGGCCAGGGTGATCCGTGGTGCTGCGGAAACTTGGCAAGGGATGAGTGTGTACCCCGGGCCTCCGGGTCTCGACTCCGACTTCAAGGGCTCTTGCATGGTTTGGAGGGCCTTGTGTCTGCGTGTGTAACTGCGGGCCACGTTTACTCGGACATGCGAGAGCGCAGTGAGTGTAGCGGTGCGGACAAACGTTGAACAGTGTCTTGATAGGTGCTGCGTACGGCGCGGCTTCGGTGTGTCAAGACATGTGCCCCGCCACGGCTGCGACTCGTGTGCGCACGCCTGGATGTTCCAGCCATCCGCCTGTTCGATAGGATGCACTGGGCAGGTATCTGCTGCTCTTTGCGGTGTGCGCTGGCGATATGGGCGGGATCGGAAGTCGTTGTGGCGGCATAGCTTAGGCTCTCATCAACTCGACCGTGATGGAGACTTGCGAATGTGGTACTTGTATGTAGCGACATGGTTGCGAGCGTTGTACGTTGACGGAGCGCCTCCCAACGCGCATGAAGGAATTCTGTTCTGGGCCGCCGCGCCGTATGCGGTGTGGTCCGCCACTCGGAGGGTAGGCTCTTCAAGATTCTAGATGTCGAATGCGCAGCCAGTCATATGTTGTATCACGGAAGCCTTTGCTGTTCGGCATGTTCCCCTGGTGCCGTCCCGCCTTGCTTGAGGTGCTGCCATGGTGTTCAGACGAGGGTGCTCCGAGATTCGGCTGATGGTATGAGTACCTGCTGCGCTTGCAAAGCGCAGCGGATATGTTGGCAAGTTGAGGCGTAACAAATCGAGCGCTGCGATAGGTGCGCTCACTCGTCGGCTTGCTATAGGTCCACCTGCCTGGTCCAGGTACGATGGTGTGAGGCCAGATATGATCGTCTTCACAGAAAGGGAGGCCAATCGGTCACAGAACCGGCATCGGCGATCGATCTATACATACGTGCCGCTTTCCTCTGCGCCGGCGCCTCTGGACCCCCGCCTCGTCCCCTTTCGGATCTCGCTGCCCCTTCGCCCTCGCTAGCACGCTGTATACACCCTGTAAATAGACTGAAATCCACAGTAAATGCATGCGGTACATGTACATCACGACCTGGATATCGCGAACCCCTCACTGGCCCGCTACACGCCGCGCGGAGAGGGTGCCCAGTGCGCCATACGGGCGATCGCGCCCCCTGCGCCCGCCCCCTGCGGGCGCGAGACGTCGATTGACAGCGAACAAACCGGCCTTGGAAGACGCCGCGACACGACATGAAGCTGTTCAGAAGGCAGGAAGCTCGTCAGCGAGGTATAAGGTCGCAGCGCGGCCGTCCAAGTCCCAGAGCAGCCCCGCCCCGCCCCTTCCCCCCTCCCCCTCCCCCGGCCAGTCTCCCCGTACACGAACATGTCTCAATCCTCGTCGCACAAAGCGCCTGCGTCCATCCTGCACGTTCCTCCCTCCCCTACCGGTCGATCGGTGTACAGTAACGGTGATCATAATCGGCAACCACATAATTGCCACGCGAGCCGACACAGTGGCATTAACCCAGAACACTGGCTTTTGCGTTTATGAACTTAGTACGGCCACCAGCCGCTTGGTAGATCGCTCAACTCTATTTCCTACCCTCTCTTTTGCAACTATGTGCGTGCTTCCTGGCCTGGAGAGCGCAGCATGACCCCCCGACCCTCGGTCCTATCACGAGAGGCCTGCGCTTTGTACCTGCACCCCGTTGGGCGCAAGGCAATTACCACGACGACCAGCCGAGCGAAAGCCAGCTCTGTCATACTCCACCTTCCAAGCCCGTCCCTCGCCCACAAGGATCACCCCAAACTTCGTCCGAAGGTCGCTGGCCATCCAGAGTTTCCGCATCGCCTACGCGATGCGCGGTAGCTGCTAATGTTGCTGCGCGGTTCCCATTAGCGGACACGGTATCCCACGTTGAGGCGCGACTTCCGGAATCTTGCCGCTCGAGATGAACCTCCGTATGCACCTCCTGCTCTCATGTGCGGTATATTGTGCTCATACTGGCCTATTCAGAGCACACCGAATGGACCAGGCATGGTGCGTTGTCGTGGCTGTTGAGACGATCAGCGCAGTGAGCCGTTAAACTTCAAAGAAGTTGGAGGACAAAGCCGGGCAGATTAGATAAGATGTGGGGCGCCAGTGTTTGGCGCGGCTAAGCGAAGGCGCAGCAACGGCGAAAGGGAACTGGCGTGGTTCGTGCGTTTCTCTCTTATACCACGTCCTCGGGTCGCAAGTCCACTACCTCATTCCTTTCCTCCGGTGGCGGCTCTTCCTGGGTGGTATATCGTACCCTCGTCCCTCTCAGACCCCACCGTCGCTCTTTACACCAACGCTCTTTCGCTATGTCCGTCTTTGCTGCTGCTGCGACCAACGGTTCGACCGCCGCTCCTGCACCTGTCGCGGCCGGCCCCGTAGTCAACAACACGGAGCTGGTCTTCAACGTGGACCTCTTTCTGCTATGTGCCGTCGCTATCTTCGTTCTCATGCTCTTGCCCCGCGCCGCGGTTCGTTTCACGCACAAGCGCGAATGGACCAACGGCCACTTCCTGCACTCGGTCGCCGTCACCGGCGTATCTGCTATCATGCGCCGTCCCTCCAAGCGCGATGCTGTTCTCTCTCCCTTCCCTGCCGCGCACTTCCCTGGTCTCAAGCACCCGCAGCCGGAAGGGAAGCAGTTCGAGCTTGAGGAGACGGAGCAGTGGGCGTCGACCACAGACGCCTCGCACACGTATGCGTCGCATGCCGATCTCGTGCGCAAGGCCTCAACTGCCACTGGGCGCGAGCGCAGGCGGCAGAACGTCCCTACGCACATGCCTGGATGGTCCACTATGCTCCCAACCATCGCGGCTTTCCTGCGCACCACTATTCGCCCTGGCCTGACTATCGGTAAGGGCTTGGTTGAGCTGACATACTTTTCCGTCATGCTCTATGCCGGTCTGTACAAGTCGAACCCGTTCACGACGCCTATCCGCGCCGGGTTCGTCGCTGTTAGCCAGATCCCGATGGTTGTTGCCCTCGGTACCAAGAACAACGTCGTCGGGATGCTGATCGGCTTTGGTTACGAACGGGTGAGTAACGCTCAAACCTCTTGTTCGGTCGAGTGAATTCTGACGCCCCCTCGTCTCAGTTGAACTACCTCCACCGTTTCGCTGGCCGGATGCTCGTCCTCGCGGCAAACGTCCACGCCATCGGCTACTGTAAGTTTTTGTCTCAACCGCAGCTTCCGGCGACTAATCATCCGAACGCGCAGTCTATTCCTGGACCGCCGCTGGCAACTTCGACAAGTACATCAAGCAGCCCGACATGCAGTGCGCCCTCGTTGCACTCATTGCAACGGACTTGCTCCTGCTTCTCTCGACCAACATGTTCCGAGAGAAGTTCTACAACTCCATCTTCATCCCCTCCCACGTCATCTCCGTCATCACGTTCCTCGTAGCGGTCTGCTACCATGTCCCGTTCGCGGTGCCTTACGTCCTGTTTGCCGTCGGGTTCTACGGCCTTGACCGCCTCATGCGGCTGGTCAAGTCCCGTGTCGCTACCGCGCGCCTCCGCCCTCTCCCTGATCTCGGCATGACTCGCGTTGAGATCCCCGCGATCAACGCCGGATGGCGCGCTGGCCAACACGTCCGTATCCGCGTCCTGTCCCTCGGTATGGGTTACCGCCGTTGGGCCGAAGCCCACCCTTTCACCATCGCCAGCGTTTCCCGCTCTGCCAGCGGTGAGGGCCTCGTGCTCATGGTCAAGAAGGCGGGCGACTGGACGAACAAGCTGTTCGATCTCGCTCAGCGGGCCGACTACGGCGAGGCGAACCGCATCGGCAGCAACGTCCGGGTCATCATTGAGGGCCCGTACGGCGGCCCCGGCCATGCCATCTTCGGCAGCTTCTCTGGCGCAATGTTCGTCGCGGGAGGCAGCGGTGTCACCTTCGCGCTCGCGGCGGTCCAGGATCTCATGAAGAAGGACCTCGAGTACAAGTCGCGCGTACGCGCGATGGAACTCGTCTGGTGCATCCAGGACCCCGCCGCGCTCCAGCCGCTCATCCCGCTCTTCTCGACGCTCATCGCCCAGGCGCAGCACTCGTACGCAACCCTCCGCATCTCCGTGTTCTACACGCGTGCGCCGAAGAACCCCGAGGTCGTGAAGTCGTACCGCCTCCCCCCTGGCCTGACGCTGTCCCCCACGCGTCCCAAGCTCCCTGGCATCCTCTCTGGCGTCGTCGACCGCTCCGCCGCGCTGTTCTCCGGTGGAGGCAAGGAGCGCCGCCGCGGTGGTTCTGCCCTCACCGGTGTTATCGTCGGCGTGTGCGGTCCTGCTTCTCTCGGCGACGAGGTCCGCAGGGCCGTCGCCGGCTTCCCGGCGGACAGGCGCAAGGCCATCGGCGGCATCGAGCTACACGAAGAGTACGTATTATTTGGTGTTTGTTGTACTGTGCGTAGCGCTGACTGACGTCTGTTTGTTCTCAGGGCCTTCGGCTGGTAAACGGACAACACATCATCAACACACCGCCTATGCGCGTTGCCGCGGGCGACACCCGACGTCCTCGGCATCTCCGCATCCCTATTCTCGGCTCTCCTCTCTGATATCGTATCGTATCTGCGCTCTCCCCCTTTCTTCTCTCGTCTTAACTTCCGTTGACAACGGTCCACTCACCACCCCCGTAATGGTGCTGTGGCAGGCTGTGCGGGCGCCGCGCGCTCGCGCTACGTTACACCTTACCTACATACACGCACACACACTCAGTCTGCATATAGAAGTCTGCGACCCGATGCGCTGTTTGTGTCTGCCTGTCGGCTAGGCTTTTTCTTCTTGTTCTTTTATTGCCTCTGTTATTGTCGAGCGCACGCGCTGTTACGACACTGTACTTATCCGACCCATCAGCCCGCGGGCTGCCGCCGCAGCGGGCGCAGCGGGTCTGTGCTCGCGTATCGTATCGCCTGTATCATAGCACAGAAGTTGTCACACACTACGTTGTCGAATAGATGTTAGATCTTGCTGTAGATCCTGCGCTGCGTTGGCGGGTTGTGGACTTCTCTTCGCGGCGACCCTGCACTCCGGTGGGTCGGGGTTGTTGCCCTTTGTGAGGCCGGTGGCGTGGCGCAGGGGTCATCTCCGGCCGGTAAACGTTGTTGTTTGGGCGGTAGGGTGTATGCCCGTCGAAGAGCTCGGGGGTGTTCTTGTCCCGGTGTCAGTATCAACGAGGTTCGTTTTATAGGGAGCTCGGCTACTTGCCATGGGAAACATACGGGCTGTCGTAACCTACGCCGCCGTGCGATTGGATCCCAGCCTTGACAGTGTAGATATGCGCTCGCAGATACGCCGCGCCGACGATTGGGAGCTTCGTCATGTTGTTACAGTGCTCAATGTGTATCAATTGCGCTTGCCAGGTTTACCTGGGTCGAGTCGGTCCGCGTGGGATAGACTTGATAGACTTGGCGCGTATCCTTTCCGCTGCGCTACAGAACATCCTTACCATAACGGATGTTGTGGCCTCATGCGCATCTCATAAGTCTCGCAGCTTCGGAGCGGCTGTGGCTCCGGTCGACGTTTGGCGTCCTCTGTGCTACCGCTCGTATCGATCTTGAAGACCTGCCAAATCTGGACAAGCGGACCTTGCCGACCGCAACTGTGGCCGCATCAGGAACGCCGATGGTCTGGTTAACTTGTTACCACATCCTGAGCCTTTACCATGCAGTTTCACACGAAACGACAAGTATTGTACTGACCCTCGACACTACCAAGATCAGCAGGCCTGCGCAGGTGTCTATTAACGCGCACAACGCGAGGGGTATCATGGCGTTCATGCGAAATGCCGACCGGGAAGCCGACAGAAGCACCGGCGACCCATCCGAAGAAGCGTCGGACTGCCCTCACTCTGACGGATGCGAACACCAAATTTTCGTCGGGATTGGTCAGGGGTTGCAGGGAGGCCCGCAGGGAACATCAAATGGAGGTTTGAGATGCCATGCAGCTGCTAGCAGATACGTCTGAGGGGTGCTGATTATAACGGAAGAAGCAGAGGATGTGGTTGCTCAAGAAGTCCATCGGCGTCCCTTTTGCGGCGGCAGCTTTGGTCTCTCGTCTAGTACGAAAACCGCATGGTAAGTAGCAGAGACCGTTCTCACCGCATCTTGACATAAGGAAGTTTCACCTACTACGCCCGTCGTTCTGAGTATATCAAAACTCCCTAGATGAACGGGCCACCGTAGCGTGCCTTATACACTCTTCGCACAGCTCCCACAGCTGACGCGGTGCGGGAAATGCTCACTGCGTGGTCGTGATCTTCGACGCCTTCTGTCCGATCCGCGATGGAGGCTGCGCAAGGGCAGTCCGTCCTTGCATCGGCGTCGTCGCGACAGCGAATCCTCAGAGGTATGATGGCCCTCTCGATAATCCTACATAAAGCGGAACGACTGCGTGACAGCTGAAACAAAGAGTGGGCTCCGCCGCCGCCCGCCATGAAGCTCTCTCCTGCTTTCTTGATCGCATCCTTGGTTGGCAGCGCGTATGGAACGCCGACAGCCCGTAGCCTAGTGGTGCACGAGACGAGGGAGAGCGTCCCAGCGTCCTTCAAGGAGGTTGGCCCTGCGCCGCCGGACACGGTGCTTAACCTGCGCCTCGCCCTCGTGCAAGGCAACTTTTCTGCACTCGAGAAGGCGCTGATGGACGTCAGCACGCCCGACAGCCCACTGTACGGCCAACACCTGAGCAAAGAGGAGGTATGTTCGCGAGCTGGTTATATGTGTCTAGCACCTCTCATCGTTTTCCTCAGGTCGCGGCGCTTGTCGCTCCGAAGCCAGAAACCGTGGCTGCGGTCAATACGTGGCTGTCGGAGAACGGTATCCAGGCGTCCAAGGCGTCCTTTGCGGGCGACTGGCTCAAGTTTAGCATCCCAGTCAGCAAGGCGAACGCGTTGCTTGGCACCACATTCTCCGTGTTCAACCATACCGCGTCTGGTCGGACGTCCATCCGCACACTTAACTACTCCATTCCCGCAGACCTGAAAGGTCACATCGATCTGATTCATCCTACTATCGCGTATGTTGTGCAGCTGCATGCTTCATGCGACCGAGGATCTGACCAGCTGGAAAATGCAGCTTCACCCAGTCTATCGGTGCACCGAAGCTCGCGTTTACTCCCCGCAAAGACGTACAGGCGCGCGCACTCAACGTAACTTCGGACGCGGTACCCGCGTCTTGCGCGACAACCACCACGCCAACTTGTCTACAAGCGCTATATGGGATTCCAACTACTCCGGGGCCAGTGAAAACTAACAACACATGTTGTGTGAGCGGGTACATTGAGCAGTGGGCTAACGAGCAAGACCTCCGCGTGAGTGTTGTGGGTCGTAGCTGTACAGACGCTTGCTCAGTGTCTTTGGCTCAATTCCACAGACGTTCTTAACGAACCTGAGTCCGGACATCAATCCAGCGACAACGTTCGACTTGTTCACTATCAACGGTGGCACGAACCCACAAGGGCTGTCGCAGGCTGGGATCGAGGCGGTAAGTGTCGAAATTCGGATCTGGATAAGCATCGTGATTGCTGACTGAGCGCAGGACTTGGATATCCAATACACCGTCGGTCTTGCCCCTGGCGTCACAGTCCTCTTCGTCTCAGTTGGGCCCGATAACGCCGACGGGGACGACGCGGGATTCCTTGATACCATTATCTCTGCATTGGGCTGCCAAACGCCGCCGACCGTCCTCTCGACGAGCTACGGCGGAAACGAAGACGAACTCCCCGTGAACCTTTACCAGTGCGCCTGCACCACTCCGTCACTGCGCCGCGGTGTTTGCTGATCTCTGAGTGCTTCAGGAATCTCTGCAATGCGTACGCGCAGCTTGGTGCGCGCGGGACCTCTATCTTATTCTCCTCCGGGGATGGCGGCGTGTCTGGAAACCAGGCCGAGCAGTGTACCACCTTCGTCCCCACCTTCCCGTCTGGCTGTCCCTTGTGAGCCCCCTCACCTCTACCGTGGTTTATTACCGCAGACATGCTTACCACGCGTACAGCGTAACCTCCGTCGGTGCGACGACTGGCATTGGGCCCGAGGTCGCCGCAAGCTTCTCGAGCGGCGGCTTCTCAAACGTCTTCCCGACGCCGTCATACCAAGCCGCCGCAGTATCCCAGTACCTGAACGGGCTAGGCAACACAAATGCGGGGCGCTTCAACCCGAGCGGGCGCGGGTTCCCGGACATCGCCGCGCAAGGCGCGAATATAGAGATCGTGTTCCAGGAGCAGTTCGGCACCGTCGACGGCACGAGCGCGTCGACGCCGATCGTGGCGAGCATCATCGCGCTGCTGAACGACCTGCTGGCGGCGCAGGGCCGGCCGCCGCTCGGGTTCTTGAACCCGTTCTTGTACAGCGTGCAGGGGGCGGCGGCGTTCACGGACGTGACGATCGGGAGCAACCCCGGGTGCAACACGAATGGCTTCCCGGCGCGTCCGGGGTGGGATCCGGTGAGTCGAGGCACTTGGTTTGATGAGGCGAATGGCTGACGGGTGTATGACGCTGCAGGTAACTGGTCTGGGTACGCCGAACTTTGCAAAGCTCCGGTCGGTAATTGGCGTTTGAGGGCCGATGTGAAGGCGGAAGTGCGCGGGTTTGTAGAAGTAGTGGGGAATATTTTTATATTGGGATCGTGTGTTCAGGACGTTCCATAGGGGGCCTATGTAATGGGTCGTGGGACGAAATGATTTTTTTCTTGCGAGAGTGGGTGAATTTGGCTTACACCTCGGTCGGACCTCTGGTGATGATCGATGAGGCCTTTAGCATTTGACCAACACGAGTTATAGCGCCAGATATTTCCCTCGGGGCTTACTACACATCTACTACATATCTGCAGGAAGGCTGGCCGGAGACAGTGTGCAAGCAACGTACACTTGAGAGACACAGATAGGACACAGTTTTTATCATTTCTGTCAGACACTATTTTGTGGGGGCCGAGTCTTCTACCGTCTCGGACAGAACGACGATATCTGGATTTGCTTCTCCGAAGGTGGAGTTGCGTTTTGGCAGAGGCTTCTTCGGCCGTGCCTTCTTTTCTTGGCCGGAAGAGACTACGATGTCGACGTCTGAGTCGGAATCCGAGCCCGAGGACGAGTCTTCCTCGGAGCTGGAGTCGGACGAAGAGTCGTCCGAATCGTCTTCTGAGCTTGAGCCGGAATCGGAATCGGAATTTCCCATGGCCACGTCGAAGTCGACGTCCGCCACCGGGATTCCTGCAGGGATTTCACCGTGGTGATCGAAGACCCCCAGACCGAGGTCCTAGCACATACGATAAATCAGAGTCATGCTAAATGCGATAAACAGAGGAAACACACCATCTCGATGTACTGCTCTTGATCCTCGCCAACGTTCTCGATATCTACACTCTCCGGATTCTCTTGTGCTCTACGGAGCAGGTCTGCGTTGGATGCGGCGAGTTCTGGCAGGAATGCTTGTATACGAGAGAGCACTGGGAGGCATATATTTCAGTATGCGTAGGAAGAGATGCGCGATGTTGGATAGCTGGGACTTACGTTCTAAAGGAGGTCCCGCCGGATGTGTACTCCTGTCACCGAAGTCAAATGGTCGCGGCACAGAGGTACTGCCATTGGATTCGGGCGAGGACGCATTCAGTCTAGCAAGTAGGCCATCTACACAGAAGTTATGGGGCCATAATAGACGGGCAGGGGAAAGCAAACTCACGCATGCGTTCTTGTCGTTGCTCTTCGTCCTCGATCTCCAACACCTCCACCGCACGGTGTGGCTTCTGTTCGGCAGCCATTGTATGCTGTAAAGATCACAGAGAGCCCAGATGAGATGGTCAAGTCAGAGGTTGCAGCTTCAGAGGATATATGGACGCGGTAGAGGTGTTCTTCGGGCAGAACAGACTGAGACGATCGGGAAGAGGCCAAGCGGAAGCGCTTAAAGAAACCGCTCAAATTAGCGCCCATAATGCCGGAGTATCGCGGTCCGCCTGCGGCCCGCAGTTCCCCGCAATCTGGCCAAACCGTGTCCTTCGTCGCGACCCGCCTTCAGGATTGTGCCATCCTCATCGCCCCCGCGACGCATTGTATCGACGTCTGGGAAGAGTTCCGACAAGAGTACCACGCTAAAGACTGCGGAGAGACCGAGCTGGACACCGGCGCCATGTCTAGGCACCCCCGGCGACTGAAGAGATCTCATCAGCCTTCGCAGTTTCAACGCCGAGACGCCTCCTTCCCTCCGACCACGACGTTCCCCGCGGCTTACTCGACAACATGAGGTCCCCTGCTTTACTGCTTGCGACCACGGCCGCGCTGTACCCTGCGTATGCATTCCAGCTGCCGTTCAACATCCCTTTCTTCGGCGGATCACAGACACCGCTTACCGCCCCTCAACTCCCGGACACGGATACGACAGTGCCCAACCGCATCGCCATCATTGGTGCGGGCGCGGGTGGCTCATCTGCGGCGTTCTGGATTGCGAAGGCGAAGGAGCGGCATGGACTAGAGGTGGAAGTGGACGTGTATGACAAGAACGCGTATGTTGGTGGACGTGAGTGCACTGTGCTGCGGAGTCGCGTCTCGGTTGCAACCTCTCTAGCGCATCGAGACTTGATGAGTTGAGGATCATAGAGCTAATGCAGCTTTGCAGGAAGCACCACCGTGTTCCCCTATGAGGATGAGAACCTGGAGGCGGTTGAGTTGGGCGCGTCCATCTTCGTGAAGGTTAACAAGAACCTGTGGCGCGCCGTCGACGAGTTCGGTCTCGAACGCGTCGACTTCGAGAGAGATGACGATGGCGACGACACCATGGGCATCTGGGACGGCCACGAATTTGCCTTGACAGTAAGCCGCGAGTGTGTTACGCGTTCCGAGGTATCTACTTACTATGATCTAGACTAGCGGTGGTAGCTTCTTCAGCGACTGGCTGAACAAGATCAAAATTATTTGGCGGTATGGATACAAGGCCCCTTCGAAGACGCAAGAATTGTGAGTTTTTCTCAACCAGTCTCATACTAGTGCTGTCCCTGATCCCACATGTCCAGGGTCGCGACGATGGTCGGCATTTTCCAAGGGCTATACAGCTCAGAATCTCCTCGATGGTCGAATATCTCCTCGGTCGTCTCGGACCTGGGCTGGTCAGATGTCACTGCGCAGACGACTTCTGAGTACTTCGACTTGCAGGGCATCGACAGGCGCTGGACCAGGGAGTTGGTCGAGGCCGCCACTCGCGTCAACTACGGACAGGCAAGCGCGCGTGTGCAGTGTTCTGGGATGCAGCAGTTGACGGAGAGTAACATAGAATGCGGATAAGATACACGCTCTGGAGGGCCTTTGTTCCCTGGCTGCCAGCGGCGCCTCAAGCGTGAAAGGTGGCAACTTCCGCATCTTCGAGCACTTCATTGCCGAGTCGAAGGCGTCCGTGTTTCTCAACACGACTGTATGCATTTCCTCCCGTTGCTGGCATAGCCACTACTCACCTGTTTGCCTTCACCCAGGTCAAAGCCATCTCCCAATCTGAAGCGACCGGAGCTTGGGTCGTGGACTCGTCTGCGTTCAAGCAGCCCCGCGCATACCGTTCCGTAATTCTCGCAGCGCCCTTCCACCAGACGAACATCGACTTCAAGGCCGCCGCCCTCGCCCCAGTCCCAGAGCAACCCTACGTCCACCTGCACGTCACGCTCCTCAGCACGTCGTCCCCCTCCCCCAACGCGACGTACTTCAACCTCGCGCCCGGCACGAAGGCGCCCACGACGCTGCTCACGACGTACGAGGGCGTGCGCGTGCGCGGCGGCGCGGAGCCCGAGTTCAACTCGCTCACGTACCACGGGCCCGTGCGCGGGCAGGACGGCGAGGCGCGCGTGAACGTGTTTGGGGACAGGGAGTGGGTCGTGAAGATCTTCTCGAAGGCGCGATTGAGCGATGAGTGGCTGGCGACGCTGTTCGAGGGGAAGGTAGGATGGGTGCTGAGGAAGGAGTGGGATGCGTACCCGGTGCTCCCGCCAACAATCGAGTTCCCGCCTGTGAAGCTCGCGGAGGGCCTGTACTACGTGAACGCATTCGAGCCGTACGTGACGTCTCATCTTCTTTGTACGACTCGCGCTGACGATCTTCACTTGCAGGCTTATCTCGACCATGGAGACCGAGACAATCGCGTCCCGGAACGTCGTCGACCTGCTCTTGCAGGAGCAGTTCAACGCATCCATCTGCAAGCCATCAGCCGCCACGGACCTCGTAGAGGACGCACCCGCCCTCAAAGCCGAGCCCGCCGACTTCGTGCTCGGATGGGACTGCTGAGCGCAGCACAGCCATGTCCTATGTCTTTCTGCCGAGCGCCCCGCCTCGGCGAGCTTGTTTGTCTGTTGTCTGGATCTGCCCGTTATGCTAGCGCTATGAGACTAACCGTGTACATTAAACATTACCTGCCGCTTCCGCCGCGCTAACCTCGACTCGGCGACCTGAACCATGCGTATGTCTATGCATATGCCAGTGGTTAACGCCACGCCGCTATCCCCGTGCCGCTGGGTTGCGTCGCTGCTTAAGTTGCGGCCCCGCGCGCATCGGGCCCTGGGGTGTGTGAGCGAGATCTGTCATGTGTGCGTGTGGGGGAGGCCCGGGGGGTGCAGTGCGGCGCTGGGGTGGGTAAGCCCGGAAAGGCAGGTGCTGTGGTTGGTGCTGGGACTGTGACGGTGTGGGCCACGTCACATCGCGGAGAGTGAAGTCGTTGGAACCTGAACCCCAGTGAGAATCGACAAATGTCGTGGCCTGCGGGAGCGTGCCATGTCGTGCGAGGTCGTGTGAAACCCCGCCACTTTGAGATTGACAGGTCCCAGGCTCGGACAGGCTCAGCACGGCTATGTTGTAAAATGCACGATACTATCCTCCCAGGTCGTCCCTGGGTTACGCTACAATTTAGAAACCATGATGCTACATCGTGTGTACTACTGTCCTATCGTGTGTAATCGTGTCCGTGCGTGCACTGCCTGCCTGCTAGCTACCACCAGGATCGGGCAGGCTGTGGGGGGATGCGGCACTCCGCAAACCTGTTGTATCCTTCCCCGTCTGGGGCCCTGCTGCGTGCCCATACCCACCCGCGCCCTTGCGCCCTCGCGTCCCCGCACCCTTGCCTCCGCGTCCTCGCGCCCCCGCGTCCTCGCGCCCCTGCGTCCTCACGAACTCGCGTCCTTGCGTCCCCGCTCCCGTGCCCCCGCGTTGTCGTGTCCATATGTCATCGTGTCGTCTCCGCGCACTCGTATGGCCTGAGTGTGACCCTACCGCCAACACAATGTTGTTGTCAGTACTACTCCGAATTTCAGCCGCACATGCTTACGAAATGAGGTTGATGTCGTGGCCGATCTCTTCTAGGCAGGCGACATCTGTCGGAGTCCTCCTCCACGAGAGCATCTACAAGCGGATAGCCCTCGAGGAATCAGTGAACGAGATTGTCAGCAGCAATTGGTGAAGGCGAGGAGAGCTCACCATGGGTGATGTACCCACTGCTATTACGGTCATAGTCGTGTCCGCACTGTGTCCTATCGTTGTCAAACACACAGGCGGCAGGAGTACGCTGAGGATCAGAAAAGACAGCGAGCCATAGTGCACCCAAGCAAGCACCAGTCTGAAGAGCCCAGAGATCCCGCTAATGTAGCCTAGAACCAGACCCCAAAGGCATCAGATTTCCGTTCTAGACCCAAGAGTAAGCGGGAGGGGGACGCGTTGATAGAAAGCAAAGGCAGGAATGTAGTGGGCGAGAAGAGAACGCGTAAAACAACCAAATGGAGAGGTCAGTTGAAGTACGCCCACACAGACTCTGTGACAGCGCGATTCTCACGGGTTCGAACGCCCGAGGACAGCTACCTGGTTGACGGAGTGGAGTAGAGAGAGAGCCGCAAGAGACTCATAGACCGATTGATGACAAGGGGGAAGGGTCGACAGACGATTCATTTAGCGGCCTGGAAGGCAAGCCGTTTGATAGGAAACGGAGCACGGGCGTCTAAATACAAGATCTCGCAGTCCCAGACACGACGTCCACGCCCTGCCAGGACCTGACACGACCGGACATTTGTCGATTCTCACTGGGCCTGAACCTGTTCTGGTCCTTTCACTGTCTCCTCCCTATACAAGGACGTTGCTCTATGCAGAGAGGTATTGAGCACAGGCAAATTCTCCCGGGGCGGTTAAAACCCACCCTTGCTCAGCCCTACGAGAAGTTCACGAATATCCTCAGGCGATGGCAGGCATAAGTCGTGAAGGACGGGCTGGTAAGTTTTTGATCGTTGCTCTCCATTCTATGGAATGCTGAGCATGATTGATGACTGCGTAGGATCTCAGGTCGCCTCGAATATCAGCCGGAGCGAGGAATGTAAAAGCCGCACGCGCACACGCAGGAGATAGAAAGGTATAATACAAGGGTGAGCACTGTCACTCTTAGTCTACCATACAGTAATCTCATCTGAAGAGTTAACGGTCATATACCCTACTGATATCATCTCAGAAATATGTGGCCATTGCTACACCAGACTTTATGATCATACGCTGGAGGCGGAAGGTCCTTTACTTGATTCACGATGCCCTACCGTGTCCGGACATAAGGACTCGTCCGCGCGATAGACTGAACTAGCACTGTACGTCGTCATCGATCCACGCCCCCCGCTCATCCCCGAAGAGTCTCACGCAAAACTCATCGGCCGAATGTCCACTATAACCGTCTCATATTCAATGCACCGTCCGCCTGGAATGATATGATGAACATCAAAGTGTATCATCGACCACAACACCACAACAGTTCGATCCGGTCGTAAATCGGACTATGGAATGCGATGGCGGGCCTTCGGGTTTCTCTTGGAATGCCTCTCCAACCTCTACCATGTCCCCGACCCCCTGGGGGACTAGGGCGTGCGAGAAAGTGCCCTACCCGACCCCACGGGTGCCTCGGATGCGAGCAATTTTTTACTGCTCCCCCATCGTCTCCTCGGCGAATTTCGCTGGGACTCCCGCGCCTCTCGCGCGTTCAATACTCGCCTCGCCTTCGGAAAAATCTCTAGCGATGTCAACAACGCCGAAGCTGTTTCGTCGCCGTCATGACCCGTCAGCAGCTTGTCTTCCCTATCACGCTTTTCTGGCAATACAACCCGTTTTGCGGCGTTAGACGCACCGCCGAGCTTCGCGTATCTGTTGTCTGGCCTGTTCTTTCGCTCTCGTCAGTAAACGTGGTACGGCGGATTTGGCGGCGTGATCCAGGTGGAGAGGCGCAGAAGGCGCGGCGCACGGAAGATGCCCTTTCTCTATTGCGTTTACGGCTGTTTGAAAGGGGACTCGCCGTCGTGACGGCGATGCCACTCCTTTCACGGCAATGCTTGTGGATATGGCCGTCCAGGTCCAGGGTGTTCTACCGCTCAGCCGTCGTCGATGCTTCGCTGTGCCGCCGCCGTGCTCAGTTTCGAGACCCTAATGTCTATACCCTGTGCCCTTTCCACACGTAACCCGCTCTCAGCTCTCGTCGGTGGCACGCTTGGCAATCGTCATTCAAGTTCTCTTCTGGAATTTATACCGCTATCTGACGGATCAGCTTTCCAATAAACTCGTCCATTCAATACACGGGCAACTCGTTCTTCATCACTGCGTCTGTGCGTGGGCCGGCGGCGTCAACCGGTCTGGCCTCGAGTGGTCCAGCTACGGGATTCTGCTCAGCGTCTGCCAGCTAATCCATGCGGGCTCGAGGGCATGATCATTGACACCAACTTACCTGGGGACCTTCCGCTTCTTCGGGGCCACCTAGGCTCCGCCGACGGTGGTTGTCCTAAATTCACACTGTCATCTCCTTTGAATGACCTTGAACTCAGCATCAGCACCTTGTCGGCATCACATCAAGCTCCACAGCAATTTGTGACGCCACGCACCGGTCATGAGCGCTGAGCAGGGCACGAGAGGGGGTTCCGCAAGATACCAGGGTGTCCTTGCGACGTCTCGGTGGGCCTCCATCGGCTTATGATGTAAACATTGTGTACGAACACGACGCGGACAGCCTGTATTGAACAGTAGACGTCCATCAGATGCCCGCCTTTCCCTCGGCGACATACTCTTAAAGGCAGGGCAATTGAGTGCAGACGTCCAATAGCACACAATCGGGCGTCCCGGGACGTATACCGGACACAACGTTTCATCTCCACAGTCACACTTCGGGAAGATTAGCGAAGCCCGCGGCCCACAGAGCAGACAGCGCACGGCGCCCCAGAATTGGTGCGCGCACGCCCCACACCACACCTAGAACGCGACCCCATGGGTGTGCAGCACCCGCTCTTGGACGCGCACAGAGTTTTGTGCGCGCCCCTGGTCCCTTGTCGATGACACGGAACGTCCGCGAACGCGCGCGTACGAATCTAAAGCGAGGGAAGTTCGGAGCGCACGTCGCGCACAGGGCCCCTCCGCGCACGCCTCCCAGGACGCTGGCTGCCCGGCCGCTCACTGGCCCGCGCGTCGCGCGTGCAGCCTGCGCTGCAGCCTTCCCTCCCGCGGTGGTTAGAGTTGGTCGTCTGCGCCCTGATCGTCCCCGGGCCTCGCGCCCCTGCCCCCGAGGTGCGCGAACGCTGCTGTCACAGTCGTACGCTCAGGCCCGCGCATTGTTCCTGGAATGGGCACCCTTGACATCACCGCTGTCTGTATGCGGGCGCGTGTACCGCCGCACTAGTAGCCCCGGCGCTTGGGTGTCTGGAGGTGCGTACACGGTCAGCAGGGCATGGGATGAGTGGGGGCGCACCGTGAAGCGTGCCCGGAGAAAGCGCTTGTCGCCTTGTTGCCGGCGGCATGCGCTGAATTCGTGGTTGCGTTCGAACATGGTCGTATCGGAGCGGCACCCGCGTGGCCGTGCACAACGGGGCTCCGCGTCGATCCACCGTACCGGGCCCGCCCACAACTGCTGCGGACGTGGGTTTGCGAGCGCACTAGAGCCGCGGATGAACTGGGTGGATGGCGGTGAAGATGAAGCGTGCTCTGCACCCGCATCCACTCAGAAACTTACGTGCTTCCATTACCGATCGCTGCGTCGTCGAAGCACGCACCCGCATCTCAGCAGCCGCAGATGTCGACGTCGACGTCGTCCTTCGGGGCGGGCTCCCACGACACAGCAGCACGTCCTGCCGAGGCCTGCCGCGGGCGCGCGCACGGAAGCTGCAATAGGTGATAAGCACGAACCGGACAGCGACAGCTGTAGAGCATCCGCAGGTGCCATCGAACCGTGTGCGGCCGTGGGCCTGATGAACAGAAATCCGGCGCTCGATATGCAGTGGTATCAAAGCTAAAAGTACAGGGAAAGGAAAGGATGCACGGGCCAGGGACACATAAGGCGCGCGGCTGAGAAGGTGGTGACCCAACGGGCTCTGCCCCCCGGAGAAGCGCGTCCCCCAGTGCAGCTGGTTCCGGTTCCCAGCCCGAAGTATGCCCGCCAAAACCTGTCAGCCGGGCGTCCGAGGGAGAACGCGCTAAGGGGCCGCGGGAACCTGCGCCTCGACGCGCGCGATGAAGTCAGCGACCGTCTGCCAGTAGCCCTGTTGGACACAGGTGTCGTCTGTGCGTGTCAGATAGAACGTTAGCGCGCGCATCGGGTCGGTCATCATGAGCGTGTCGGACGTACTGTGCGTGCCTCTGGGGAAGTCGACGAAGCGCGAGTACCCCCCGGCGGGGAGCTCGACGCTCTCGTCCTTGGCGTCTGCGAGCTCGCCGTGGGGCTCGGTCTTGTGCCGTGCGCCAGGCACGCGCTGCTCGATGAGCTTCCACAGCTCGTGCATGTGCTCGCTCGGGACAACCTCGTCCTGCGAGCCGCTCAGCAGGAGCATCGGGGTTTCGGCGGGTATGAGCGGGATCTTTGAGGCCGAGTCCCATTTTTGGTGGCAGAGGAATGCGAACGGGCCCAGGACCGGGAGGGCAGAGGGGACGAGGCGGGGCAGGGAGAGGAACGTGTTCTCGAGCACGAGTGCGCGTATCTGTCAGCGTAAAGTGAGCGACTCCAAGGGGCGCAGCGACTACGTCCGGGTGACGTACAGCATGCGGGTTGCGGCTGACAAGGTCGATAGCGACGGCTCCGCCGATGGACTGGCCATAGAGTATCTAGGATGACGCGTCAGGAGGGAGCCAATCGCGCGCTCATGTGTATGGGCTTACAATGGGGGTTTTGGACAGAGAGGGGTGGGCCAGGACGTGGTCGAGCGCGGTTTGCGCATCTATGCGAATTCCTGGGGACAGTGAGCACGCGTGTTTGAGGAGCAATGTAAGCCCGGACACGTACCTTTCTCTGAAGGACTGCCCTCTGAGAGGCCGTACCTTGGAGCAGCAAAAGGGTGAGAGGTTATCACACCAGAAGCTCCGGACATATTTACCCTCGGTAGGACAGCATCAGGACATTACAGCGCATCTTGACATAGAACACCTTCGCAAGGGGTATACGGTGACCAAGGTTTCCTCCGTTCCCATGAAACATGAGGACGGTAGGCCGTCTTGACGCAAACTATAAGCCCTTGACGTCAGTAAGGAACGTTGCCAGAGTTAAGAATGGGGATGCGCATGAGTCCTACTCTGGACAAACACCGAACTGTCCATTGAATCATTGAAGGTGATGCAGTCATATAGTTCACCCAGCAAAACGAGGCGCGCAAGAAGCGGTACCGTCTGACACTGGCAGATACCCCTCCGAGTTTGGCTCATGCCGCGCAGGAAGTGTAAAGCCTGTCCAGCCACTTAGGTCATGCATTGCGTATGGCAGATGCAGCGAGGTCCGGGCAGTACGGAGGGATGATGTGCATCTGCGAGGCGAACAGACAAAGAGAGAACACTCGCCTCTTCGTCTGTCTCGCTGTCATCCGTCTCCACTCGCATAGCGCCATGTATGGGCAGCGTCTTGCGCTGCATCATGAGGTAGCATCGTAGCGTGACCTTGTCTTCAGTGACGAGGGGGAGGTCTAGATATGGTAGGTCGAAATCCGCCGGGGTCGGGACCTCTGCTCCGAGAGTGTTGAGGGCGTCATCGGTCCCAGCGGGTCGGGAAAGGGTGCGTACCAGTGCGAGAGCCGGGCGGGAACGCGGAGGGGTAGATCAGGTAATTTTGGCCGAAGAACAGAAGGCCAACGCCTGCGGGCCCCGGTGGATGTATTAACGACACATGTCGGGACCGCATGTGGCGAACGCAGTGAACTCACCGACGGTGGAGAGTCCCGCGGCTGTCGCGACTGTTCCCTAGCTCCTGAATGAGCAATGTGTCGGTCTCACACCAGCTATCGCCGCTCACTTTCGCAAAGTTCTCGAGGCTCGGAAAGAGGCCAGACATCGTTGCAGGAGCGGTCTCGGTCTGAGTCTCGAGTCGCGCAGCGGGCACCGGTGGCGTCGCGTACGAGACTGTTTGCACGTGTTGTGCAACACCCTCAATCGCGAGCGCCCGATCCGCCGTGGGAACTGAACCTTAAAGCCAAATCTTGAGTTTATTCAACGCCTTCAGTCTCCTCTCGCATGCTCGCCGCGATGTCCCCCTGCACTGGCGAACCTCGCTCTGTCCTTTAACCTACAGTCGATCTCTGCATCACACACGATAGCCCTTGTGCATTCCTATTGCACCGTGGCGCTATCTGCACAAGCCTGAGACCGGTGACGGGCATATTAAAAATGTTTGAACCCCGTCCGATGTGCGTCCTCCCCAGACGAAGCACATTCACCCTTATCGTGTCAAATTCATGCAGGATGGCGTGGAAAATCCCTGGCCCAGCGCCATTCGCTCGTAATGTTCTCATCCCGCCGGTCGCCTATTACGCCATCGTGCAATTACCAATAGAAATGTCTCTGGGGCTGTTGAAAGAAGCCGAGAACACCTGCTGGCCTCCGCCAACCTCCGCGCGCGATGTACGCTTCTAATTCCGCCTCTTGAGCGCATCTTCAACCGCATCGGCGCGTTCCCCACTCATCAATCTTTGCGGGCGCTGTGCACATCCCCGCTCCTGATTGGTTCGCTAAACCGGAAGATCCTGGGGCTCCCCGTTTCTGGGGCGCGTAACAACCGCCCACCGTCAATTAACGACTTAGGCTCTCCCGCTCCGCTCCCCTTCCCTGCACGGAGGACGTCATGCATCATGCGGCGCGCTAAGTGTTCTCGCGTATCCTACGCGGGCTGCGCCTACGGAACACCTTGGCAAACACATCTTGCGAGCGCACCACCGGCGTGCGCGTTCGTGACGGATCCTCTCGTCATCCTCACCTGACCCACGACCACCTTCGTGAACCGTGTCAAACTACCCGTGATGGGAACAGCTCCCGATGACGGATGGAATTTGCGAAGAACGATGTCCACCGGCCACCTGCGATCTTGCCACACTTTCGGAACGCGCCTTGTTGTGCTGTGGAGCGAGGTGTGATCGAGCTGCCTTCGGCTCGAGCCTAGTACGCTTCTCTCGGCAGCGTGAAAGTTGCACTGAAACACTTCGCGTTCTATTCCGCTCGCTGGCGCGGATGCGCTGACGACGGGGCGGCACCGGAACTCTGGGATTTCGTCACGAACGCGAAGGGCCCCAGCGCGCCCAGCACCTCATGGCCAGACGGTATGTCCGGACGGGTATAAAGGGAGGTGCGTTCGAGCCTGGTTCAGCATTGACATCCAGTCAGCCTACTCTACTACCCTCTCCTCCTCCCACCCCTTCAGTCGCTCGCACAGCTCCCCCGCTTCCCTCACACTCGTTACCAAACAGCAAACATGTTCTCCTTCAGCACCATCACTGTCTTCGCTACCGTCGCGCTCAGCGCCTTCACCTCCGCGCTCCCCCTTGCGGCCCGCGACCTGCCCCTCGTTGGCAGCCTTCCCATCGACGGCCTCACTGGGGCTCTCCCCGTTGACGGCGTCGTCGACAGCCTCCCCGTCGGCGGTGTTGTTAACACCGTCACCGACCTCCTTCCCCGCGCCGATGCCACCGCCAGCGTTGCTGTGATCCTGACAAACGCGCAGGCCCAGCTCGCGCCGTTCACCCAGCAGCTCAGTAAGTTCGCCATTTGCTGATCTATCTTGCATATGATGCTAACTGCGTTTTCCAGAGTTCGCGACTGCCCAGAACGCCACCGTTGAGGCGCTCACTGAGCCCGTCAACCAGATCAAGGCCATCCTCACCACCACCACGAACAGCTTGAAGGCTCTTTCGGGTCTGCCCGTCGCCACTCTTCTCGCGGATGTTGAGGGTACCGCCGCGGTCACCGCTGCGTCGCTCGCCACCATCCTCGCCGCTGTCCTGACTGTAAGTGATGCGCTAAACATCATTAGCGGGGCGGAATATTGATTGGACTTCAATAGCTTGTCGGTGAGGCGGTCGCTGCGGTCCTTGCCGTCGTCAGCGGTGACGTTGCTCCTGCCGTTACCACTTTGGTTGCTGAGCTCCTGTGAGTCCTTTTCTTTATATCGCTTGCGGGAGACGCTAACGCAAGCTCCAGTACGCTCGTCGGCACCCTGCTCGCCGTCGTCCTCACTCTCGTTGAGGGCCTCCTCGCCGGTCTCGTCGCCGCGCTCCTGCCCCTCATCGGCAGCCTCATCCCCGTCGTCCTCAACCTCAACATCGCGACCATCATCTCCCTCCTCGGCCTCTAAACGCCTGAGCTCTGGGCAGGTCCGTAGTTACCCCATACGCTAGTCTAGCACTCGTCGCTTACCAGCTCGCTGTACCGTCCCTGCAGGTCGCAGCGCGCGGCGGCTATACCCCCGCGCGAGCGCGCCATACCCTAATAGAAGCGAATGCCTGTGCGGCGCGGCCGAACACTAGAATGCGCGCGCCAGTTGTTCTTCATGGTTTCCGTGATTTGTTTCTTGTTGTCTGTGCTAGCCTGGATATCGGTTTCGGAGGACTGTGATCGACTGTGACCCGTCCCTAGTATGCCTGTCTTGTGTTGACTGATGACTGGAACTTTTTATAATACACGGAATGCGCATTCCTAAAACCACTTCCCTGCGTGATACTTGTGAGCCGGTCCTAAGTATTCGCCGATGGGTGGTCTTTCGTGTAGTCACAACATTTCACGTCCGATGTGACCATTCCGCGCGAGGCGGTTAAGCGGTACCGAGAAGATACGCGGGCTTAGGCGTATACATCCGTGTCTTCCCTGCATGACTGTCTGACCCAGTCAGTTGCGGATGGTGTGCTTCACTTGTTTTGATTACGCCTGTCAACGTGTGGCTCGACTGAGCCCGAGCCTCACCACAAGGCCAGTATAATGGTGATCAATGGAAGCGGATGCCTGTGCATGATAGCGCGCCTGTACTGATCGTCCGCAGGAAGTCGTTCGGTGCTCAGAATACGACTTGGTACCATGATGTCCTCTCGCAAGTACGACCGAGGCGCATCCCCACGCAAAATTGGAAATCTCACGTCCCCCTGCGTCGATCCACAAGACCTGCCTATTCGGGCGCTCGGAGCCTCCAGGCGCCCGCGTCTCTTCCGCCAGTGGCCCCTTCTCAGATCGCGAAGTCGTCCTCGAGCTCCGACTCCGCACAGGAAGATGCGTCGGGGCGGGTTTCCACGCCGCGTCTTCGCGAGTCGCGCGGGAGTTGTGTGCTTGAGACTATCGGGCACCAGGCTCGATAGACATGGACGTGGACGTGCAGAAGCCCCGGCGGCGCGACGACGATCCGGACGAGTAGGGAAATTCGCGACTCCACGTTGCGGTACGCGAAGAAGGAACTCGGAGATCGAGATCGAGCGGCAGAGTGGGGTTGGGCGCATTAGGTATTCGAAGGGCTTACATTGACAAACGTGAAAAAGCATCAAGACGTGTTCCGGCCTCCCCTACAGTCCATGATGAGATATTATGACACTTGTACTCGCGACTGGCAGCGCCTACGCGGGGCCTGCCTCCTTCTCCTTCGCCTGCTGCGCGAGCAGCCGCCTGCACAGAAATACATACGGTCAGCCAAGCCGTCACACGGGGAACGGGGAACAGCGCGCGGGATTACGCACTCTCTCGCGGCGAGGATCATGCGTGCCTTGCGTTCGCGCAGGCTCGCCTCGCGCTTCTCCGCGCTCTCCTCCCAAACGGCTTTGCCGCCGAGGTCTTCGGGAGCCTCGCCAATGGAGGTGCTGCTGGTGCGCCCCTCGAGGTGATACCGGGTCAGCAGGTTTTCGTTCTTCTTGGATTTTGAGGAGCTGGCGGCGGCGTTCGCGTTGTTTGTTGCGGTGGCTGGTCGTCCGGGTGCAGCAGGCTCGGCGGCGCGTGGGTAGAGCGTGTAGTATGCAGGCGGAGGCTGCGATGAGCAAAGTGTCAGTCGGCGCATAGGATATAACAGGTGGTGTGCTGACCGCAGGGAGGAAACCGCGCTCGAGAATCTTGTTGGAAGTCAGCTGGGCGCTACCGGTTCGTAGGAGGTCGTAGCGTATGTTGTCGCTGATGTGCATAGTCAGTCACGCGGAACTCAGGGGATTACGGATGGCAGGGTAGTATCCTTGGTAGGGCGGGGACATCTTCGTAGAGCCTATCGTACTACCAGTACCAAACAAAGTCTATGTAAGGGTGTCTCGATACCTGGAATGGCGGAGCGCGTCACTGGGCAGCATCATCAGGAGGAGCATCTTCCCCCGGTCGCTCCGGGCATGCCTCGTGGTTCGCGAAGTGCCCACAACGCCGACGAGTTGGTGGCGGACTGTAGAGTGTGCTTACCTTGGTATATCCGGGAACATGCCATGTACCGCCTCAACCTGTACTCTCGTCAAGCGTGAACACAAAGGGTCGGTGCCGGAGTGAACGCACCATTTCTGGGGTGACATTCTTCGGCCTAAAGCCCAGTACGGTAGACGGCGAGGGTGCACCGGAGCTGTCCTTGCCCCCTTAAGATAGTGCCGCATATCCAGACGAGACCGCGGTCGTAAATAGGAGCACAGGAGATAGAGCGTGTTCTCGTCAGACCAGCCACAATTAGAGGTGGAATCAAGCGCGTACCGGAGGTAGCCCAGCGCACGACCAGCACAACCACCGCGACAGCAACGAGTACATTCACAACCTCTCCCATGGCGTCGGAATGCAAGCACGAGCACAAGCAGGAGTTGGATTGACAGACGGAGGTGAGCGTAGAGAGACAAGATCGGGTGAAGCAGCCGTGTCGATCGGGACGGAGTATAGAGAATAGACGCCCGGACGGTGGCCTTACACCGATAAATTATGTCAGAAATTCCCGGATAAGTAGCCGAGAGGTGCAGAGACGCCCGCCACCCTGCCTCCTTGCTTTCGAGAACATCTGACCCACTGGGAGATAATCCTCCGCCGGACTCCGGCAGATTCCAGCAGACACACGCAAGGACAAACAGATGTGATTAGATGACAGATGTAGTGTTATCATAGATTAGATTCCCCGTTTGGATCAGGCGCCTTTCCGCGACCTCTCGCAGTTAGTGTGCTACTGACTGAATTATTCTCTCACAATGACTACAGCAGCGACCGTAGAAACATACAGACAAGTTGTGAGTTATACTGGGCACGCATAGGAACCGGTTTTGGGCGCATATCCTACAGAATATACCTAATCTATCTATATCCTGTACGCTTCTTTGAGCGCCTACTGGGTGCGCTCGCCCTTGTCCTCGTACCTCCACGTTCGACACACTATGCTTCTTCAGAAAATCGTATCCTTAGCTTCTAGTACTCCTCATCTAGGCGACATTTCAATCACGGACATGCTCAGTTTCATTCGATTGGGAAAACTTGTGAAGCCCAACATCGAAATCTATCAGCGTGACCGCACACGACCAGCGGTACAGCTGCCCACGCATATTCAAGAGTTCCTGGCGGCCTCTCTTCGCAAGAGTCTCACTGAAATTTCCTGGTACTGGTATGCCTTCATGGACGCGATCTGGAGCGAGGGCGAAGTCCAGGCCACAGAGGAGGAGGTAGCTATCTTTCATGCGCATGGATTATCACGCACGATCGGTGAGTGGTTCTACCAGCGGCTTCTAGCGGCTCGCAGGTGCATGTGCGTTGTACTCATAGCCCTCAGGTTACCGAGATTTGTTCCCTCCTACTCGGGTTTGCCTTCGCCCCCAGTGCTCAAACTATCGAGTGGAGAAGGACATCATGACCCTCACAGAGCCGATAACCTACCGTGCTACGCTGTTCACTTTGCGGGAGGGTGCACTCCCCATCTTCACAACATCCCTTTACTGTCATGGTAAGTACTTGCATCCTTTCGTTCGAGTTGGTTGTTCATTGATGTCTCTAGTGTGTCACCGACGCTATCACCACAACTACACAGTGGACAAGGCGAACTCGCTGCGCACCTACTATGGTGGCCCTCCCCCTACCGTCATTCAAGTTGCTACCCATTTCTTCGTGGAAGCTGCTGTATTGGAGCTCTTTGGAAATGGCATGGTCTTCGGATGGTACGTCTCTTCATTTAATCAGCAGAACGTCTTGCGTAGTATATCCATGTATGCTAGGTTATCTGCTGGTAATTGTGCACGCATTTACAACGCATCACTCGCACGTTGCGACGCGTCGGTCCAGAATAATATCCAAGCATACGGAAGAACCACCAGAAGTCACCTGAGCGAGATAGGGTGGCCGTACGCACTCGACATGAACAGTGATATCGCTATGAACGGGTTTCTCCTGTATTCGCTCCTTCTAGACAAGGCTGAACATGGGTCACATCTCGAGCTACCTCATGATTTTCCGACGCAGAAAGACCGGCTGGCTACCGCACTCGCTGAACGAAACAACGCCATGGAAGGAATCGGGCAGGAGGAGTGGACACATGCTTGCGACCTATGTTTCATAGTCAAGGAAGCATCCGACGGGTCCTTCGGTACGTTTACTATCCAATGTCATGTCGTTCACAAAATCTAACACTGCTATGCCACAGTGAAGATTCAGTACGCAGTCGGAGATGGCCTGTCTATGGGACGTCCATGCTGCGCTGTCCATGACTGCAAGATCAATCTCGCTACAAAGCGAGATATCTACTGTCCCATTCATGCGCCCCTCTTCGCTCACCTATGTGCCGTACTCTCCTGCGGAAAGCCCGCAGCTGTCGGATTCCAGACATGTGGCCTATCCGAACACCGCGCGCTCGAAGATGCCTACCGCAAGGATGGCTCTCGCGCAATCCACCAGCTGCGAGCACGCCTCCGTGCGAGCGGTGTCAGTGTACCGTCGGACTCCGTTTTCCGAGACTCTGCTACTTCGACAGTGGACCTCCACACAGCGGGACAGGATGGCGACGCCGACGACGAAGTTCTCATTATCAAGCAACGGCTTGGAAATGATGACACCTGTACGGAATTTGTGAGTCTCATGTTTATACACCGGCACATTATCCCGAGGTTTCGTCACAGGCTAACACTATTGTAAGGTCAGCGCCGCAGTGGTCCCTGTTCCTGATCCAGCACCAATGGGCAGCGCTTCAGCAGCACCTGCATGTGACAGCAAAGCAGAAGGCACAACGACTACCCTAAAGGCCCGCTTTGGACGAAGACGTACGCACAACGAACAGTTGGTTGAGCGCCCGTGCGGCGTGATCCTTTCGCGAGCGACGTTCTTTGGGTCTGAAGCAGTCAGCGCTGTCAAGGTACGTCCGGTTCCTGATTGGGTCTATTAGTATACAATGCTCACATCGCAGATGCTGCGCGCAGGACCATCTGAAAGCAGTCTTCCCGACAGCTCGATCGAAGCCCGAGATCTTCATCTACGACAACAACTGCAAGTTACGCCAGCACTTGAACGCATCAGGGGACACGTATTTCTCCGAAACGGGCTTGCCCGTCGACGTGTTCCATTTCAAGACAAAGCATAGGGTGACCGACACGGAATGCCAGCAATTCTGTAACCCCGCCGCCTTTCCGGATCTTGTTGATGGCGACAAATGGCGAGTAAACTCATCTATCTGCGAGGAGACAAATGCGTGGTTTGGTGGGTATCTCTCAATCGTGCGGGAGATGGAGGCGACCCGGTATACCTTCTTTCTTGACGAGATGATCAAGCGTCGAAACCGGTTTACAGTGACACAGCTAGAGCGACGGGGACATCACCCTTGGAGAATACCCATTGAAGTCTTGTTTTCAGGATGTAGCACTCGCTGATAGCGTCTATAAGTCGTTTGATTACATGCAGGGTTATTAAAGTAATGGATGATTGTGGGACGGTCTCAGCTAGTACTCGAGTATGGTGTGTGAGATGAGTGACGGTATAGAATGAGTCCAGAAGGTAAAGGAGATTAGGCAATTTTGTAAGTAAATATGTGGGTATAATAGTGTGCTGCGAGTGATAGGGCGAGTATCCGAGTCTAGGAAAGCTAACTAGTCATCAAAGAGCGACGGGGGTATGTCGAGGTCGATAGGAATGGGAGCTAAGTTCAATGAATGACATATAGCGTTGCAAGAGTGCTTCCTCGCGAAGTCGTTGATGACGCGAGCACCATAATCATCAAGGTATACCCCTGCCTCTCCATACTTACTAAGTCAAAGAAGAATCATCGGCATAGAGATCAGCGTGACAATAACAAGCGGAGCTCACGTATTAGTCTTGCAACTGTAGAATACCAGTGAATCGTTGTCCACCGTGGGTGTCTTGACGTAGAGGCCTGATAGTTGGTGATCGCAGTAATAGGTCAGTAATACAAGTCGTCAGAGTTGCTTCCGTGCGGTCATAGTAGTTGTACTCACCTTCGAGAGCCGTGAATAACACGTCGTAGCGATTGATGGTGTAATGTGAAAATGCAGACAATGTCAGCAAAAGAGCGTTATCCTGACAGCTGCCTTCTTCCGGTGGATAGGATTTGCCAGTGCCAGTCAGCAGCTTCTGGGCAATCCATGTGACCGCTCTGTCTGGCATCGTAACGATAGCGTAAGTGGGAGTAAACGTGAACCCTGCAATTACTTCTGTGAGTCTCCCCAAATTACACGTGTGCACGAGGAATGAATAAACATACAGCGCATCCCTGGACACTTCTCGCTAGCTTCGTAGACGAACATCCCCGCGATATCGGCGGCGCGGGCGAGACGTTCAGCCTCGCGGAACTGAACGCTTGCTAGATTGTGGTAATGCTCTTCCCAGTCGACCGGAAAGACCTCCGGACGAACAGTCTTTGCGAGGTATGCACCCATGAAACGAGCGGGCTCTGTGATCGTCATCTGCCACCGCCGTAGACGTCCAAGTCCCGAGTTAGTGACTGAGCAGGCTGAAGCTAAGCAGATAGACGTACCTGATGGCAATTCTTCCTGCGGCCTTTGCACCACAGTTGTTCGGCGATCGAGACCTCGATATTTTCCGTGCTCGGAGACCAACGTGAGCCGAACATCGTACCCACACCATCGAACCACTCTAAGCGGACATTATGGGAGATATACGTCAACGGTGCCTTGCGTGGGGGATTCTGCGCTGATGCTCCTGGGTGCGAACTCACTCCTGACGCACCATAGCCTGAGGACGTGAGAGCATTGTCCGCAGCCTGAGCAGGGGACTCGTCCAGGACTACTGTCTGCCGGGCAGATCCTGACGCGAAGGGCAGAAATATTATTAGCAGGCCCCAGGACTCCGTGGCCGTCGAACATGAATATTTACCTGTACGCAAGCCTTTGCCGCTGGTTCTGTATTGCCTCGACAGGGTAGTCCACAGGCCGTCTGGAGTGCGACCAGCTGAGACCGCACGCGCGAGAGTACCATCGGCGCGAGCGTTGCAGTAGTACCGGCGGTGTTCATAGAACGTAGCTCGTACGTACTTGCAACCCGGGAAAGCGATATTGAAGTACTGCTGAGGGTCCTTGTTGTGGTCTGCGAGTGTGCAAGTGTCGTCTACAAGAGAAGACATGCCTGCATGCATATCACAAGCGTAGCGTGGAGGGAATGGGATAGGTTTCATGGGACGCTGTTCGCCAGAAGCACTGCTCGAAGCGCATTGAAGTACAGGTGTGGCGGCAGCAGTCGCTACCGCGGTTGCGGCCGGGGCTGTTGTTGTTGTTGTCGTGGTAGCAACGGGGGTCGTCTCAGCAGGGGCAGATGAGATCATTGCAGCGGTGACAGCAAGGGTCGTCGTCGAAGTGGTAGGGATCAACTGGGGGGACGCAGTCTCCGTTGATACTGTGTAGGATCATGTGAGATATACTATGAGATATTGGGTGCTGAGACGTACGTGCAGGGGCATGATCTGTCTCTATGACCTGAGTGGACATGAGGGCAGGAAGGGGGTGACCGTGGGGTGACGCCGTAGAGGAAAACTTGCGGACCTTGGTAGGAGTCGCCGGAACGGAGACCGAGCGTCGTTTGAGGGGACCACCAGTTGTGACCGCGGTTAGCTCTTCAGCAAGCTCAGCACAGTCGTCATCGAGGAGAGCAGCATGGCGGATAAGGACGCGCCGGGATCCAACAGAACCCGTCGGAAGTGCGATAGGAAGATCAAGCGGCTGGATGAACCACTCGCGCTCAAGAGCGTTGTACACTGCGATGTGCTGCGTATTTGTTGGCAGGAGCGTCTTCAGGCATGCCTGGTCTGTGACGACTAAGATATCGGCCTGGGGTGTGGATACCTGCAGCCTTTGTGGACGCAAGGGCGCAGTGATTGTCCTTGATGGCTGATGCAATGCACAATGTCAGTGTTCCGGATGAACTGAGAGCATAGGAATAGCGCACCGTGACCCACATCGTGACCTTCACGATGTTAGCCATTTTGGTGTGCAACTCGCGGCCCTCGTCGACAAGTGCGGCACGCTCAGCCTTCTTCTGATGCGCGGCCACCCAGGGCTTCGCATAGTCCTCAGACAGCGGACGAGCGTATGAGCGTACACTGACCGATGTGGAAGTCGTTGCTGCAGACGAGGCAATGGACGACGTGGCAGACAATGTGGCGGCCGACGTGGTGGACGACATCGAGGACTCAGACACGGTGAAGGGCGTAGCGGACGACATAGCGGACGATGTAACGGACAACATCGTGGACAGATTGGCAGACTGAGTAGCAGCGGTCTGAGTAGTGGAGGGTGTGGCAGGCAGGGCAGTAGAGGGCGCAGCAGATGGCGGAACCGTCAATACACTGCCGCCGCCCGAGGGCATGGCAGCCGTGGACTGTGCTTCCCAGGACTTATACACAATAATGAGACTCGCTCGTAAGCAGAAAAGAAAACCATACCGTAGTCTCTAGAGCCGATAACCTGTGAGCCTTGCACCTGACCAGAGGAGTGGTAGAGCGACAGCACGTAGCACAGAGGGGCGGGTGGCGTGCGCAGGCCTTGTTCACCCGGCGGCGCTGGCTTGTACCTCTGGTAGCGCAATTGGTGCCTGTGCAGGTCAGAATATCTTGAGGGTTTGTAGAGACAGCGCTGCGAAGCGACTGGTTCACCGTGAACCGGACCTGTACGTCTTCGGGGATGTCCTCGAGAGGCGTGCGGGGCCCGTAGAACACCAGGCGCGGACAATTGGAACACTATGCTCGGACATATCAGAGAGCGTCCAAACATTAGTGTAATGACATACCTTCTGGAACCAGCGGTTATAGTTGTGTATGTCGGAGCCTAGTCCGCCGCACAGCTGCAGCGCTCCGAGGTTACCGCTGCACTGCGGGCATGTCTGTGCCGCAGGAGGTGGCGGCGGACTCTGGGATGACGAAGGCGACGGGTTTAACTCCATAGTACGAGCAAGAAAAGCTAAAGGATGATCGACTGGATTAGCTGCAAGTAACGGAAAGAAGAGCGGGGTATACTGGGATGAGGATGGTCCTGCCATCGCTCTGGCTCTTATAACGCTCTCGGGGGCCATTCGAGAGAATTCCAACGCGTGTCTTGCTATCAGATCGCTGGGAAACAGCGTAGCTTGTTACTTGTCGCATCCGGTTCCCGATAATGTTTGGGGCGACTGCCGAGACCCTGGAGCATAATCAAGCCTGTAGAGGTTTAGGTGACTTTGGCGGACGTTAAAGAATGAGTTTTGCATTATCTGTTGTTAAAGTACATGCAGGATACAAGGAGTGAACGACAGCAGGAGTGAAGTAAGGGTGAGAGAAGCTCAGAGCGAAGCGGCGCGACGTTCAGTATGAGCAGGGCGATGCGGGGCACAGACGCGCTACCAAAAATGGACAAGATCTAGACGGTGGACGATGCGTGGTATGTTTGGCTACCTCACGTGGTCTGGGCATGCTGCCGGAGTCTGGCGGATTAGCGCAGTCCCAGCGGGTCCGATGCTTTGTTGCTTTCGTACCGCGTCTGCACGTCGGCCAGCACAGCAGACACCGCCAGACACTGCTTAATAAACTATTCCAACTAGCAGTAGTCGCTGCTCTCTCCGCTCTTTCTCTTGTTTTTCCTATGGACGTCGACTCTTTGACACCGACGCAGAAGGCTGCCTTCGACCAGCTCCAAGCTCTCACGGACGGAGGAGATCCGGAGGTCGCTATCGGAGTACTTGCGAGCGTTGGTTGGGATGTCCAGGTGTGTATTAAACCTCTTGTTGTATGCGAGTTGTTGGCTGGGTGCTCTGTGTCCTATATTGAGGTGTACAGATGTACCAGCCTGCTTCGCGGTCATCTGTGCACTACATGCGGCTGGTGAACACATGGCAGGCGGAACTAGGTATACAATCAATGGGACCAAGTGCTGTAAGCCTACATGACACGTCGTAATGACGGTGTTGCCGTCGCCGTGAATCCTCCACCATATTTGCGAGTATACACTGGCAGCTAGCTTTGCGGTCATCTACGCGCCACATGTGACTAGTAGTTGCATGTGAGGCAGAACTATGTATATGAGCTCTGGAATTGAGTGCCGTAAGCCTGCATGACACATGGTAGCAATGGCAGTCCCGCCGTCGACGCGAGTCCCCCGCTGTAACTGCTTACATGGCTCGCGCTCAAGAACATGTATTGACATCTGTACTTTAGCGCGCTGCAGAAGTTGTATTCGATGGTGGAGCCCCGCCTCCCCCTGCTCCTGCTCCTGCGCAGCAAGCACCGCCCATGGAACAGTTTGAACTCGATGACTCCGAACAAGGGCTATTGAGCGGACGAAGAGGTGGCCGAGAGTTTCGACAAGTGGTACGCTCCCCGTATCTGCACTGGCATTCTGTCCTGACCTCAGCGCAGGAGTCAAACTCCTTCTCCTCCCTCGTGGCTCGCCCTATCCGCCTCGTGTTCAATATTATCGCCATCCCGCTATACCCTCTATTCTCCCTCATACGCTTCATTTTCCGTGCGTTCCGCATTCCACTTCCAAACTTCACATTCTCGACGTTGTCCTACCGGCCGCTTGGACCGAGCCACGGCCGAGAAGCGAAGGACCCAAAGAGCGTCGCCGAACGCTGGGTACTCACCCTGGAGGAGGAGACTGGCGCCGTGTGCCTAAGCCGCAGCGGCCAGAGGCGCTCCAACGGCAGTGGCCAGCCGTCGGCGACGGGTATCGCCGGTCCCTCGAATGTTACTGCGAGAGGAAACGCTTGGGACGAGACCACAAGCGACAGGGACGTGAAGCTCCTTCCTGACTTCTTCTTGGGAAGCTACGAGGAGTTTGCGCGAATGTGCCAGAGAGACTCCAAGATTGGCTGTATCGTGATCGTCAGCGAGGAGCACGACGACGTGGCGGAGTTCAAGCGGTAGGTGGCTCCGGCTTTTGGGTGCTCGCCGTATTTAAACAGGATGCTTCAGGAGCACTTTGACCGACCCGAGTTTCGTGCGTCTCATTCAAGAGAACGAGATCCTTGTATGGGGTGGCGATATCCGTGACAAGGAAGCTTGGAGTGGTGAGTGCGTCCACATCCACTGCGGACGGTAGATCTGAATATACCTGTGCAGCGTCGCAGAAGCTCCAGGCTACCACATACCCATTCGTTGCATTCATCGCATTGCAATCCCGCCGCGCACCTGCAAGCGCCGCACCTCCCGCGCCCACGATGACCATCCTCTCCCGGCACCAGGGTCCTTCCATCCCGTCCACATCGGCACCCACCGCCGCACAGACGCTTGTCAAGCACCTGACCGAGCAGCTCCTCCCGCGCGTCACCCCATTCCTCAACCAGCTCCGCGCCCAGGAAGCCGAGCGCGATCGCGAGCGTGCGTTGCGCGCAGAGCAGGACCGCGCATTCGAGGAGAGCCGTCGCCGGGACGCCGATCGTATCCAGCAGCGCGCGCGCGAGGAACGTGCCGCTGCTGAGGAAAGGCAACGCACCGCCGACGCTGAGGCTCGCGCAGCGGAGGAGCGCAGGAAGGCCGCTGAGGCGAAGAAGCAATGGGTCGCACACCGCATGGCGTGGCGGCGGTGGATTCGGCGCGGGCTCGTCGTGCGCGAGCCGCGCCCCGGAGAGACCGGGCGCGGGAAGACGCTGCGTGTGGGCGTGCGGATGCCCGACGGGCGGCGGGTCGTGCGGTTCTTCGGCGAGAACGACGCGGTCACCGCGCTGTACGCGTACGTCGACTCGCTGTTCATCCCCCCGGAGTTCATCCAGGACGCGGACCCGCCGACCCCGCCGGAGGGCGGCGCAGTGGGTGAACAGGGCCTGATCGGCGAGATGGTGGCGTCGGGGAAGCCCGCGGAGAAATGGTGGGGCTTCAAGATCGTTCTGGCGTATCCGCGGCGGGAGATCGTGTGGGAGGCGGAGAAGCGCGTCGGCGACATCGATGTGCTGAAGGGCGGCGGACAGGTCGTCGTCGAGCTCGTGGCGGACGAGTCGGATGCGAAGGGCAAGCACAAGGCCGTCGCGGAGAGCGCGGAGGACGATGAGTATCACACCGAGAGCGACTAGATGGTCCGAAGGGTTTGCTGTGGTGACATAGAGGCCCTTCGGTTGGAGGCCACATTGACATGTTAGACGGTCACGGTAGGGTACTAATGGATGTTAATGTGCCTAATTTGCTTTACTGTCATATCTCGTAGGAATGCCATGGATTTGCACCGTCGTGTTCTCCCCCGCAGCCGCATACAAGATTGGCGTTGGTGGGAACTTCGAATCCACATACCACTAGTGCTGCTTATGGCGATGCGACGAATACGCTATCACGCAGCGACCGGGGTTTCTTGCACAGTTTCCCATCCTCTTTCTCAGCCATATCTTCGTCCACTACGATTGCTTGATCGCCCTCCTCGCATGCCAAGATGCAAACGGTCGCCTTCTTGGTCTCATGTTGAACCCCACTTCGGAACGCGGCGGCCCAGACACCTACATGACGAGCGCCGGCAGGACACAGCTGTCACCGTCCAGACAAGACCCTTCGTCTGGCCTCACTCAGTATTCTCTCCACCTAGAGCCCATCCATCATCCGCGTCATTCTCCTCAACCGTAGTGTGCTCGAGTCCTGGTCCCCTGGACGCACACGGGCTCTACATCGTCATGGCCCCTCCTGCGCCTTCTCTTACAGAGTACCGCAGGGGTCTGGAACTCCGTTTCAGCGGCATCGTCGAGCGCACGACCGGGGTAGGCATACGCCGGACGGACGGCGCGGTCTTGCTCTCACGCCTTGGTTATGCCTTTACAGTCCGTCTCATCCGCGAGGATGGGATCGAGCTGACAGTGAGGGCAGAAAAGGGGATCCATTGGCAGTGTAACAGTACAAATCGATACGAGAAGCGTTCATAGCATGTGCGACGAACAACGATCAGCTGCCCACAAGCCTAGGTAATCAAATCCAGGATCCCTGCGGAGAAAGCGGCGATCAGCGTGACGATCCATGCGGAGGGGGTCGCACCGAGAGTCGCCCGCGCCGCATTGCTGGAAGCTCCAGGCGAACCTTGGGTCATCCCAGGCATGCTCTCCGCCATCGTCATGGTGCTCACGAGGCGCGCAGCGGTAGCGTAGGGAGCAGGTTCGGACGTAGCTATCGCATGATCAGCGAATAAATTCGAGTGATTAGGGGAGCAGTGGTGAGAGAACGTACAAAGGAACACGCCGCCGTTGGCGATTGCGGCGTCCACAGCTTTTTCAAGGGCGTAGCCGGCGTCGGACGGGACCATCGACATGAATCCGACACGGGCAGGGTCTTGCGACGGGTGTGTCATGTTGCCGTAGTAGAACGCGACCATATTCCTTCATGCCAGTGTCAGTAGCATGGCATCAGAGTGCTCGAAGGACGCTCACGATTTGAGGAATGGGTCTCCCAAGCTCCAGCTATACATGAAGCCGCCCTCCCCGGGCGGGTCTGTCTGCGCCAGGGCGGGAATGCAGCGTGCCACCTCGTCCGCGTAGACAGTCCCGGGTTTGACGGCGGCAGGGTGTGCAAAGTCGCGGGGATCGACGGGGAATGGCTTGCCTCCAATTATGAACGTCAGGTTATGCGGGGTCGAGCAATCAAATGTGCCCATAGCATCTAAGTTCAAATGAGCCAAGATGTAGGACAGCACGTCTTGCGGACCCCGTATGAGCGAGTTGCCCTATTCGTGACGTCAGATTTTAGCTTACAACAAAAAAAACTCAACTTACGGTGTCCACCAATGCTGACAACGAGATATCAGGCGACGAGAGCCCGGAGCGAGGCAGCTTGGTGCCGTCGAAGTAGACGTCGTCCAGCGGAATCTCCCAGAGGAGTGGATAAACCTACGGCTGGTCATATGAGAACAGGCGTTGATTAATGGACAGTGTAATCGACACTTGCCTCGTTTGGGGCGGAGGAGGGCGCGGGGATACCACCCTCCATAACTGAATAGGAGCGCACAGGAGCCCACGATAGCTGTTCGTCTGTGATTCCATAAGGAAGTGCGCCCAGAGACAGCGTGCCGTCGTTCCCAGAGAACGAGATAGTGTCCCTTTGCAAGGTAGTTACCACAAGAGGACGCTCGAGAACCTTCAGTGTGACCAGCCTAGTGAGCAGAGGGCCTAGCGTAGAGAACGTGTCGGTGATTGAGTCTAGTATGTTTGTGGCGTCCCGCGGCACTTCTCGAGGATCTAGTTCAGAACGCGACTCTATAGAGGGAATGCGTCCAGGTGAAGAGGGCATAGTTTGGTCGAGACGCGAAGCAAGAAGTTGTCGCCAGATGACGCTGATAGGAGGAAAGCCGAGTCCTAGGATGCCTGCAGAACCAGTGTCGAGAACGGTAGTGTTGGTGTCTATGATAGCAGCGAAGTACTGGTCCGGGACGGATAGACCAGCTATAGAGACCGTGTCCATCCCGATCGGGCCAGATGCGTGAGTGCCTGTCCTAGAGTCGCCATAGAGTAAGGACACGTCTTGACCGACGGGTTTCGTGGCAGCCTGCGAATAGAGCGGAACGCGGGTGGCCGGACATCGTTCTCTGCACCCATCAGACACAAGCCAGAGATCAGACGATCCAGTGTCTGCGTCGCTATTATTTAAGTATCGATTCAACTAGCATGAGGTATCATATGGACGTACCGAGGATCAAAGGTGTCAGCGTGCCTCCAACTTGGACGAGGACATTGTATGTCCTGGTATGACGTAGGTCGTAGGTTAATGTGACTTGCGCGGATCAATCAAACGGCAACTCACACATCCATGTTGTCCCCTACACCAGCAACCGCTGTAGATACGCCGCCTCTTTTCTGTACTCTCTGGGCGCCGCTTTGTCGCTGTATGGGCAAGTGCACCGCGCCCGCCAACGCGCTCGCCATCATGGCCTGAGTGACGACCGACGCAAACGCGGTAGACAAGATGAGAAGACGCATCATGACCTTTTGACTTCTCAGAGAGATGGATGGCGCCAGACATGCGCAGTGAGCGAGAGCGGCCAGTTCGAGGTCGAGGTCGAGGTCGAGGTCGCTGCAGCTTGTTGAAGTCCGAGATGGCCGGCGGTCGTGGTTTGTTTGTTCATGTTTCACCCGCTCAACTTGAATCGTACACTATCGTCCTGGGAACTTGGCGGCCGCGTTGCATCTCTGGACGCAGCGGAGAGCCCAGTGGAAGGCTTTAGGAGTTACATGATTTCGTTCACCGAGGAATGAGTGATTAATATTGTGAGCGAGTTCCGTTCCAGCTAGTAGCAGATTGAGAAAAGAGCATGAATACAATGGGGGGAGTGCAAGCACTCGTAGGTAGCGGCGACCCTTCAGGCCAAGTCAGGTACATACTTAGTAACAATGGCGCGGGCACGAGTATAATGATAGCCATCGTACAGTGAGGTGGTGTAGATTCCGTATAACGTCCAGATTGTAAAGCGATGTACAGCGGATAGCGTAAGTAAAGCAAAGAGCAATGAAACAGGGTGGAAGGGGGGTAGCGCGACAACATTGTGGTACAACACGAGAACAGGTAGGGTATGTACAAAGCAGGGGATATGGTAGAGGTAGAGCAGTGTAGTACAGTAATCTGTCCTTCGAGAACGTCATAGGGCATAACAACTGAACGCGAGAGCTCCGGAGAACACTCGTCGTTCGAGGGTCCTGGCGGCGGCGACGCGACGATCATCGACGCGGTGCGCGATGTCCGTCGGATCTGCATTGGGCACAACCCGGGCCGCGCGGGGGTGCTGGGCGGATGCGCACTGGATCTTGTCGATGACATCGGTGTTTCGCGAGGGTGGCGCCGTCAAACATGTCGTGGAATACAGGAGAGGGTTGCGGGCGGAAAGGTGCGGGTAATGAGGTCACGGGGGGAGGAGGCTAGAGTGAAGTGTCTTGTCGTCCTGATAGTGCGATGAGAGGGCCGGCTCGGGGATTCCATTCGCGTAGTCGCGCCCTAAGTCAACACCGGCAAGGAGGCGCGGAACGCTGAGCTGACGGCTTCGACTGCTTCATGTTGAAATCGTCACCTGGTCTGAAGGAGGCTCTGACGGGCCAGCAGCGAGAGAAGGGACCTCCAATGGCATTACCAGTGGGCGAAGGGAAGGGTCGAGGAAAAGGAAGATGTCGATCTGGTACGCAGAGAAAAATAACCATCCTATCCATAGATGGTGCGGTGTAACGCTCAGGAGGAGCAACGCGATGGCGATTACATCGCCGCCCCGCTGCAGAAGAATATCAAGCCCCTCCTTGAAGGCCTCCGGTGTTTCGGCGGATGCTAATCTCGTCAAGTAGGAGGACCTTTGTTTACACCGCGCGGCGAGGCCGTGCCGGTTGTGGTACTCCGAGCGGCGCGTTTCCACGCCGCACCAAAGGCACATGAGTTTGTTGAGCACGTAGTGACTCTCGCCGACATGACGTCCAAGCCCTCTGCGCTGCAATTCCACTGTACAGCCAGGCATCCGGCATTGCGTCTGGATCAGTCCTGAGGGAAGGCCCTGCTTATGTTCGTCCGTGAGATGTTTGCTCATTGAGTGGGTGGTGGGTGGAATGGGCGCCCCGCAAGGCCTTCTTGCGGGACACTCCCAAGGGTTGTGGCCTTCAGTATCGGAACAGTTCACCCCGTGCGCAGGCCACTCGCAAAGGACGGGGACCAAGAGCTCCAAGTCTTCGAATCGATTTTCCAGGTGCGGATGATTCTTGGTATAAGGTCGCCCGGTCTTGGGCTTGACCGCTGAGCAGTTGCCATAAGGACTTAAGGTATGTCAGGCGAGCCACGCGACCGACAAGCAGCACGACTCACGCGTTGGCTACAGCGGGCGACTTCTTCTTGTTTGAGTTCTTCGCTTTCTTCGCTTTGCTGCCTTCGGGAATCGAGGCGATTCTATTGTGAGCGGTAGTCAATAGTCTGAAGCGGAGCGATGGGGTGCGAGCCTCGGGGAATGCAAACATACTGAAAAGGGTCGCCCTGGGACGGGTCGATGTTCTCATCATTGCGCTTGGAGCGGATAGCAGGCATAATGTACGGTGGTGTAAGGGCGGTGGGAGGGAGGAGGTGATAAAGTGGGGGGTGCGGGAGAAAGTGGGGGAGCGGGAGAAAGTGGGGGGAGCGGGAGACGTGACACGGTTGTGGTTGTGGTTGTGGAAGAGCAAGACGCGGTTGTGGCTTGCGATTTAAGGCAGGACGAGCACTTCAGGACCGTGACCGCGGGGTGGCTTAGCGGAATTGGACTTTACGCCCAAGGTCTCAGTTCCCACGCGGACTGGTCTATGTCCCCCATTGTCTCCCGGACACTTGCGCGCGGAAGCCGCCGCTCAGAGGCCTCCGCCCCGCTGGCAGAGACCCCAGGCATGGTGTTCGTCGACCTGGCCTCTATGGGCCTCTATGCCGCCTGCATGGACGGTGGTGTTCACTGGCGACGATATCCTAGTGAAAATCCTGCTATAAGAGCACGTCTCAAAAAGGAGATATGGCAACAAACGCACCTAAAGTGATTCCGAGATTCCGAGATTGCGGGGCTTGGGCGACACACGGCCCTCCACTGGCTAGGCATCTTATTGGACATGTCTTAGGCTAAGATGTGCGCCGTCCCAGGTCGACCACAGATACAAGCCCTCATATACCGACCTACTTCGCGACTACGGCACAGTTGTTTGGGTATTCGTGTCACGGTGCCGATCGCCTGTTTGCGTGAACGAGGGCGCATATGTGCCCGGTATGTCCCACTATCGGGGGCGGCACAATCTGTATACGGCCTTATAGATGGCTGATTAGTAGGACTTGAGATGATTGAGTGGATAAAATGAGCACGTACGCGTTTCTCCGGCATAATTCGATGCCTTTCAGTCAGTCAAGGGGGACCGATGTCCAAAAATGTGACAAATTGACATAGATATTGCGTACTCCGGAGAGCTCAGCCCGAAAAGATATATGACGTCTGTGTAGGACGTCTGATAACTTTGCTAATATGCGATCTCGCTAGATGTAGTGCTACGCAGTAGCGCACCTTCCTAGCCAAACGAGTCAGCTTGGGACAATATCGAGGCAGATACGAGTGCTGTGCATATTTTTTGCGAGTACACACCACATGTACGGATGTCAAAACATCCTCATGCCGTCTCTGTTGCTCTTCAAGACACAGACGACGACCTTTGCTCAATTACTGCGGTTTCAGGTGCTGCTGGCAAGAAGAACACGTGGCGTATATTGTCGAAGATCAAGGCATCGAGGTGGGCTCTCTGAGAGTGCCATGCTCCAAGCAGTCACAGTGAGTGAGCTTCAGGAGCATCTTGGAGACGAGAGAAGAAGAAGGGGCGACATCCCGTAGTACGACGTCGTCGGACGATCTACTCATCTACGTCACTGTGACCTGTTGACGGGTAAATCACGCTATCGACAGCGGTCCCCTCGGACTCTCGGACCTCTGCCCTCGCTGCAATAGGTATTTCGGACTTCATAGCTAGTAGACCTATATATCATGTGCATAAGCCGAGTTTGATCTAGCGATGCTTAGAAGACGCGCTTTGGACTGCATCGACGACGGAAACCACGCGTTTGCCACAGGTGGACTCGATCGCGGATTCTGTGGAGTTCGCACGCCGGGCGCATGTCTTGCATGGATTTGCAGGTCACATTACCTAATAGGGCCTGTCTCAACAAGTGCCCCATGGCTGAGTTGGTTACAGCGTCCGACTGTTATGCCGCTCCCCAGCAGCGATGACGCCATCGGAAGGTCGTGAGTTCGAGCCTCACTGGGGCAGTCATTTTGGCGAGAAGTCATCCAGGCGTCTCATTTACCTGGAGGATGAACGCGTTCTGAAAGCAAGCCGGGGCCACCGCCAAAGCCGCCGGAGAAAGCCGCCACAAGTTCAGGCGCTTATTTTGCACCCTGCCGTCATCCTGCCGCCCGATATCGCGCTCACCACTGTTCTGACACCCACACCCGGCCCTTTCGGGAGGCCATGCAACTTCTTGGACCAAATTTTACAATGGGATAATGAGGGAAGCCGTGGTAGAGTGCCCTAGCTAGTCGAAGGCTCACACAGCACTCGATCCCTCTTCTTAGACCAGCTCAATCGGGGTCCCCACTGTCTACGTTCAATATAACGATTGAAGGATTACTTATGCGCGTGGAAGATCATGATATGTACGGATATCGCCATCATAGCCCCATGACCACGAGAACGACCGCGTGGAAACAGCTGCGCGTGCGAAGCGTTTGCAATGACTGGTTCTCAGGTACTACCTGCGCGGTCTTACCCTGGCTTGCAACTCGTATAAGTAGCTCTAGGAAGGTTGGCCTCAGATCTGGTACTCCCGGTAGTGCACTTCCTCCTTCTGCACTCACTGGACTCAGCCTTACCGCTCCCACAGATTAACCACTGACAGTACCAACTTGATATGCGTCTGGGTCTGCTTACGCTTCTGGTCGGTGCCTTATTCCTGCCTCGCGCAACCTGTGTCGAGCATTGTCCGGGCGTCCTCCAAGCACCCTGGGAAGATGGCGTGCAACAGGATGCTTTCACTGCATACGACGATGGGCTCTTCACACCACTGGGAGATCTCTCTGCTCTCTCTACTTCGCATTTCACGCCCCTTAGCCATCCAGCTTTCCCGCGGCACAGTGTGCGCGCGAAGCAGTCGCAGTTCTGCGACGGCAAAGTGCGGTAAGTCCATCATCCCTCTACTATGCTTACGGTATACGCAGTTGCTGAAATCGGACTTCCCCAGGGCGTATACTGGGTACATCGATGTTGAAGCGCACCATCTGTTCTGGTTCTTCTTTGAGAGCCGAGGGGATCCCGACGCGGACGACGTCATCTTCTGGACGAACGGCGGCCCCGGGGGGTCAGGTGCCGTTGGATTGTTCTCTGAACTCGGTGAGCGCGGGTTTCTTCTTGCGATCCCGCGACGGATGATCTGATTTCTGCCTGGTAGGCCCATGTCGCGTGACGAGTGCAAACAGTACGGAATGGAACCCGTGGTCTTGGAACGAGCACGCAAACATATTCTTCATCGAGCAACCCGTCAGCGTCGGGTTCTCTTACGCCGAATTCGGGGAGTCTGTGGTACGACCTTTTCCGACGGGTGCCCCGGCTCACGCTGAACTACACTTTCGCTCTAGTCAACGACTCGTGAGGCGGCGGACGATGTTGCAGCGCTCATGGGAATTTTCTTTGAGCATTTCACCAAGTTCAAAGGTCGAGCACTGCATCTTGCAGGCGAGTCTTACGGGGTAAGTGCCTCTTCTGTTGTCGACCTGGCATCGATGGTGGCTGAAGGAGGTCTTTGCTAGGGTCGCTATATCCCCGTCTTTGCCTCCGCCATATACGACAAAAATACGGAGCTCGTCGAAGCTGGGCTTACGCCAATCAACTTGACGTCCATTATGCTAGGTAGGGCATCTCGTTGCAAACGGGCCTTTATCTCTAAGGAAAGCTCACGATGTGGTTCTGAAAGGGAATGGATGTACGGATTTCGCCACAATGTTCCCATCTTACTACGATGCCCAATGCGCGGACCCGACTTTCCCCGCCATTCAGGACATTTCGTCAGTCTCAGTGCCAAAATTGCCACTCATCCTTGTCTAATCACTTTTCTTGGCAGTACCTGCGTACGACTGAAACAGATGGTATGGCACCAAAACTTGTATGGTTCCCCGAACACGCCCTGACCTGCGTGTTCCGTAGGCTCCCCGATGCGAGCAGCGCTTCAAGAAGTCCTGCGTCGATACCCTGGACAAAATCGACTGCGCGGCCGCGGCCGCGTTCTGCTTCCAAGTCTTGACTGGTCATTACAAGAGTGCGTGATACCCTCCTAGTATGCTCCCGTTTTAGCTGTAAGGCTGATTCTGGGCCTGCAAAGATCCATACTTTTACGATCGCTCCCGCCCCTGGTACGCCCATGGCACGATCATACTAACTCACGCTTGAGCTTGAGCGCTGATACCGACGACTTCACGCACAGCACACACGATGAAGAAATGGAAGTCTGCTACCCCATCATCAGGTACGTACCCTCACCCTCAACTTCCCCGTTATACACACGAGCGCTGACGCACCCTCCGTCCACAACAGCGACATCAATGCGTACCTCAGCCAGCCGTACATCCAAGAGCTCCTCGGGGTCGACCCCGCAGTGCGCGGCAACTACAGCCTCACGTCCGCCACCGTCGCCGCCGCGTTCGACGCCACGCTCGACTGGTACTCCTTCCCCGCGCAGTACCACATCGCGGCGCTCCTCGAGCGCGGCGTGCGCGCGCTCGTATTCGTCGGCGCGACCGACTTTATCTGCAACTGGGTGCGCTTCCTTCCTACCCCCTCTAGGGTTGTTTGATTGGGTAGAAGGGGCTGATAGTGTATGTATGGCAGATTGGGAACGAGCGGATGACGCTCGCGCTGGAGTGGACGCAGCAGGAGGCGTACCGCAGCGAGCCGCTCACGGAGTGGCTCGTCGACGGCAAGCCGGCGGGGCTGACGCGCAGCGGGGGCGGGCTGACGTTTGCGACGATCTCGGGCGCGGGCCACTTGGTGAGTTCTTCTGAGTCAGTCTTGTTGCGAGAGCGTTGGCTGATCGGGGATGACAGGCTCCGTACGATAGGCCGGTGGAGGCGTCGGCGTTGGTGAACAGGTGGCTAGCGGGCCAGGCTCTGTGAACGAAGTAGGAGGATGATCGGAGGCGAGCACAAGACGAGCATTTAGTGTATGTCTGTCAGCATGAATGTAGTCTTCGAATCCTTTGAGCGCATCAGCGGTAATGGCTTTCATTGCACGTACCTGCGCGGATACACTGGAATTTCACTGATAACGAGCTTAGGAACAGACAAATGTTCGACCTGGGGGAGGTGCGACGATGTAACACCGATTAGATGAGCATATTTATGTGCAAAACTATAAAACATGTGCTATGTGACAACGCGACCAGCATAAGATGCGCGAGAGCGAAAACAACGAGCGAGAGTTGAAAAGAGCGGCAGCAGTACGTACAAATATAAGCATGCGGTTGTTGGGTTTAGTAGACATATTTACCGAACCCCTCGCAGACGGGCAGCTCGTGCAGCTCGTGCCATAGAGTCAGCTACACCGACTCGGCGTGCTCCACAGTGCTCGGACTCGGGGTCTCCGACTCGGCGCTGTCCTTGTCGTCCAGGCGCACTAAGTCATCGTCCAGGATAACGCGCGAGTCCAGCACCCTGCGTTTCCACGTATACAAGTCAGCGATATCCCACATGAATGTACCGGAAGATAGAAGTGAGGGCAAGACGTACCCCATGTCCATCGAGATGTGTGTGGTGAGGTTGCCCGGGAGCGGGGCGCTGACGAGTTCGGACGGGCGCGACCCAGTTCCACTCCCAAACCCGGACCGCGGGTTGGCGTCTTTGCCGTTGTAGTCGTCGAAGGCGAAGAGCGTGAGCGAAGATGCGATGACGCTGGGCAGTCAGGTTAGCTCTGGAAGCGTACGATGGTGCAGGCGCGAGGCATACCTGATAGTCACGGCCGGCAGGGAGAGTAGGACGTTCATCCCGGCTGCACAGGACGTTGTGTTAGAGCAGCCAACGTGGTTGGATTCGATAGATACACACGATTCAGGTTCAGGAACGCGAGCGTCGCGACGGGGACGTTCACCGCACATGTCGCCGCGACGTACCAGATGCCCTGCACGCAGAGCGCATCGCCGAAGCGCCAGCGCCGCGCGCGGTACGCGTGCTGCATGTGCACGCGGTGCACGGCGAACAGCGTCATCGACAGGATCACGACGTCGAAGCAGAACGCTGCACGGCGCGCGGCGTCAGCATGGGAATCCTCGCGAGGGAGAGGGGAGGGGACACACTGTAGATGTAGAATCCACCGAGGAGGTGGTTGTCCGAGCTGAAGACTTCGCATGATGCGCTTTGCATGTTCCATTCCGCACGGACGGTCAGGATGCCCTCTGGATCAGCGTTAGCGGTAGACTTGCGACCCACGAGACAGGAAGGCGCGTACGGAGAACTACGATGACAGCCTGCCCCACACCTATAAGTACGAGTATGGCCACTGGAATGTATTGCTTCAAGGTCCAGAGGATGGCGGCACTGGTCCGAGGTGCATGAGAAGAACGTAGTGCTGAGCGTTGGTGAGCGGACTCACGGCCTAGAGCATAGTGTCAGACTCGCGAGCATCGCAGCCCCACTTCCGAGGCTCTATCGTCGCGTGATTGTGAACAAAGTGCGCCCAGATGAGTAGCGAAAGGGGACGCACGGCAAATGTCCGATATGCCACTATATCCTCCTGTTAGAGCAGAGCATGGCCTTCACAGGTATAAACATACCATCACACGCGATCCTCGTTCTGGATCTTCCGGTGATAACGCTTTTGACGACCGCGATCGACACAACTCAGCGCGCGTGAAGATCTCGAGTGGGTGAGAACAGACGCACAAGAAGAGCAGAGCGGAGAGCATGACATAGCGCGCGAGCAGCCATGGAATGTGCACGACACGGAACGCCCGCTTCCTGGTTATGAGCTCCCACTCGATGTACGTGCTCCATAAGAACTGGGTCCTGCCAGGGAAACCCGATTAATTTCATGTAGCGGAGCGGAAAGAACAGAGCGCACCCATAGAAGCCAAGCAAGAAAACTGCGATCTGCTCATAGATGAAGAAGACATAGACGATCACCTCTGGGTCCTGCCAGTGAACCATCGCAAGCAAGGGATAGTCGGCGGCGCCAAGAGGACGATCGGCAAAGATCGAGGTGGTGGGGGCGGGCACCATGCTCCTCCTGACGACCTCTAGGCTATATAGCAGGCCGACAACGGCGGAGGCGTGGGCACGGTGCACAGTCGGACAGTGACGCGCGGTCGGGTGGACTTCGCTGATAGAGGTAAGTGGGAGCCAGGGAGGGGCCAAAGTGTTTGAGGATTAGGCTGCAGGGGCATGGCGTTGCCGTACATTCCCATGCTAACGGTCGGGAGGACGGCGTTGCTGGTACGGTCAGACGCGAGGTTGACGTACATATGTTCTGCGCGATCTTGTCTGCGATTCAGTCTACTCCGGCGTTAGCGCGGATGTCAGCCTTCTCACGTACATACGTCCGTGGCCGCATTCAGGCCTGACCTCAAGTTGAGGCTCTTTGAATAAACCTTGGAGCGATTTAACGGGCTGCTTTGCACGGTTGGCAACAGGTTTTTGGGTAATTGTATACATAGTACACAGTGAGGCAGCCGCGCACTTTGCAGGGTAGCGGAGTTCTCTGAACCTTCCAGTTGCGGGTATCAATGATTGGCGAGTGGTTGGACCTGGAGCAGCGACAGCATGGAAGGAACGGTGGCAAAGTGTCTTAAATCCTTGTCAAGACATATGCGCTCATTTCCGAGCTATAACAACACAGTAGTCAGACGCCACATACCGGCGGGTTCGTAGGCCAACGCTGATGGCCCTTGGTGTGCGCAGCGAGAACGATGGTGACGGCAGAGGATGAGTGCAGCGGACCGCGTGGTCCGGACATTCGGTTCCGCGACGGCCACGTGATTATCTGACGCGTCGCGCGCGGCGCGTTGAGCCACACGCGTCTTGTCCTTTCTTCTTACTCCGACCTTCTCTCTTCGACTATGACTGATTTCTCGAGATATAGGTTGCCTAGTGTTGCAGGTTAGTTGAATACGCATTGATGGTGCCAGCGTTACTTACTGGAGACTAGGTTACAAACTGGTCAAACAGATCGGTGGCGGCGGCTTTTCTATGTACGTGCCCAGCGCTTCCAGGTTGTGGCTGAAAGGGAAGTGGACCATTCTGCCATTGCCTCCTCGACCCTCGATGAGCTGCATGGTAAAATGGTCCTCTATGAGTGGCAAATGAGTAAATATGACGCGCATTGGGCTATGTCGTAACGCTATGTCGAAAGGCGATCTTCGCCCTTTGTCTACCGCGCCGCACACCAGGCTGGTCGAGTTACGGAATATTGCTGAGAAAAGCTACTCATCAGCTGATAAACACCGTTAACGTGGCGCGTTCCTCTGGTGAAAGTGAATCGCTTGCTAGCTTAATTTTTCTTTACCATCAGGCGCTGTAACATCTCACTCAACGGCTTCGCAGTGTCTACCAAGCCGTCAACGTCGATCTAGGCAGGGTTGCGGCATGCAAGGTCATCGCCATCACTCCGGAAACGGACGAGGCCCAGCTCAAGGCGATCGAAAAGGAGATTCGCGTCCAGAGCGCTCTCAAGCATCCAAACATTCTTGAGCTCATTGGCGCTGCAAAGCTCACTCCAGACCGTGCTGTCATATCTGGCCACTTCCCGGCGTCGTATATTCTCCTGGAGATGGCCGCAGGAGGCGATCTATTTGACAAGATCGGTGCGTAGTGCTTTGTTCGAGTGGAATACAGCACTTACTCCACGGCGACAGCACCGGATGAGGGCATCGACGAAGACACAGCTCACTTCTACTTTTGCCAGCTGATCGATGGCTTGGTTCGTCAACGACGTCATGACTTTCACGCTCGCGCAGCTTATTATGGCATTCATAGCGATATCTCCACACGGAAGGCGTGTGTCACCGAGACATGAAGCCCGAAAATCTACTACTGGACGGGTCAGGAACGCTGAAGATCTCTGACTTCGGCTTGGCAGCGGTCTATAAGCTCAAAGAGACTGGCCAGTCGCGGATGCTCAGTGAACGATGCGGGAGCCTCCCCTATCTCGCGCCAGAGGTCTGAACGAATGCATTCCGGCCTTACAGTTCTCCTTCTGATCGAATCTGCAGATGAAAGGGAACAAACCGTACGCGGCAGAGCCCATAGACGTGTGGGGCGGTGGCGTGATTCTCTTCACAATGATTTCAGGCAGTACGTCTCATTTACCTCAAGCATTCCCTTTTGCACGCGGCCTGAACCTGTCATTGCCAGACACGCCTTGGGACGAGCCCACAAGAGGCAGCCATGAATTCGTGCAGTACCTCACGGGCGAGTGCTTCAACGACGAGCCTTGGACAAGCTTTTCCGAAAACTTGCTTTGTACGCTCGCTCTCCGCTGTCCTCAATCTGGCTGGGATAACTCATTATATACTTTTGAAAGCACTCATCACTGGTATGCTTGACGTCGAGGCCACCACCCGGATGACGCTGCAAGACGTCGCATGCCACCCCTGGGTAACACGGTACGCAAGCTGCTCACTCTTCGCCGATATCCCACTCACGCGCTCCGTGCTTCCTTTGTACAGGCCCAGTCAGCTTGCAGGACGCGGCGCCTACGCGATCGCGCAGAGCCTCACCGCGAGGCTGCGCGCGAACGGCGACATGGGCATCGCAGACCCGCAGATGGGCGGCAAAGACGCGATGGATACGGACGAGGACGGGGACTATATCATGCAGAACCAACGCTCGCAGTTCACCCAGTCTCTCATGTTCTTCGTGCGTCCCCTTCCCCTCCCTCCCCGCACAACTGACGCGCTCACCTCCCCGCGATCGCACAGACCCAAACGCAGCCCGGGACACGGTTCCGCTACACGCCGCACCTCACGCGCTTCTTCGCCGCGCTCGCGCCCCACGCGTTGCTCCCGCTCCTGCAAGAGGCGCTCACTTCGTTCGGCGCGAAGTACAACCCGCCGCGCGAGTGCCCGCCTGGGGAGCCGGACTTGCCCGCCGTCCGCATGCGCATCGGCGGGCGGGACCGCAGGAAGCTGCACATGAAGGGCTACCTCGAGATCGACCCGTTCCAGAAAGGGGAGTACAAGGGGAGCTTTGTTGTGCTCGCGCGCGATGTGGTGAGTCCTTCGTTTGAGGTTTGTGTGTGAGGGGGTGTGGAGGCTGATTGGGCTGGTAGGGCAACCCGCTGGAGTGGCGCGCATTCTGGAAGGAGCTCGTCAAGCATCCGCTCATCCATCCGCATGTGTACAAGAGGTTTGACTAAAGGCGGGCGTTCTATGCCGATACTCTCGTTTTCTTGAAATACGCACTAAAAACCATGCCCCCTCTCACCCAAGCTACTTACCTCCCCACTCACATCAGGCCATCGCTCCGGATCTCGTAGGGTTTTTGTAGAATTACATTTCTCGTTCTTGTATGATAGTGGCGCTCAGCAATACACATATGACTAACTAGTTAGCGAGGTGCGGCACAGCATGTGGACGTACATACAACATAAGGCATACAGGCGAGGGAGAGAGCAAGAGTCCGTTACTATTACTACATATACAAGTTCAACATGAGGTTCGAGGATTCATGTGTTCATGGCTTCATTGAGGCTGGCGCTCAGATGATGAAGCGGAGGTTTGTGTCCTGTAAGCCCATCTCGTCCGTGAGCATGTAGTTGAAGGAGAGTTGAAGGAAGAGAACATACGATGTGGTGCGAGCTCGAGAGCTGCGCCTTCTGGCTGTACTTCTTCTTGAGGATGACCCGGATCGAGCGCAGCAGCTCCCGGTACGTCTGGTTCGGGTTCTCCTCTGTAGGTACGGGAATAATCAGTGTCGGCTTCTGATAGGGCAAGAGTGAATCGAGTACGCACGGAGCGAGCTCATGAACGCCTTCGAGGTAGCGATTTCGAAGTAAGCGGCTGGATATCGTAAGGGAGGAATGGAAAGGAGCTTACATAGCTCATCGCGCCCGTTGCAATGCCCTGCTCCCACGTATCCGCACTCGTCTGCGAGTCCTTACATCCGCTCCACGAGATCTGCATACCGTCCTTTATTAGCACACTGCGTCCGTGTACCAGGATATGAAAGGGATCTCACCACGTCCGCGGGCGTCGACTTGTAGTCGAACCACTTCTGCTTCACTTGGCTGCCCTTAACGCGGCCGTCGGAGGAGTACTGCGGACCGGGACGTTAGCTGGCTATGGATGGGTGAAACGGGATCAGGGGCGCGTACCAGGTACGGAAGATCTGTAACACGGGGCTGGGTTTAGTATGATGCCGATAGCGAGGGATGACGTGAAACTTACCGAGTGCTGAGCCGGAGTGGCAGGACTAAGCATTGCAGTCAGTCAGTCAATTCCTGGGATAAAGCTCTCAGAAGGTACTAACGTCAAAGAGAGCCTACAGGAAAGTCAGGATCAGCACGGGTGGAACAAGTACTGGGGAGAGACGTACTGTAAGTCTGCAGCCTGCGGGAAGCGACTTGACCATGATCGTATGCATCAACTATTGCGCCCCTGCTAAGTAAAAAACCACTTTCGGTTTTTCTGCCATCACTTACGTCGTCGACAATGTATCCTGTGGATTTGTGGTCCATGGGGAAAATGACTGCCGTTCATAGGCACGTCAGCATCCGCACACTGCTGAGCGCCTCATATCCTTACCTTCGTCGTAGCCATCGATCTCGTCGCCATTCTTGTCTTTGACCTGGGCACCATGTCCTGAATCTGCGAGCAATGCGTGAGTCCACCAACCCGGACAGAAACCGAAAGGGAATACACACAATGGAAGAACAAAGAGTCGTGTGGTTTGGCGCCCTGCACGAGCCAATGCATCATGGCGAGAATGTTGGCGCGCGTCGGAAGGAGCTTCGGGTCCTTCGCGTCATCTGTTAGAAGTACTGTGTTGCGTGACCTGTAGCCGTGGCCTGGGGATCCGGCACGTCAGCGAGGCGGCGCGAGCAAAGGCGGAGATAGAGCGCACGTATGAGGAAGTTCTGGACGTTGCGCGCGTCATTCACGCAGCCGTAGAGCTGGTTGGCCTGGCCGCGGTAGTTGATGCCAATCTGAGGACGGTATGTTAGCAACTTCATAACGCCGTTGCTCGAGGTGGAAACCAAACGTACACACAGTGCCTTCTTTGTTCCAGTGCACTTCGAGTACATGAAGTGATGGTCGGCATGGCTCGACGAGGTAGGGGGCTGGAGGTACTGTATCGGATCCGGCGCAGGGCGATGTTCTGTACGTGCGGATAATCATCAGTCAGGAGCGGGGAGGGCAGAGAAAACAACAACGGACTGGCAGGCTTGACGACCGCGTTACTGCCATGGATAACAACGGCGGGACGCGGAAAATGGCTATGGCTGTGACTATGGCCATGACGGTGCGTGTGAGTGTGCGAGTGTGACTGGTGGCTCGTGCGGTGTGTCGTCTGGACGTGAATGTTCAGTCCGGGCGAGCGAGGTATAGGTGCGGACGTTGAAGGTCCTCCCGGAACTGCCCATGGCCTAATTCGAGCGTTGTCAGCTATTCACAGCCAGACAGGAGGCGGATGGTAAATACCCAGAGCGTTCGTGGTATCTGTCCACAAAAATATTGTCTAGTTTGCGTCAGATGGCGCCGATCAGTCAGTGAAATGTGCACGGACCCGATCCCGGAGCGCCAATGGGCATGAAAGGCGCAGGTGCCGGTCCTTGAGAGTACATGTCGAAGCCTCCCGGGCTAAAGATACTCTCAGCTCCACAGTTCATTTTCCGTGGATGAAGACTTACGGTGAAGGGAAGCTGTGGAGAGGGTGTTGTAAGCTTGTGTTGCATCGCCACAGGGGCCCCACTCGGAGGAAGTGTACGTACGGCGGCGCATATTGCTGCTGCTGCTGCTGCTGTTGCTGAGGATAGTACGGCGGCGATCCTTGTCCGCCGCCCGCTCCTCCGCTGAAATCCCACATCATCTTGGCTTATTTACGCTGGTTGGGATGGTGGTAAGAAAGAAGGGGGGCTATATGGAATGCACAGCCGTGGCAAATGATGACGGAGTGCTTATAAGGCAAGGGCTGGGCGCCTCCCCGGCGTGAGTAGAATGTGGTCCTGACTCCTTGGCAGCGCGGCCGTTATGGAGAGCAGGGTTCCGGAGCGTACGGCGCCGAGTCCTAGAGCTCCTAGGCGGTGCCTCGCGCTCCTGTCGCCCGCGTCGAATACAGCGGCTGTCTAGCCTGACTTCGGCCCAGCTGTCCTGGAATGGACAGCGTTGCACTGCACGTGTTCAGCCGGTGTGAGCGATGTCGGCTGTTTGCGGCAACAGGACTCACAATTTTATTCGAGCTCGAGCTCGGCTGGTTCTTGCGAGATGATCAGCAAGAAAAATAGATGTGCAAATCGCGAAGGGGTGCCTACAGTCCACATGTCTCGCGGAGACACCGATGTCATTCGGAGGGAGAGTTAATTTGGCGCCCGACGACACCACTCGATCAGGTACTTGTGTACCAAATCTGGATGACACACTATTTTGGCGCCCAAAAGTACTTTTGCGCTCGTTCACTCGCTTGCAGTAATTCCTGCTGTATCTTCAGCTCTATTATCCCTCCTCTTGCCCATACTACGCTTCAAAATGGCCAAACGAACACACGCCGATGCCGCCGAGTCGAGCGACGACGACGCTCCGGAGGCCTTCTCCTTCGGGACGTCCAAGAAGGCCGCAAAAGGCGAGGAAGAGGCCGTCCGCCAGTTCCAGGCCGCGGAGAAACTCAAGCAAAAGGAGAAGAACCGGACCATCGACCGCAAGCTAAAGGCGCGTGCTGCCGAAACCAAGAGCACAGGGAAGGGCAAGGCAGCGGCAAGTCACTGGGAGAAAGCGACCAAGGGGAAGGGGGCTGAGTTTGCCGCGGACTTCTCGGAAGAGGAGGATGCGAGCGAGACTGAAGAGGGTCCATCGGGAAGGAGTGCGCTGGAGGACCGCATGGCACGGGCTATGAGGGACGCGGAAGAGGAGGACTCCGATCTGGACGACCTAGACGAAGAGGAGGGCTCAGCGTTCGAGGGCTTTGCCGGGGAGGACGTCGGTATGGATGCCGGTATTGCCGAGGGCGATGGTGACGAAGAGATGTCTGAAAAAGATGATGACGATGATGAATCGGAGGACGAGGCCGACGAAGAAGAGGCTGATGAAGATGAGGAAATGGTGTCAGACAGCGAAGAAGATGAAGAGGACGCCTACACAAAACCCTCTGTGCAAAAGCACAACTACCTCCCCGATCACCTATTCAAATCCGCCCTCTCCAGTGTGCGGAATACAAAAATCACGTTCGCGAACGAAGAACCAGCTCCCTCACACGCGCGTGCGTCCCCACCACAGAAACGGAGACGAGCGAAACGTTCAGAAAAGGATGTTGTACTCGGGTATGTCTACCACGCGCTCTCTTCCGTTCATTCATCTCATCTCTGCCCAATTGTAGCTCGCGCACTATTCGCACGCTACCACGGACCTCCGAAGCCATCTCCCCTGCTGCTGCTAAAGGCCTCCCCCCACCACGACGAGTGAACAAATTCCTCAAGCACAGCTTGAACGTGAAGGGCGACGCTAAGCAGTCACAAACCAAGGGTTGGACGAGGCGAGCTGGTAAGGAGCTTCGCTTTGCGCTTGCGCAAGCCATCGACTTACTGACCTTCTCCCGTGTAGCCAACCTGGGCGTTATGAAGAGAAGTGGTCCGGCCGCACACTTTGTTCGCGGCTCATAACAGCTACGGGTGCTTTTACGACCACTACGCTGCGTCGGCATTCCCAAATTGCTTGAACGTGCTGAGAGAAGTACTCTCATCAGAAGGCGTTGCGTGACTTGGTGGGGACTACATCATCATTGTGAGCGTTACATCTGCCTAATGTTACATCGCGAACGGATTTTCGACGGGCAGTGCATCTCAACACTGTTTTTGACGACTACATGGTTTCAGCACTTGCTCGCTCACGGGAACGAAAGCTTGTTCGCCTTCGCCGCGATTTGCGCCAAGTATATCGTCGTCTCAGCCATGATGACCAACCGCTGGTCTCCCGCGAAGACGAGGTTGGCGGATGTCGTGCCGAGGAAGATTTTGCCCAGCAGGGTGCCGTCTGGGCCCCATACATGTACGCCGTCCCCGCAGCCCGCGTACACGTTGTCGTCCGCATCGACCTGTATGCCGTCCGCGATTCCGGTGTCGACGTACGCGAAAACGCGACGGTTCTTGAACGCTTCGGTCTTCGGATCGACGTCAAACGCGTAGCTGTGGGGATGTGAGGCCACAGCTCCACACACGAGAGGAAGAGTGTAGGCACGTACACCGTGGCAGGCTCCGTCTGGTTGTTCCCGAGGAATCCCGCCACGGACCCTGTGTCAGTCCTGCTCCACAGATAGGTCAGACCCTCGATCGAGGCACAGGAAGGCATGCGTACGCACACGAATGCCGTCTTGCCGTCCCTGCTGAACGCGATCCCGTTGCATCTGTCGAACCCGTCCGCGACCACGCGTACTGCCCTCGTCTCGGGGTCGAGGCGGTACACTTGGTTCGGCATGAGGGGCAATGGGCGGAAGTGGTTCAAGAATCCATACCTGCGCGCAGCCTCAGTTGAGCATCCCCGGACGCAGAACACACGAGCGACTTACGTGACATCCGTGAAGAAAATCTTGTTAGTCCCTGGGCGGATCTTCGCATCGTTGAGCGAGTTGAACTGCCTCCCGAAGAAGTTGTCCAAGAGCACGGTGGTGTTGTGTGGAGGGGACGGGTTGACGAGGGCAACCGAGGGCGGCAGAGGACCACGCCCGGAGTTGATGAGTATCAGGTCCCCGTTGAATGGGCCCGTGCCGCCGTTTGTCATCTGGATCGTATCCGGGAGGTCGAGCTGGGAGATCGACCGTCAATCCATCATGCATTGCTTCCCCGCCCCATGGCACCCATCGACTCGGCACTGCAACCCACCGTCGTGACGGACACATTTACGGCGGCAGTGCCGCGTCCAGCGGCCTTGATCGCAGCCGCGACTTCCTTCAAGCTGATCTTCGACACCTGGTTATTGTGGTCGATGTCGCTCATCCCGAGCGCCCCGCCGTCGTTGCTGGCGAACGTGACTTCGTCCGTACTCGGCAGCCAGATCGGCGCCTCATGCGCGAAGGCAAACGTCGGGTTCGCGGCGACCGCCCGGACCGTCGCGCTCGGGCCGAGGATGCGCAGGAACGCGGGGTCGAACACCTGGAAGAACGGCGGGCTCGTGTTCGTCGGGTTGAGGAACTCCGTGAACGCGCTCTGGCGGAACGCGCCGTTGTTCCCGAGCGCGGCAAAGGAGCGCGGATCGACGAGCTGTGCGCATCACCACGCCGCAGCGGCACAGGCCCAGTCGCAGGATCAGCAGGAAGCGCAAAGGCTGAGCGTGATGGACGCGGCTTCGTGGGCGAAGAGATGCACGTACCACAGCTTGCGGCGGTAAGCTCGTTGCGTTGATTGCTCTGGGCTGTGGCTGTGGCTGCAGCGCCGGCGGCGACTGCAATGTGGCATATGCCCATGAGGCGAAGCCGACGGTAATGACGGCGATGCTGGATGCTGCGACCATCGTAAGAGTGTGGGGCCTGGAAGGTCGGCTACCGTGTTCTCCAGTGTCCGTGGGCTTTTGTAGCTGGCCCCTCGAGCCTTGTGGTGTCATTGCGCGGTCGTGCCCGCTGAATGGATGGGGAGCGGGACGTACGACGGGACTTTTTGGGTCTCATGACTACCTACGTGAGTGGTTCTGTTGAAGAATCTTGCGTTCGACGAGAATACTGAGTCGTAACAGCTGCCAGGATGTGTCCCCGTGCTATACACTAAGCGAGCATGCGATGGGGTCTGTATCGGGATCGTCGGAAGACCGTGAATTGCCACGAAATCCCAAGCTCTACGAGGGAGTACGGTAGTGCCGGTTAAAGGTCCGTTCACTCCGCCGTAGCTTACTTGATGGGAGTCTGAACCACAGCAATTGACTTTTAGGGGTGCGCGCCTCGCCTGCAGGTCGATCGGTAAGCGAACAGAGCCATCTCGTTACTGCAATCTCTCGACAACCGCCTATACATGAATACAGCCGGTGGCCGCTAGGTGATGTAGATGGGCGTCCTAAAGCAGTATTGTCAAGCAAAGAGCCGCATTCGGGAAGGCAGCGCTGTGGCCATGTGGACTCGATGGGAATGCGATCACTCTTCGTGCTCAGACGCCGGCGCTGCGCGGGCCGACGGAGACGTAAAGACAATAAGGGGCGCGCGGAAGTCTCCGGATGAGATCTCTGGAGTGAATGCCGCCTTTGCAATCCCTTTTGTTCTCTCATCGCGGTATGCGCGCCATCAGGCATCGCAGACAAAAGAACAGGGCGCGCAGAGAAGCACCGACGGGAGTGAAATCACTCATAACATGATGTCGATGATCTATCTGTCGCTGCAACGTCGCCCCATCCAAGGCTGTTCGTGAAGAATGCGTCGGTCGCTCACTGCTACAGTCCCCACGCAACGCGACGCAGCGACGGCGTCAACGCCAGACGCGGCGTCGCGCTTTAAGCAGCTCACTCTCTGGCTTGGATCGGGCTCGCAGCGTCAAGTCCCCCCGTCGAACCGAATGGCAAACGCGACGTACCAGGCACCGATCGCAAGGCTCCCCGTCGAGCTCCTCTCGTACATCTTCATCCTCGGAGCGCACACGCCAGACGCGGGCGATGCGGATTTGGAAGAGGACGGCCCCGAAGAATCCTGCGGAGGGGGTGGATCGACGCACGACGGCAAGGAGGACATCTCCCCCTGCATATCCTCGTCGTCTACTCCCCCAGATGTATTCGCCGCTGTCAACAGGCACTGGCGCGAGGTCGCTCTGGGCACCTCGCAGCTTTGGAGCCGAATTTGTGTGACGATCGGAGACCTCGCGCACAGCGGCGGGGGAGGATGGTTTCCCAAAGCCTCCCGATACGTGTCGCGCTCCGGGAGGTGTCCTCTTGACGTCTACATTGACGCGCGAGACCCTGAGTGGGATTTCTCGGAAAACGAGTGAGTCTTCTGGTGGTCTGTCATGGGGCCGCTGCGCTAACCCCGCCGTTCGGCTCAGCTCATTTGGCGCCGTCGTCAGCCCGTACATCGACGAAACATACGATTACACTCACCCGTTCAGGGTCGAACACATGCACTATGTGCTGAACATCCTACTGCCGCACATTGCCCGCGTGCGCTCCTTGGCCATTCTGACGGACAGGTGGTCGCCCATGGAGGTCGCGCTGGAGTGCCTGAGCTTCGAGAACCCGCTGTTCGTATCATGTCCAAGCCCTTTACCCAGAAGTCTTCCCATACTGGAAAGTCTGGTGCTGATGCGCTGCAACGAGTTCGTGAGCTACAACCCCCACTTCAGCCCCAGGGAGCGCAGGGATTCATATCGCCTACCATTCCGCGGACTCCTATTCGCTCCAAAACACGCGCCCTCGCAAAGTCCGCTGCTCCCTCGTCTTCGGGTACTGTCGCTGTCGGGCGTCCACCTTGACTGGTCTTCTCTTCCTTCCCTCCTTCCCTCATCGACGTCACCAGGGGGACCAGGTCTTCGGCATCTAGAACTGTCATATCACAGCGCCGACGTTCGCCCCAGTGAGAAGGAGTTCAGAGATATCATCGGAGTCTGCCAATCCCTGAAGTCCTTGACGATCTGCGTATCGGGCCCACGAAGTTCCGCCAGCGCTCCCCCTTGCGGTCCTGAGAGCAGAGAGCAGCCCGTCGCGCTCCCGTACCTCACGAAGCTCGAGCTCGGATACGACGACATACAAGCCGCGACCACAGTGCTTAGAGTCATCGATACCACCGGAGCGACGCACGTCACCCTCGAAGATGCTTCTTCCCCCGAGCGCGACGAGACGTTGGATGCCGACACCCTTCTCATGGCCTGCACGAAGGCAGCACCGGCCGGGAGCGCCAACTGCGGACGGCCCCTCTTTGCCCGTGCCCGATCTGTCACGCTCCGAAGGGTGGAGGCGTCTGCAGAGGCGTTCGAGGCATTCTACACGGCACTCCCCGAGCTCGGGGAGCTGACCGTCGCGCAGATGTTCTTGCTGGGAGGCGAGGCACTCACCAATCGGAACGTGGACCTCACGTTCATACCGCCCGAGCTGCCGATGTCCGCGCGGCCGTTTGGAGCGCCGTCCACGGAGCACGATCAGCGCGGAACCAAGCACGCATCGAGCGAAGCCTCCTGCGGCATCTTAGCTCATGCAGTCGCCGCTCATACGGGCCCACATGGTTCAGAGAGGGGGGGTGCTATGTTATGGTGAACAATTCTTACCTTCGCTCGTCTACTATCTTGAATTCTTTGTCCAGCTTCGTGCGCCATGCGTGGAATCTGATGACTACAGACATTGACTGTTTCATATCACATCATATGCACATTGTACAACACGCACCTGGTCTAGCCTTGTAGAGAAGGACGTAGTCGTTATCCGCCGCAGAACCTGTGGTATCGCTTCGATTCATCGTCGTGACATGACCGACATGTGTGAGAATGAGTCTGCGCACAGGCGCAGGCCTTCGAGATGGCCGCGGCGTTTCAACGTCCGAAGACCTGGGGGATTTGTTTTTGGCTTTTATGTAATGATCACTTGGAACGACGTGTTGCGTACTCGCCACCAAGCGGCCCTGAACGATACTTCATACCACCTCATCCTTGCCGTACTCACGGCGCTTCGATAAACGTCTCGGCCGCAGCTTGGACGCCCAGCAGCCGGTCAAGGTTCAGAATTCGGCTGACACGCACCGACAGGGTGCAGACACCTTGCTTGGCGTAATAATAACATCTTGTAATTCATCTGCCTGGGGAATCCATTTACGAATTCGGATGACACTATTGCATGTGCGCGGGCCGGTGAGCTCAATTCACGCGGGAATCGGCGCAGTCTTTACCTGAGCATCGAGGACCGTGACTAGTCCAGAGCCTTTGCCGGTGAACTACCGGGACCGAGGCCGCAGTACTGTATGAGCCTGTGGGGATGTTGTGTGGGCACTGACTTTCGAAGCACTGAGGTCGAAGCGATGCGAGTGAAGGCTTGCTCGGACTACCGGTTAAAGCTGGCGCCCACATGAGAGCATGGAACCTAGATTGAAGCTAAGATAAGAAAGCGATTTCGGTGAAACCTGGAGCCGTGCAGACGACCTGTGTGTTTTTGGGCTCGAAGCCTCCGGATCAGCACACGGTGGCAGTGCACAGGTCACCGCACACGTAGTATTGGGGAAGGTGCTTACAGATCGACGTCCTCTCGGTGTTCAACGTTCAGGGTTTTCGCCGACGCAATGGCTTAAGCCACTGCAAGGGCACTTTTACGCCCCTTGTCTATCGATGCAGCATATATGTGTTCAAACGGTAAATATCGTTAGGTATCAATCAACAGTCGTCGGACTCGGCACTGGGGAGACTGCGAAAATAAACCTATCACTTACTTCCGTAATGGATAGCGCCTGCCGGCACAATTAATTGAGGCTCGAAGACAGGTGAAGGATTGCGTGACCTGAAACAATTCAAGGTGAGCTCCGCAGGACTGGCTGGAACGTGCGAGGCGCCTGGCATAGTAATTGATCACTGTATGTCAGCTGGAACTAAGATGAAACGTATATGCGCTAGATGTTGTTGTCCGCACCACCAGTACTTTTAGGAAGAGAGATGTGCTGCGTACGGTATCTCATGCTAGTGTGTTGGCTCCAGACGATGCCGATGCAGTGAAAGCGAGACGGAGGAGGACGAACAGCCGTGGGAACAAGGGGAGGCTGTTCAACGTTCAACATGTGCACATCCTCCGGCATCGCGCGCTAATTTCGCGCCTCCTTGCTGTCTCTCTCTTCATCCTCCTCCACCGTCAGAAGCCTGTGAGGACGGCCACAGCGCCAAGTTAAACGGATCCCGGGAACGAGGTGTCACCGGAAAGAATTTCTGCCGCACTGCAAGCTCGTCAGCATCGAACTTCACTCGCCAGCAATCGCCCTGGCAGACGTTCCTACGGGGAAAGGCATCGAATGCCACTCGTCTCCTAGAAAATGCCGTTACGATACTACCGCGCTCACAAGAACCCCCGAGTGGGATCGGAGGGATAGCGTCATAGCTCACATGCTCGTGCTCGTGCTCATGCTCGCTAAAGATCGGTGCGCTTGCATTAGCGTCGTACTTTTCTTTCATTCTACCCCATCTGTGATATGTGATGTACGCGAGTCTCTGAGGTGCTGGGCGAGGCGATCGGGCCAATGCATACACGCATCGATGGTACATTATGATGTCAGTTCCGCGGCGGTGTGCCAACTGGGTCGTCGTGCTGCCGCCAGGACATGGCCCGAAGGTCCTGGGGACTTTCGGGCACATTGCAGCTGATACTGATCACTGTGGCGACGTCGCCGCCGGAGACCTTCCGCACAAGACTGCCATAGACGAGCCTAGAGCGAGCTACTTGGTGAAGAGCCGCCGTGAGACTTCGCGTCCAGACTCGCTCGTGGTTCGCGATCCCCATGTGCAGCTCTGAGGTGGGCCCTTTTCCTGAGCCTTACTTTTTCATTATTACATTACAGCGGATGAAGACCTAACATAAGGCCGACGAACACACAATTTTGAGAACATTGTTTTTGGTTATGCCATGCGGCCACAATACGGCGGGTAAGCCGCTCTGTTCCATCAACAATTTACCAATTAAGTAGTCCTGACCGAAGTGCTGGTTATCATACGTCCCCTAGGATCCAGGACGCCGGTATATTAATATCCGCAGCGCACCTGCCGTGAGGTTACAGAAGCACGCCTGGCGTCTTGCATGATTCGGGGCAAACGCGCGGGGAATGCGGGCGATACCAGCAAAGTTTGATGCAATAGCAGCTACTACTGGGGTCGGTGACCTCACTTGCGAGTTCCTTCTTGACGTCGGGCTGGAGTCGCCGTCGACTATACTCACAAGAACGTGCTTTAGGTTCGTTCAGTTCACGGAGCAAGCCCCCATCCATATTCGCGTGCATTCTTAGCCTTTTTCCATGCATGCTCGGGGGCGCCGTTGGAGTTGACCCATGGCTTCCTCAGCTGTTCAGCATCTCTATCGTCAACCTATGAAGCCCTTAGTAATCCCTGACGTGCTGTAACAGGACGCAAGCACGCTGTATGAACAGACCATGCAATTGGGGCTCAAAGCTGTCCTGGCGCGCCACCGGAGTAAGGATGCGGGTGGAAGCGGAGCTTGCAGCCGCGCGCCGGCGCCGTTGTGCATGGGTATGGGGTCTGGCAAGGCTGTGAATTTCGTGAGTCATTCCCTCCTAGCTAATCATCCGCGTCCCCTCCGGATGATCCACAACGAGGCAGGTTCTTAGGTCGCTACCAACGGGAAATGTGTCCCAGCGGTGTGGACATCGGGTGTAGAAGACCAGCTCCAAGGGATACGATATTTCCTTATTGAATTGACACGGATGGGACTTTGCCAGGAACTGACCATGGCAGAACCAGCAAGTGACCTGCCAATCGGGACAACGGCGAAGCACAGCCATGTCCTCCAGACTCTTCTCGCCATCCCTGCAGGACGCGGACAAGGACAGGATGATGCAGCAGTCGCTTATGAGCGTCGACTCGGGTGAGTTGCAGGCCCGTTGGTCCGTGGGGCACTTCTACACCCTCTAGCCCGGTTCCAGGGATATAAGATACCGCCGTCCACCTCCCCCCTGATATCAGATCCTTCACCCTCATCTCTTGCTATAATCATTGCATCCGCTCTAACAATGCCAAGGGATCCTGCTTGCAGAATTTGCGCGGAGAAGAAGGGTGAGTTCGCCGCGGTCCATACACATCCCTTTACCGCAGCCCGGCTCATAAGTGACTTTTTAACTATGTCTAGTGGGCTGCAAGCCAGTGCCCGGCGCTGCCGCGTGCAGGCGCTGTCTTGATAGAAACCTTCGATGCGAGTGGCCCAACCCTTTCATCCCAGCTCCGCCGGGTGTAGGGACCCAGAAGACGTCTTGCGACCGTTGGTCAGTGTCTGGCGATTCTCAACTTCAGAATCATGGTAGCTTACGTTTTCGATAGCCGCATCAAACGTGTAAAGTGTGAGCGGCAAACCGCGGCTTCGACCGTTTGTGTGGCATGCTCAGTGAAGGGGGAAGTATGCAGCCTTAGCACGTCTACTGGTACGTACACCCCGTGCTACCTGATATTTCCCCCTCCTGACAGACGGCGCTGCGGCTTGGCGATCCACCACGCAGTTTTAACGCTTTCCGCCGGTGTTTCACAGTGCCCTCCAGGCGTCCCGCAAAGGTCACCTCCGCTTTGTGCGGATGAAACACCCACGACCGCACCACACGTGGGTTTGCAGAGCGCCCGTGAGCCTTCTGCCGCGACGGGCTCCTCTTCGGCGAGCCGCTCTGCGTGGTTGGACACGGTGTTGGCGCCTTCCCCGCAGTGAGCTGACAGCTAGTTCGCGTGGTGAACATCACATCCGTTCATTTACAACCCTTCTTGACGCCGGTTCGGCGGACTGTACGGCGTGTTCTATCATTGTGGGTGTATACGGCCCATCTCTTGCGATACGTATGTCATCGGATCGTTACAGATTCTCATCAGGTACCTTGTAACGACCGCCAGGGCCTGTCAAAGTTTTATCGAAGCATTCACTCAGAAGCGGACCGTCCCGAAGCGAGATCTCGTCGAGGCTCCGTGTGTAGATCGCAGCGGGGACGAGATGGCCGTGAGATATGCATACAAGAAGGAACATTGTATGTAGTCGCAAAGCTCTGCGACCAAGTTACAGTATCTCTGGGTGTCGGTTTCAGGAACGGGTAGTGGGAAGGCCGATCAAAGGGCTAATGTGTCGGCTTCAGTCCGAGGGCAATTTTTAGGCCGGTCTGACAGCCTGCAATTTTCCATGTACACCGACACGGAGGGTGTGATTTGCTGAGGGGCCTGTATGTACTGTTGCCTAAGGAGAGCAACGCATATTCCAGATTAGTAGTGGGTTCTTACTCCGAGTCATACCTCTCCGAGTCAGAGCTGGATCAAGAGTCGAGCCTGAGGTTCAAGGATAGAAGCGGACACCAACACTCACTCACTTCGCTAGCGCTACAGTACTCCGGAGCAAGGGTTCCTCACCGGGGTGTTGAAGACGGCATCCTCTGACCGCATCCGAGTCGATAGAGGCATCCTTTACGTCCACGCACGATTACTGGACGAGAGCTCTCACAGTGAGAATAGAGGTTATTTGCAGCGTGTTTGTACCAACTCAGGTGGGGCCGGCGCTCGTATTACGTGGAGCCATCGCGTGCGCCTCTTGCACTGTGCAGTGTGAGCAGGCTGAAATCTACAAGATCTAGGTATTGCTCCACCTGTAATATTGAACTACTCCAACGGGCGCACCCCCGCTGCAAATAACGTCTAATAGGCGGCCGGGTGCGCACGATGCACAATTCGCAATGGGGTGCTGGCCGCGCCATGCGGACGTACTGATAGCCGTTACTGAACATTCATTGACTACAATGTTGCCGCCATTGCGCCCCTGTTCGACCGTGAGTACTCACCCAGACTCGAAGTTTTTGAACGTACCTTCCAACCCATGTGGCGAGGGGCGTGGAGCATGTGGTCGGACATTCGGCTTCCTTGCTTCTCCAACACCTGGTGCATCTTAATGAGCGCGGTCCAACACGCTCATAGCGTACAGATGCACTTCTCCACGGCTATAATCGAAGCCTCGAACATGAAATTTGTACGATAGCGGCGGTTGTACATTCCGGCGGTACCGACGCCGAAGTTCGGGCGGTGTCTGTGTCGTTGTGCAGTCCGAATGGATGGTGCATGTGTGCGCTACAAAGTCGGGGGCCGAATTGTCAGTGCCGTTTTGCGATCGACCCCTTTGACTTACAGACAGGTACATGACACCGCTACATAGGGGCACTCATGGCGTTCACCTAGCGAGCGGAACGACAGCCCATTTGTAAATTCAGCCGCAACAAGCGGTCTAGCACCCATCACGGTTTCGAGTCTGTACCACAGCAACGCAGGACCAGTGCAGCGCCGTCGTTTGTGATGAAGCGCGGGACGCCGGGTGCGCCGGGCCTTCAGACACTTTTCTGCACCTGCCAGCATGAGTATCGCAACGGTAAGATTCGGTACCGAATTGTAGTTTGGAGGACTGCTTGCTCGGTGGATGAACGCAAGTTACAGGCGAAACCCTCTTAACGCATACTTTTCGGCAGGGTCTCAAGCCTCTGTTTCCGCGATGCAAAGAATGTACCCTCCTGTGGATTGCAGCTCGACACACATACCCTGTGGCATCCACAGGGCTTGGGGGCGGGGCCGAGGCATGGTTATGAGGGTTTCGCGTCACGGTATAGTTTGAAGTAGAGTCCGAGTCGGAGAAGGGTCGGACTAATAAGCGACCGGAATTGGTAAGGTTTGTTGCGTAACGGTTGCCGAAACAGAATCACTCGGCCTGTGCTACCTTCTGGGGTTCCGGGGTCCCTCGCTCAGCGGCCTTGGCTGCGCCGCCGCCAGCGTCGACATCTACTCACCGCCACGGCTCTCCTCTTCTCCACATCTTCGCATTCCCTGGCTTATCCTACGCGGGCTACCGAGCTGGCTCTGGGTCTCTACGCTCGCCCTAATGTCTTTCTTTCGACGACGCACCTTCCCTGAAGACATTGACACTGACGACGAACTGAACGATGCCGTCGACCCCGAGCTGCGCCTCCGCACCGTGCGGACGGCGGCGTCCACGCTCGCAGAATCAATACGGACGGAGCAGAGGGTCGAGCGCAGGAAGTCGATGAGGAAGAAGGGCTCGCGCTTCTTCCGGAGAGGGACTGAGAAACGGCGGACGGACACTGCGGAATCTGGCACTCCTGCAGCGGCGGCTCAGATTCCTGGCGCGCGGCGGAACATCTACGTCAACTACACCCTGCCTCTCGACGAGGTGGACCACAACGGAGACCCTATTGTGCGGTATGTTCGGAATAAAGTACGGACAAGCAGTGAGTACCCCGCAACCCCCGTCTGGAGCTTGGTTTGATCGCTTTGCAGAATATACGATTGTCACCTTCGTGCCAAGGAACCTCTACGAGCAGTTTCGTCGGTGAGTAGTGTTTTATATGTTTCGACCAGTGCCCTACCCGCAAGCTCTGTGTGTCCACGCAATATGCGCTATATGTGCTTCCCTGGCACAATAGGCACCACACGCAGTGGACACCCTCGTAACCCATACCTTCGGTCAAGTACACGCTTTAGTTTCCGTGGTGTGTGGGTTACATGCGGCACTGCTTGAGACAACTCCCTTCGTAGCATATTCTGCGCGATGGGGTCCCCGAGAAAGCGTGCTCTTGGATTTGGCTGGGTCTCAACGATATCCTTGGCGTTGAGGCTCCCCTAGCCTCGCAGACACACGCCTATGCCGCACGCGCAGAATCTGTTAGGGGACCGTATATGCCTGCGCCAGGTTGCTATAGTCGGCGGTGACAGAACGTGCTATATCTGTCCGTTATAACACGCTCATGACAACTGCGACGTCATTCACTCACATCTGTGATATGCTGGACAGCATAGAGCATGTTCCTCGCCTCACGCGCTACTTCGGGTAACTCCCTTCGTAACATATCCTGCGCGACGGGGTCCCCGGGAAAGCGAACTCTTGGGTGTTGGCTAAGAGAGTCCTGACGGTGCTCTTGGCATTGAGGATCTCTTAGTCTCGCAAACACAGGTCTACGCTGCACGCGCAGTATCTGCTAGCGAGTCCTTCATGGCTGCCTGTGCCGGGTTGCCATAGTCGGAAATGACAGAATGTGCTATATCCGTCTGTTCTGACACGCGCATGACAACTGCGACGTCATTCGCTCGCATCTGTGATGTCCTGGGTCATATAGAGTGGGTCGCCGGCCTCACACCCTTGGCGTATGTTGTGTGGGGCTGGCTTATGCGTGCCCAACGAGCTCACTACACATATCCTCGCGATTGGTCGGCATAGCGGAACCTCGGCGGTCCTGTCCTAAGACTCCTGTCCGGGGGTTTTGGCTTGGCTGTCAGGCTGCCTTGGTACTCACGCGTAAGCTGCGTGCGTTTGTCGCTACGGTGCTTTCTGTGTCTACGCGCATCTGTCTTCCGGCGTTTTCAGTCTCCATATAGCTTGTCTCATCATTGTGTACTAATACGATCAATCACAGCGTCGCCAACTTGTATTTCCTCGCATTGGTCATTGTCCAGGGTATGTTTCTTACCCGCGCCTTCGCCGCAGAGTGCTGACAGTTTGCGTAGTCTTCCCTATATTTGGCGCACCATCGCCGCAGACATCCGCGTTGCCGCTACTATTCATTCTCTGCGTGACGGCGATCAAGGACGCAATCGAGGACTACCGGCGAGCTGTCCTCGATGAGGAGGTCAACAACTCGGCGGTCACCAAACTCGGGAACTGGCGCAATGTCAACCAACCCGTGGACCCTCGCTCGTGGTACGAGAAGATGCTGGGCCTCAACCCGCCAGGGAAGCTCACACGCGGAGTGAAGAAGCTCCGCGAACGCGAGGCCGGCGAAGGAATGGAATTTGTCCTCAGCAAGAGCGGCGAGGAACGGACAAGCGTGAGCACGCTTCCCGTGAACGACAGCAGCTCAGAGATAGACATCTACGGCGCCGGACGGAAGTTGGACGATATCCAGAGTGTCGACTCACACAGCTATCCACCACAGGAGAATCAGTCCCCCGTACCGCCATGGGCGGGCTCTGGATCGCTTTCCGCGTACCAACAGTCAATACACGCGCGCTCATCAATAGGCGTTGTCGACTATACCAAGCGCGTATCTGGCCTCGCGCGATGGGAGCGGACACTATGGAAGAAGCTCGAGGTCGGTGATATCGTGCTTCTACGGGAGAACGAGCAGGTACCCGCGGACATTGTCGTGCTGTCGACCTCGGACCCCGACAACATGTGCTATCTTGAGACGAAGAACCTGGACGGCGAGACGAACCTGAAACCCCGGAAGGCTGTGAAAGCGACCGCTTCGATCGGGTCTGAGGAGGACATCGAGCGCATTTCGTTCATTCTGGATTCGGAGCCCCCACACGCCAACCTCTACCTGTATCATGGCGTCCTCCGGTACAAGGACGCGTCGTCGGGCGAGCAGAAGCAGGAGTCGGTGACCATCAACGAGCTCCTCCTTCGTGGCTGTACACTCCGTAACACGACATGGGTCATCGGCTTGGTCGCGTTCACGGGCGCGGACTCGAAGATCATGCTCAACGGTGGAGATACGCCCTCGAAGCGGTCCAAGATCGAGCGGGAGACGAACTTCAACGTCGTGGTCAACTTCGTCATCCTCATCCTGATGTGTGTCACCTCTGGCATTCTGAGCGGCTACCTAGATTCCAAGGCTTCCACGAGTGCGAAGGAGTATGAGCAGGGCGCCGACCCTACCAGCTCGTTCGTCCTGAATGGAGTGATCACATTCGTGTAGGTTTCTCGCATACAGCGCACAATGCCTGATATTGACATGCGATCCAGCTCCTGTCTCATCGCTTTCCAGAACATCGTCCCCATCTCGCTATACATCTCCATCGAAATCGTCAAGACCATCCAGGCGTTCTTCATCTCCCAAGACATCGACATGTACTACAAGGCGCTCGACGCTGCATGCACGCCGAAGACGTGGAATATTTCAGACGATCTGGGGCAGATCGAGTACATCTTCTCGGACAAGACGGGGACGCTCACGCAGAACGTCATGGAGTTCCAGAAGTGCTCTGTCAACGGCATTGCGTACGGCGAGGGTGTCACGGAGGCCCAGCGAGGTGCGGCGATGCGGGAGGGCGTGGCGGACGCGTTGAACCCCGAGGAGCAGGACATCCAGCTGCACTTGCTCAAGCAGCGCATGCTGGACCGGATGGCGCAGACGTTCAAGAACCGCTACGCGCAGCCGGACCACCTCACGCTCATCTCGCCCAGGCTCGCGGACGATCTCGCGGACCGCAGCTCTCCGCAGCGCCAGCACTTGATCGAGTTCTTCCGCGCCCTCGCGATCTGCCACAGCGTCCTGTCCGAGCGCCCAGATGCGAACCGGCAGCCCTACCACCTGGAATACAAGGCCGAGTCTCCGGATGAGGCGGCGCTGGTGGCTGCGGCCCGCGATGTTGGATTCCCCTTCGTCCACCGAGCCAAGGACTCGGTGAACATCGAGGTCATGGGCCAGCCGGAACGCTACATTCCCCTCCAGCTGCTCGAGTTCAACAGTACGCGGAAGAGGATGAGTGTCGTCGTACGTAACCCGTCCGGCCAGCTCGTGCTCTACTGCAAGGGCGCGGACAGCGTCATCTACGAGCGCCTTGCTGCGGACCACGACCCGGAGCTGAAGGCGGCGACGGCGCGGGACATGGAGGCGTTCGCGAACGGCGGGCTTCGCACGCTGTGCATCGCGTCTCGGTATCTCACCGAGCAGGAGTATATGGACTGGGTGCGCACGTACGAGGCGGCGACGAATGCAATCAGTGATCGGGACGAGGAGATCGACAAGGCGAATGACCTCATCGAGCACTCGCTGCGCATCCTGGGCGCGACCGCGCTGGAGGACAAGCTGCAGGAGGGCGTGCCCGAGGCGATTGAGACGCTGCACAAGGCGGGCATCAAGCTCTGGATTCTGACAGGTGTGTGCACCGTCGTTGTGGGCATGCCGCAATTGGAGCTAACGGGGCTGGCCAGGCGACAAGGTCCAGACGGCTATTGAGATTGGTACGTGCGGCGTGTATGCGTGCCATTCTCCGGGAACTGACCTGGGCGATGGCGGTTTGTAGGATTCAGCTGCAATTTGCTGAAGAGCGACATGGAGATCATGATTTTGTCTGCGGATTCGCACGAGGCGGCCCGGCTGCAGATCGAGGGCGGGCTGAACAAGATCGCCTCTGTGCTGGGCCCGCCGTCGATGGACAAGGCGCAGCGCGGGTTCGTTCCTGGTGCTCAGGCGGCCTTCGCTGTGGTCATTGATGGAGACACCCTGCGGCACGCGCTCAACCCCGACCTCAAGCAGCTGTTCCTGACGTTGTCCACGCAATGCGAGACTGTTGTCTGCTGTCGTGTCTCTCCCGCACAGAAGGCCATGGTTGTCAACCTGGTAAGTCATTATCTTATATCTGAGTCAACTCGTACTGAGCCTTAGTGCTATAGGTCAAGGAGGGGCGCAACGCCATGACGCTGTCAATTGGTGACGGCGCGAACGACGTGGCCATGATCCAGGAAGCAAACATTGGGTGTGGTCTCCTCGGACACGAGGGTTCGCAGGCGGCCATGTCGGCCGACTATGCATTCGGGCAGTTCCGGTTCCTCACGAAGCTGCTTCTCGTCCATGGTCGGTGGTCATACCAACGAGTGGCGGACATGCATGCGAACTTCTTCTACAAGGTACGATATCTGACATGATCCTTCATCGTCCTCGTATGCTGACAGAAAGGCTGCAGAACGTCATCTGGACCTTTGCCATGTTCTGGTTCATGATCTTCAACAGCTTCGACGCGACGTACTTGTACCAGTACACGTTCATTTTGCTGTACAACCTGGTGTTCACTTCATTGCCCGTCATCGCACTCGGAGGTAAGGATGGAGTCGTCATGTCGCGTTATGCATTATGCTGATATCCTTCAAGCCTTCGACCAGGACATCAACGCCAAGGCCGCTCTTGCATTCCCGCAGCTCTACGTGCGGGGCATCCGTGGCCTTGAGTACACGCGACTCAAGTTCTGGATGTACATGCTGGACGGTCTCTACCAATCTGCCGTCGTCTTCTTCATCCCGTACTTCATCTGGACGCTCGACATCGCGGTCTCGTGGAACGGCAAGACGATCGAGTCTCTCGCCGACTTCGGTACGACTGTCTCTGTATCCGCCATCATCGCTGCGAACACCTACGTTGGCATCAACACCCACTAGTGAGTACAGCCGTAATGTATGCACGACTTGGTACTGACGGGACGCTATCAGCTGGACTGTCATCACCTGGTGCATCGTCATCGGCTCTTCCGTCATCATGTTGGTTTGGATTGCGATTTACTCCGCCTTCGAGAGCATCGACTTCGTCGACGAAGTGGTCGTGCTCTTCGGTGAGGTGACCTTCTGGGCCTCCGTCCTGATTTCCGTCGTCATTGCCCTAGGTATGTAGTGTGTTTTTGGGTCCGGTGGATCATGCTCACAAGGTTTTCAGGTCCGCGGTTCCTCGTCAAGTTTATCACATCAACCTACATGCCGCTCGACAAGGACATCGTGCGCGAGATGTGGGTGTTGGGAGACCTCAAGGACCAACTCGGCATCCAGCACAGGCGCGAGCGCAAGAAGGGTAAGCTCGAACAAACGCCTATCTTCCACCAACCTCATTGTCGGTCAGAGTCGGAGATCAGCCACCATGAGGAAGATTACTCCACTCCGCCGATGCCGCGCACGCCCATCACCGATGGCTCCCCTCGTCCTACCGCTCCTCTCATGGCCGGCGAGTCTCCCCGGCCGGACAAACTAGAGGAGGGGACATACATCAGCAGAGGTCTAGACGAGAACGCGTACGTCAACAGAGGCTCGCCGACGCCCTCTTTGCGGGCGCAGTTGTCGACGAGCCCTGCGTCGCAGAGGATGTCCTACTACTCTGTGTCTGGGATCCCGGCGCCTTCGCCCCTACCGGAACCGAACCGATACCACTCGTATACCCGCGACTCCGCCCGCACGACCGCATACCACACGGAACCACCTATGTCCGCCGTATCCCAATCATCCGTCACCTATGGCCCCTCCTCGCCAACAACATCTGCACCCTCATCAGCAACACTGCAAGTCCCCGGAGCACGTTCACCGCGATCCACGACGCCGTCAACACCAGCCGAGCAGTACGAGATGCGGGTCCGCACACCAGAGCAGCATCAGCAGCAACAACAATGGGCGGGCTACCCTCAACAGTACCAAGAGCCCATGCACACACCGATGGAGACCGAGGACTCGTATGCGACAGCGTACGACGGGTACTCGGACCCCGGCTCGGAGGCGCCGACGCCAACGGCCGCGGTGGCGCCACAACACCAACAGGAGGAATCATGGCGAAGTAGTGCGTACTCGTACTCGGGGCCGCACGCGCTGTAGCAGGCCCGGGCTGCGCGCAACTCTGTGTGACATTATAAGCTGTGTTTGCTATCACTAGCGTCGAGGATATGTACGGTTTGTTTTCACCCGCCCCGCGAGGGCGGGCTTGGGCTGCGGCGGTCGGACACTTCGCTCGTTCGCTTTATTTATTTTGCTGCTTGTATCGCGCATCGCTTTCGGTCGTTTACCTACAGCTCCCTCGTCCCGGGCGGCGTCGTACTCGCGGCGTCGTCCCGGGACTGGAACACCATGCGCGTTACGTCTCGCTTCGCGCTCTTTCTGTCCTTTCCGCGGATGGTGGCTACCCTTACTTAGGATATTAGAAGTAGAACATCGTTAACTTGACTTATTGTTCATAATGATAACCCGATCATGACATCCCAGCACTCACGTTCGACTTGTGCGGAAGGCGGATGAGGCCTTGAGCTTGAGGCCTTCGTATAATGAGGTAAGGCTTCAACGTTTACGGAAATATGTACATCAGCGTCAAAGGGAAGGGTCCTGTTCTCATGCCCAACAAGACCGCGACCCTTGTTCACATGGACCCACATGCCCTTCACCGGCATGGGACGCCGTGTTGGACACGGGTCTCCTTATGACCTTCGCTTGGCGCCAGATCGCATGATAATTCTGCTTGTGTTTCCCGCTGATTTTCGCAACGCCGCTTGTCTGTGCTGCTACTGCTGTGCAGAGGTGGCCCGACGGAACTTGGCATATACAAGTGGAGGGGCTACATAGCTGCGCGGTATGTCTCCAACGCCAGCTCCGGACTATCCCACTGTAGCTGCAAAGCAAGATGGTATCAGGGAGGTGTGTTAGTAGCTACGAGTGGGGGCGTAAGGGACTCACGAAGTGGTTCGCGCCTTCCACCATCTTGAAATCGATGAAGCCTCCCCCGCGCGCCTTGTCGTCGTCCTGCATGGCCCAGTGCGCAGGCAGCGAAAACACGCACGTCGCGTCTCCCGTGAACGCGCATATCTTCATCCGCGGGAGCCGTGCACGGACGCCCGCGTCGAAGCATGCCCTCTTGTAACTCGCGTTGATCTGTGCGGCCGAGAACACCATGAAGAGCATGTCCGATGCAGACCCGGGAGGCATGTACACGATCTTGGCCTGCTCCTCCTCGGTCATACTGAAGATCGAGGGTACCCGCAAAGTCGTTGGGACGATGTAAGAGAGCACGTCTAGGGATCGCGTGGAGAGGTCGCCGTGCTTGAAGTAGGAGGTAATCCATTGGGTGAAGAATGGACCGCGGAGCTCTTCGGGGATAGTCTGGTCAATCTGGGGAGACCAGACCTTCGGCGGGAGGGGCGAGCCTATGGCCACTGTCAGTGGCTCTGTGGCGTGATTAGTCAAGTACATACAACGGGAAGACCAGCAACGATTGAGGCGTACCATGCAGGATCAGCGCCCGCATACCAGATGTCCAGCGATCCTGAGCGGCAGGCGGAAGAGATTCGACATTGGCGACGGCTGACAGAGCGATGGCATTGCCAAGGGACCAGCCTAGGAGCGCAAATCCCCCAGTGTGTCCGTCTGGGGAGATGGGTGGTACCCCGTTGCGCTCGACGAAGAGGTCGATGAATGTCGCCACCTCAACGCCTCGAGCCTTGAGGAATGCGGCCTTCTGCTCGTCACTGCCGGAGGCCAAGATGGCTGTGTCCTCTGTGGTGAGTGGCGTGGAGCCTGGATAGTCGCGGCGATTCACGGCGACGATGCGTATGTTGGAGCCCTGTGCGAGAGCCATGACCTTCTCAAAAATGGCTAGAGATTCATGCGTATCACGGCCGAAATGAGTGGCGAGTTTCATCACTCACGACTGGTGAATACCGTCCCGTGCACGGCAAAAATGGTCTTGTACCCATCCGTGGCTTGATGAGGGACTCCGCTGTCGATGTAGGACAGCTTGGTATCCTCGGCGTCTACAACGATGTGCTGCATAGCAGGATAGCGAGGGCGATGAATGCGAGCGATAGACGATGGTGGAGATTTAGCTAGTAGCTTGCCCCAACGGTTATACCTCACACGCTACATCCCACTCTGAACGAATTGAGCAGTGGTTCCTCCGCGATCGATCTCTGTAGATAGAAGCGTGCTTGGGCGGCGACTAGAAGAAGACATGTAGGGACTGTGGGCGCTGCCATCATAACCCCGTCGTGTGTGCAGCGCCCACCGCTTATAATTACAGCTGTGAAAGAGGCCAGTGCCACGGTTTCTACGCAGTGATATTCCGAGCTCACCGAGAACTTAGCGAGAGTCGGTAGAGGTAGCCTGAGAACAATAGTCTTTGGCTGTGGATTTAGTCCTGGTGGGTCTTTCAAGCTAAGCTCGTCTCACTCAAATTACACTCGCTCGCTCGTCCAAGTAGCCGTGTGGTAAGTTATAGGTATTATCTCATATTAAGCGCCCGTGGCGGGCGGGTTCCCTTACAGTATGCGAGAAGTCCGCCATACCCCCGCTGCGGTGCGGAAAGTAGCAAGAGGAAGAGGCATAACTCTCTCTTACTACTCCCCACGCCGCCGTCAGATTCGGGAGCATTGTGTGAGGGAAGAGACCCGTCGACCCCCTCCCCCTCTCCGACGGAGACGACAACCGAAGAGGCAGCAGAACAGGGGGGCGCCATCCCCTGATCTGTGCCAACCCTGGCAGCCGCCACCGCACAAACTCAGAACCGCCGCACAGAAACAAGAAGATCAGAGACGCAGAAGGGAGGCTGACACAGACACGGAGAACACGAGGCGGGAAGGGAAACCGAGTCCGGCGGGAAGTATGCAAGAAAGGGAAAAAAAACAAGAGCGAAGAGAGAGAGAGAGTAGGAACTAAAAGACGACGAGAGACCAGGCAGATCAAGAGAAGAGAAGCGGCGAGAGACCAGAAAAACAGGGCACAGACGAGAAGATAGAGCCCAGATAGAAAGAGAATACTTACTTGGCAATGCTAGGGAGGCTGACGTCGACGGGTCATCCAAGCCCTCGGCCAACCTCGCTAACGCCTAGTCCTAGGTCCTGGGTCTTGCCATGGGTCCTCGTCGTCTTCATCTTGCCGGGGAGAATGCCTGTGTGAGATGAAGAGTAGCGACGGACAATGCACATGATATCGAGAGACTGAACATGACGTCGGGCGTTGACAGGTCACCCAGATCCTGGGGTTCATGACTCCCCGATCACTCGTATATTCCCGCCGCAGCCGTCAGCCTCACCTTCCCCTGGGTCTCAGTCAAGAGTTATCCCAGTCGTCCAGTCGAGGCGTTGAGGAGTCGAGATCTTGAGGCGCGCGCGGTGTTGACGTTGAAGGAGAGACCTAGCACACAACGGCCCCCACCCACAGGCGACGGGGGGAAGAATCAGATCCTCACTGAGCGTGGCACCGCAACGTACCGTACACAAGCTCCGTGCGCAACTTCGCATCCCGGAACGAGATCAGCTGCACCCCGAGCGCCTTGAAGTCGCTCTCCTCCCGGCCCCGCCTGTCGTCGAGCACCACCCGGACGGGCGGCGCAGGCGCGGGCTCCTGGACTTGAACGCGCCTCGGAACAAGCGGCTGCGGCTGGAACGCGGGCCACTCGTACGCTTGCGGGAAGCTGATCGTCTGCTTGTCGACCTTGGACCCGAGCGACCTGCGCTGGGCAGAAACGGAGCTAGAAGAGGACTTGGAGAAGGTGAAGGAGAACATGGTGAACGCGGGGGGAAAATGTGGGGTGGGGGTGGGGGTAGGTGATGGTAGGTGGGGAAGGTAGGTAAGGAACAGTCAAGCCGTGGAGGCAGGTTCATATAGGGAGGAGCATTACAACCGAGACTGACTTCGTCGTCCGCGTCGGCTTGCCCATTTGAGGAGAGGACGCGTCGGTACTCACTGATATGACTCTTGCAGTGTCAGCCTCCTCGCGTGTCATTGGCTAGCGAGCGTTGAGTAGCCTTGATGTAGCTTGAGGTACCCTCGTATTAGCTGCATGAGCAAGGCTCCGTCACAGCAACATTCCTCGACTTTAGGAACACGGTGTCTCCTTTTCTGTATAAGACGCGGTATGCAGAGGTCACGCCAATGTTCTGTGACGCGAGAATCAGTTTAAAAAACAAGCACTTGTTGAGAGTCTACTTACACGCGAGGACTGCAAATGACATGTCGATACACTCCCCGGGGGGGACTTGAGATTACTCACCTTGACCGCCTTGAGGGATGAGCTTCTGGATTGGAACGACCACAGGCATACCCCAAGAGCATTTACATAGTCAGCCTGCTCATTCTACGCTCTGAATAGACACTCGGAGAGTCTATACGCTCAACTCGAAGTTGCATCGAGAGGGCATACACGCAGCGGATGAGAGCGGATAAAAGCAGGATAGGCGCCGAAATAAATAGGCCACTTACGGTTTTTCCCGAGCCTATGACAAGCCGAGTCGAATTCAACGCACGATCCATCGCGTTCATCCTCGGACTCGCACACTGACACAGGAACAATTGCAATTGGTCCCTGGGACGCATATACTCCGACCTTAATGCATTGAAGGCGAACTATGGCTCGAAATTCAAACACCGCCTGACACTTCTACAGGTCTGAACTGGATCAGCAAGTTCAAGCGTTGTTGCTCACAAAGTTTTCCCTTCCTTCTTGTTACAAACTTGGCATGCAGGAAAAACGGTAAGAAACACACCATTTTGATACGGCTTTCATCCATTCATACCGAGGTCAGGACAGGGCAGGACATGCTCGAGGCATAACTTTAGAGCGGGACTCCTGCAAGCCATCTGTTGGCTAACTCGAGAGACTCGACAGGTTTATCGTATGGCGCCTGGAACGGTCAAGTATTGAGCACGGACGGGCACATTGCATGGTGCAAGGATCATCAAGTACGCACCATATGTCCCGCGCCTGCGATCGTGGCATACGTCAATCCGCCGCCGCTCCGCACGACGCCGGCTGGTTTTCCGTCGACTATCCACTCCTTCAACGTGTCCGCGCGGAATTCTTCCTGCCCAGTCCATTCTAGCGCGAGCGTCATCCGCTCGTTGCCGATCTGACCCCGTATGTCAATCCATCTGTTACTCAAGTACCTCTCTGAATACTCACCCAATTGCAGATGTAATCTGTAGCGCCGACGTATATGAGCGCACGGATACCACGCTCCAAGAGCGCACCGATATAGAATTGCGCAGGGAACCCGTAATGGTCGAGGTTCGCCCTGAACGCCGCGTTGACATCCGGAGTGCTGTGGCTGAAGTTCCCCTTCCTGGATGAGTCCACGCCGAGGAGATCTTGCGTGCGCTTGTTGTTGAGGAACTCGCCGATCTGTCTGCGGAGCCGGATTGCGGTCAAGGTGTGTACGAATCGGCCATCTGTCGCTGGCGACATACCTTATGATGGGGTAGCATTCGGTAATGTCCGAAGCCCCTTTGCTATGGTGGCGTCAGCCGGTTAAAATCGCCACAGAGTGGAGAGAGGTCACCGACTAACCAGGGTCGCGCGCGGTCATAATGATTCAGATCTGGTAACGTGGTTAGGTATAACAAGAGGACAACACCACGATGCTTGACTCACCCTTGAACAGGTCTGACATAGCCGTGCTGCAGAACGACGCCGCGGCCGTGCAGTCGATACTGTCCACCTTGTCGACGCAAGAATCCTTAAACCGCTGCTCACAGCGCGGCACCTGCAGAGATACACAGTAGGTCTAACCGACTGAAGAAAGGAGAAGTGACTGACAAGTTGTTTCATCTTCACGCAGTCCCTGGGGAAAGAAATTAGACCTGCGCGCTGAAAGATTCTATGCCAGAACGCACGAGATGCCTTGCACTGCTGGGAAGGTGGGGTCCGCGCACTGCGCATCGTAGTACGACGGGAACATCGTCGCAAAGTCGGTACACCCATTACCTAGCCATCACCATTCAGCGTGAGAACGCTATAGTCTAGGTAAGCCCCACACACCTATCATGACCGAAGTCAGGTTGATTGGGGTGACGCCTGCCTCGACGAGTTGCGCATTTTTGTCATAGATCGCGGCCGCGAAAACAGGGATGTACCGGCCCTATGCCGCAACATAAGCCTGATTGCATGCGTTGTACCAGTGGAAAGGACCCACCCCGTAGGACTCGCCCGCAAGGTGGAGTCCGCGGCCTTTAAAGCTGCTGAAGTGCTCGAAGAAGATGGCCATGAAAGCTGCGATGTCATCGGCCGCTTCCATCGTCGTTCCCTGTTTCTCGCAGTGTCAAAATCGTCTCGCGCACCACTGAAGCGACAGGCGACTCACGACGGACTCGCCGTAGTCGGCATAGGAAAAACCGACGCCGACGGGCTGGTCGACGAAGAACACGTTCGCGTGCTCGTTCCACGAGTACGGGTTCGTTTCCGTTGTGTTCGCGCTTGTCGGACGGCATGGACCTGGCCCGCATCTCATAAGGTTTGACTTCACGCTATGCTTGTGCGGGAGGGGCTCACCTAGTTCCATGAAGAGCCCCATCGACGACGAAGCGCCGGGACCGCCGTTCGTCCAGAAGACGACATCATCCGCGTCGGGGTCGCGCCGGCTCTCGAAGAAGTAGAAGAACAGGTGGCGCGTCTCGACGTCGATGTACCCGCTGTACGCGCTGAAGACAAACTGGTTCAGCGTCTTGTGATAGGGCCTGCGACGCAGCACTTACCGCGCGGTCTCGTTACAGAAGTGCGACTGTTTGATGCGCGCACTGTGACGAGGAAAGGCGGGGTGCGCGAGCCGCGTGAACTCGGTCGTCGAGAGCAGAGACAGGTCGCCTAGAGGGGTGAATAGCCCAGCGTCATACTCAGTGTAGGCGTTCTGGGTGATGATAGCCTGTGAGGCGGGTTCGCCCCCCGCCGAGGCACAAGCGAAGGCCAGTCCGGAGACCACATATGTCAGAATGGTGCTCGCTAACATCCTGGCGACGATCCTTCGGTCAGGCGGAAATGAGGGTGTCTCGACGAAGCGGCACGCCCAGGTCGATGAGCGCCCCGTGTAGATAAAGCCGATAAATGAGTTCGACGCCCACACCCACGACCACAAGTCGCGAACTTCGAAGCCGCGTGGTGTGGGACACCGGAGGCAAAGGGGAGCCGCCGTTTCGCACGTCTATTTGCGGCTCATTCGCACCCACAGAGCTCATGGTGACCTCTAACGTAGCTTGTCAGGGATGTTACACGCCTAAAAGTGACGTATAGCGATGAACTACTTGAACCACGACAGTTGCCAATACAGGAACTCTCACTCAACGTCGCCCCGAGGCGCCGGTAGGCCCTCTCGATGGTGGCATGTGCGCCATGTTCCACTTATAGGTGAACCATAAACCTCGTGTCTATGAAACTGGCGCTCCTAGGTCAGCCCAGAATCCCTGAAGGTTCAGAACCACTGGTAAAGTTCCCCGAAACGCTGCATTCATAGCGCTTGCAGTTGGGTACCGGATACGAGATCGGAGCGCTCCATCCGCAGTAGAGTTAGTTCCAGCGACTATTCTTTCTGCTCACCATCCACCCATCTAAATCTACCACTTCCAGAACGGACCTTCGTTGTCCATCTGACCTGCGATGGCGTACAGCCATCTCGCAGACCCAGACCCCGAGCTCGCACCCCTTCTGGCAGCATGGCCGCCCGCGCCGGACGCCTTCCTCGCGGATATCCCGAAGGCCAGGCAATACTTCAATACGGGCTATCTGGCTCATACCCGCCGGTCCCTAAAGAAGAGTCTTCCTCCAGGTTCGTTTTGCCGATGAAACTCGATGTAACCTGTAATAAACTCGTCTCTGCAGATGGCGCGCTCTGCGTTGAAGATAGACAGATAGACGTCGATGGCGGCGAGATCTCTATCAGGTGCTACCGCCCCGTCGAGGATGGCGATCCTGACAAGACCTTTCCGCTGTTCGTATGGTTACACGGAGGAGGTGCGCGTTCAGAATCCCGTTTAGTCTTTAACGAAGCTGATTTGGACGCAAACCACAGGTTATACATTCCACAGCATCGAGACAGACGACTATGCACTGCGTATCCTCTGTGCGAGTCTTCAGCTCACAATCGTCAATGTCGGGTACCGCCTTGCCCCAGAGCACCCATGGCCTATCCCGCTTAACGATTGCTATGTTGCTGTAAAATGGGTAAGCCGAAGCCAGCGTTCGACCAGCGACTCATCCGCGACTAATGATGAGGGTCGATCATACCTCAGGCCGCGTCCAACCTGGTCGCTGTGCATGGGGATGTGGGTCAGGGCTTCATCGTTGGAGGTTCGTCCGCAGGCGCGCACATGGCGGGAGCTGTCGCGCATCGCGTCAGAGCGGATCCGTTCTTCGTCGACCATCCTAAACCGACTGGGCAATTCCTCCAAATCCCGCCAATTGTACATGGGGACGCGGTGCCGGAGGAGTATATACCCTCTTGCTGCCGAGTCATCAGTACATGGACTAATGGAACGATGCCGCAGGTACAAGGCGAACTTCACGTCCTTAGTGCAGAACAAGGAGGCGCCGATGCTCACGACGAAGCAGCTCTACGAGTTCTATCGTAAGTTCCGCTTTGTCATTGACTTTTGTTTGTCTCAACATACGTGTAGGACTGGCCCAGGCGCCCCCACTCGACCCGGAGTTCTCCCCCCTCCTTCAGCCGCTCGAGTCGTTCAAGGACCTACCCCCAGCGTACATACAGGTGTGCGGCCTGGATCCGGCGCGTGATATGGGCATGCTGTACGCGGAAAAGCTCAAAGCTGCTAGGGTCCCCACAAAACTCGACACGTGAGTACGGTGATTGGAACTCGGACGACTGGGATGACTGAACGAGCAACGGCGTCGGTGTAGGTACACGGGTGCGCCACATAACTTCCACAGTGTCTTCCCGGAGACGAGGCTTGCGAAGAAGTTCAATAGCGATGTTGGCAAGGGGATTGAATGGCTTCTGTCTCGACCGAGAGCGCCAACATGAGACGAAACGACTCCAACGCAAGGCTAGTAGGCACCACGCTTGTTGAATATGAAGGTATTAGTGACCCTGGCTGCATCCAGCCAGTGCTTCCTTATACGAAGAAAAATACATACGTTACCGGGCTTACATAGAATATACGTGGTGGTGGCAAAGTGCGACATGAGGAATACTGAGTGGGGGATCGAGTGATCGGGCGCGTCGACAGGATGACGGCAATGGGCGGGCGGGTTTCGGGAACGGCTTTGTCAGCGGCGTCTAAGACCCGAGTCGGAGTGATAGCATTTAGCAGAGAGCAACATACCTTCCTTGATCTAACACCATGTCCGTGGGCTATATATTCCTCACTAGTACGCGTTGCCTCTGCATCACCAGTTCTATCTGCGGTTGAATGTCCCAACGGAGTCCACCTGCTTCACCCGATCCTCAACTTGAGGCTTCTCCTGCTGGACTTCCACTGGACTCTTCAACAACTTTGGACAAACGGCCCTCTCGGTATGCGTCCACAAGATTGCGCCCGCGGTCACCACATACGGGCATCCACGAAAGCGCAAATGAAAGGTTGAGCCTAGCACCAAAGAGAGCTGAGCTAGCTCCTGATCAGCCGCTGACCGCGAGCGGCAAGCCTCGCGAGCGGGTCTATCTTGCCTGTAAGCAATGGTGAGCCCTCTTCGATCGCGCTGCCGCGTTGCACCATAATGACCGGATATTCTTGCCCTACTAGTCGAACACGCAAGATAGGTTGCGATGGTGCAAAGCCAGCATGCAACAACTGCAGCCGTCGTACACGAGCGAACGTGAAGCCTTGCACTTATGATGAAACACCTCGACGACGCGGCAAGGACCGCAATCCTGGCTCTCGCAAACTGGCACCGCCCATTGAGAAGAAATCGCGTACCACACGATCGCGACTGGAACAAGAGGCTAAACAGAAGAGGGCTATGAAGAGGGCGGCATCTTCATCACTTCCTGGAGCATCCTCCAGTCACAGTACACCTCCAGGGGCGGTCATAGACGCACCACGCACAGATGATCCACCTTCTGGTCACAGTTACCAGCCAGGTCCAGTCGATGAAATACATGGCGACTCGCTTGCATCATCTTTGCTGCAACTTGGGGTCCTCGGATTCAGTCGTTCGCAGATTCCGAATGATGAAAGGTCGCGATTACTGCCTATTCCTCTCATGCAGGCCACACCTAGCATCCAGTTCGTCCGGGAGACATGGTGGGATTCACTTCTCAGCCTTTACGCTTCTTCCCCGGATGTATCGACTATTCGACGCCCGATGTCGGCTGACATCCGCCACAGCCTCTCGGAACGCATCAAGCTTGACGTCCGTCTGCTCCTGCGCATATCCCTACTATGGCTCAGCTTCATCGATGTAACGCGGTTCATGTCAAGGTTGTTCAATCCCGTCACAAGGCAGACTATACAACCGAGTTTCGTCCTCGCCATGCTTGCGCAGTCAACCCTCCTTCAAAGTTCCGAACTCGAACTAGGCACGAGGGGTATGGACCGGGCATTGCTTCTCGCAGACCAGGCTTACTCGGCCTTCCACGCGAGCCTTAACTCTGGCTGGATCGATGTCGGGCTTGCGCACGCTGCATACGTGAGTCTCGGCCGCCTTTTACCTGATATACCTGTGCTAACATGTTCTTTTCAGATTCTCGTCGCTTTCGAGCTACAGGCGCACCCCCAGGCTACGCGCCCCCAGCGGACACAGCAGGCTATGTACATGCTTGACTCGATCATCCGCTACCTTGGACTCACGACGCTCGACGTCACCGACCCACGCGCGACGATCTTCCTCCCGAACGTTGTCCCTCGCGTGCCCTCAGACCCGCTCCTCATCGCAGCCCCGCCAACCGCCTCCGCACCCAAGAAGATCGCGATGGCGATTATGCCGTTCGCCGATGAAGACGACAACGTTCCCTGCCCCATGCCGGTCCCCGAGCAGATGGTGGCTTCGAATGGATACCCGGCGTGCGGGCGTTGTGGGTGTCCTTCGTACTCGCTTGGGAACCATTGCCCGAGTGTGCGCATGCTCGCGCCGCAGTTCGCGCATATGCCCATGTGGCCGGCAGGTGAAGGCGCACTGGGTGAGGGCGAGCTACGGAAAGAGGAGAACCGGCGGCTCGTGTGGGCGAGCGTCGTGCTGGTGACGACGCTCGGCTCAGCGAAGGTGACGGCGATGGCGGGCTCGGGGTGGGATCTGCAGCCGCTGTGGATCCAGGATTCATCCAATGTACGTCTTTCTTTCATTTCTGCGATGCCCCGTGCGGGGGAACAGAACACTGACGAATCCCCTTTTTAGTACGCGCTACTATTCCCTGGGGAGTGCTTGGCTGACCTGGGTGTGGCGGGTGTCGCATCGTCGAAAGACTCCGTGTGGGCACTGTACATGCGTGCGGTGCTCCTATGGAACAGCTGTCTGCGCGCGCAGCGCAATGCGACCGCGGGGGTAACCATGCCGGAGGAAGAGCCTGGGCGGTTCGCGATGGACGCGTGGGCGGAGATGAACACGATCGAGATTGCGCTTGACCGCCATTCGTGCATGACCGCTACGGGCTTCTCTACCAAGACGCAGGAGGTGCTATTTAAGTGCGTATCTCTCTATGCGTACCGGATGGGGTAAGTATGCTGATGGTGTGAGATAGCGCACGTCTGTGCATCTCTGGCGAGTTACAGCGTTACGTGCCCTTGTCGATTGGGTAAGATTCTCTAATCACGAGACGGCTTGCCATTCGTGTTAACGGTGCGGCCTGCAGGACACACGGCTGGCTTTACTTTCGCGAGAAGGCGGAGAAATGGAGTACGCTCATCGAGGTCTTCCGACCTACTAAGGATTCATTACTGACACGTCAATGCGCCAGTGATCAACCAGTTACACGTCGCGGTGTACTTCACACAGTGCCTGCGCAACCCTCGCGCGACGATCACGAACCATGCGCGGCGCAACTTTCTCGTCGCCTGGATTCTTGCCCAGATCGTGCAGTACGTCAGATCCCCCTTCGCATGTCCGTCCGGATCTGATTCTTGGACAATTGCAGGGCGCTCCGGCTGTGGGAGGCGGACCACACGATGAGTGTCGCGCTCGACGTCGCGCGGACGTTCGCGCCATGCGCGGAGTACTATTTGCGCCTATGGCCGGCCGCGGGTAAATCCGTCCTAAGCCCCAAGAGATGTTCTAATGCTGATTTTTATTCCTGAAGGCCAGCTGAGCGAATACGAGAGGATATACGCGCCGCTGGTGGCGGGGTGCACAGAGGCAGGGGTCGAGGCGCCTGCGCGCATCATCCCGCTGGCGAACTTGGCACGAGGGGCAGTGCTATAATCAGACTGGAAGCCTAGGAGATTGGGTATTCCGTTTGATGTATCCCTCGCTCCCTTTGACTACTTCGTGCACCCGTCCCTGGTGTTATCTGACCACTCATGATGGAAACAATCGTATTTCGCACCGGGATGCAGGGGTTTGTGTTGCACGAGCTCGTGCTTTGACGGAGTCACGGTGACACCCATGCAGTCAATACGAGGACATTACAGGGCTACCAACGCTTGCTAGCCAATGACACACGAGGAGGCTGACACTGCAAGAGTCATGCGAGTGAGTACCGACCCGCCTTTTCCTCAAACGGGCAAGCCGACGCGGACGTCGAGGTCAGTCTCGAATGCAACGCTCCTCCCTATAACAACCTTCCTCCCCGCCGCTCTCGCTCCTCACCTACCTTTCCCACCTACCATCACCCACCCCCACCCCCACATTCTTCCCCCGCGTTCACCATGTTCTCCTTCACCTTCTCCAAGTCTTCTTCTTCTTCTAGCTCCGCCCCCGCCCAGCGCAGGTCGCTCGGGTCCAAGGTCGACAAGCAGACGATCAGCTTCCCGCAAGCGTACGAGTGGCCCGCGTTCCAGCCGCAGCCGCTTGTTCCGAGGCGCGTTCAAGTCCAGGAGCCCGCGCCGGCGCCGCCCGTCCGGGTGGTGCTCGACGACAGGCGGGGCCGGGAGGAGAGCGACTTCAAGGCGCTCGGGGTGCAGCTGATCTCGTTCCGGGATGCGAAGTTGCGCACGGAGCTTGTTTACGGTACGCTCCGCTGCCATGCTCAGTGAGGATCTGATTCTTCCCCCCCGTCGCCTGGGGGCGGGGGCTGTTATGTGCTAGGTCCCTTCTTCGACGTCAACCCAGCGCGCGCCTCAAGACCTCCGACCGGATGACTGGGATGGCTCTCTTGAGTGAGGGCCAGGGGAAGGTGAGGCTGACAGCTGCGACGGGAATATACGAGTGATCGGGGAGTCATGACCCCCAGGATCTCGGTGACCTGCCAATGCCCGACGCCATATTCAGTCTCTCGATATCCTATGCACTTTTCGTTGCTGCTTTTTATTTCACACAGGCATCTTCCCGGCAAGATGACGACGACGAGGACCCCCAGGACCCAGGATCAGGCGTTAGCGAGGTTGGCCGAGGGCTTGGATGACCCGTCGACGTCAGCCTCCCTAGCACTGCCACGTAAGTATTCTCCCCTTTTCTGGGTTCTATCTTCTCGTCTGTGCTCCGTTTTTCTGGTCCCTCGTCGCGTCCCGTCTCTTGCTCTCCCCGGTCTCCGATCGTCGTCTCTGTTCACCGGCTCTCTGTTTGCTCTCGTTGTCTCCGTTCTCGGTCGTCCCTGTTCTCGTTGCTCGCGTTTGCGTTGATTCGGTCCCCCTTCCGGTCCCGTGTTCTTAGTGTCTCCTTCTGTGCTTTTTCTGTGCGGCGGTCTGAGGTGGTGCGGCGGCGGCGACCAGGGTCGCACGGTTCAGGGGATGGCGCCCCCCTGTTCCGCTGCCTCATTGGTCGTCGTCTCTGTTGGAGTGGGGATGGGGGATGTGTGTGTAGGCGGTGTACACGGCGAGAGGAGGGAAATTTGGGGGTTCAGGCCTGCCCTTCTACTTCTCTCCTCGTCGTGTATGTCGTTGACTTGCGGCGGGCCGCCGCCGCGCGACAAGAATCAAGAGGGGGTCAGGCCTCTTCCTCTTGGTCCTCGTCGTTTCGCGACAAATCTTATTTATCTTTCTTTGTGTCTTCTGTCCATGTGTGGCTGGTGTGGTATGACATTGCGCACGTTACACATGGGGGATTGTTCGGTTTTTGTAAGGGGACCCGCCGGCCACGGGCGCCTATTCCCGAAATTGTCTTAAGAGCAAAACGGCTAGGAAGCCCCAGCCAGTACAGAGTTGTTGTCGTACACTGTGAAATATCGACAAGGATACATTGAAATATCGTCCATAATGAATTCGAATGTTAAAATTCCCCAGGGAATCATGGATTCGCCCGCGGCTCGTACGCAGGCAGAGGCTCCGGGTCCCGCCCGTCCTCAGACCCGCCCCATTCCCCACCCCCTGCGCGCGGATTCCTCCCCGACATCGTCGCGAGGAGGCGCTGCGCCAGCCCTACTGGGAGCCGGAGCAGCACCGTATTCGAGTCTTCCGCTGACGGCGCTAGGTTCGGGAGTGTTCCTGCGTCGCGTGGACGGCCCCGGGTACGTCCCAGGGGCGCCGCACTAGTGCCCTTCTCCGGATCGCTCGAGGCGGCATTGGGACGCACGTTATCACCGTCTTCCGCTGGGGGATTGTGGATGTGCAGCCCGCGGACAGGCTCAGGCTCGAGTGCGCGACCCATGTCGCTACCATCTTCAGCGACTGCGCTGCTCTGTCCCGACCTCCCCGAGATCGCGGTAGAGGGTACTGAGACTAGCGAGGGTGACCCTCGCTGCATCAGCATCGACGCGCCGTCCTCTCCTTGAGGCCATCCACTACGCGGCTGCGTAGTCTCGCTAAGCCCTAGCCCTGCGCTCCTGTACTCCCTGACGCCATCACCGTCGATCGATTCTCGAGCTCTCGTGTGCGCGAAGCGGCGCGCACGAGATCTCCTGCGCAACCAGAGGAAGAACAGGACTGCCGCAACCACGGCGCATAGGCCGAGGATAATAATGATAGCGAGGAGGGCGGCCTTCGAGATCCCTGAAGGAGACTGGCCTGAGGCGGCTATGGGGGTCTGCGAAACTCCTACGCTTAGTGACGCGCTCGACGAGGCGGGCGTGCTATCGGTGGACGTTGCATCGGGGGCCGCGGTCACAGAAGGAGCGGCTGAAGATGTAGTCGAATGAGTAGTTGAACTTGCGGTTGAGCTCGGACGGGAGGAGACAGGGTCGGTTGCGGTGGGTGAGGAGGAGTTCGGCACGGTTCCGGTTGTAGTTGAAAAGGTGTGCGTTCCGCTGGCAGTGGATGCGGAGCTAGCGGGCAAGGCTTGGGTGACGGAGAGAGAGACTGTCAAGCCCTGTTCGCTCCGCGTGAGTGATCGGAGCAGAGATGGAATGACTGGTCTTGAGTGACTCACGACAGCAGCACAGGTGCTTGTGAGGGTGTCCTCTGCCTGTTGTAGGTCGGCGCCAGTGCAAGAGACTGCGAGGCAGCTGCTGAGAGTGGCGAGGTAGGTTTGTGATTGGCAAAGGCAGCTGTTGTCGGTTGCGCTACAGCTGCCGAGGTCCGCAGAAGCGATGCAGGATTGAGCACAGTCTGTAATGATATGAGGTTTGTGTGGATGATTAGGTTGATTAGGTTTAGACAATACAGTTTGTTAGCGAGCACGTACCAGGCCAGGCGGTTGTGGCGCCCCAGGACAGGAGGGGATACGAGAGAAGGAGTGTGAGGGCGGCTATGCAGGGCCGGGACATGGTGGTCGAGTGAGAGAGGCCGCAAACCTCGGGCGCGAATGCATGTAGCACATATCGAGGGATGACACCTCATGGGGCCCACTCGGTGTGCATCACTTGGAGATGCCCACGATGTCCGCCCCATCCGGTTGCCGAGCCTCGAGAAGTCGCGGTCCCTTGTACTACTGCAAGTCACCATCAAGTTCACCGCTATCATCTCCGACGAGCATGGCCCTGGCTACAACATCATCATGTCGAAAGCCTGGAGCTGCATCTGATGATAAATTCGGACCCGTGCCAGGTGAGATTAGAAGAACATGGCGCACCAGGAGGACGCTCGAGAGTACCTTAAGCCTGTTTAAGAGAGGTGACGTCCTGATTGATCACCGAGATCGTCCGAAACTGACCGCAGCTTGGACTATCCCATGCAGCTTGATCACTAGGACTCTCTTCCCTAGCGACCAAATGCGATGGATATCAGCGCCTGGGACCGTATGGTCTCCTGTGGATGGCCCGTGCGAAAACTGCCAAACGGTCGGACTTGGCACCAGTGTCGCGTGGCTATGATTCTCGTCTGCGGAGGGTCCGTCGGAGGTGAGTGCAAGGCTCAGCACTGCCCCAGCGTACTCAACAAAGCGCCGCCACGTTCCATGCACCGAGTCGGCCGTTTCCGTGAGCCAACATGCATAGACGCCCATCTTCGTTTGTACTTTGTGCAACTTGCCACTACTAACGACTGCACGACCATGGATGTCAGACGATACACGACTTCTTAGGGAAAACCGAAAGCCAGCAAAATTGTATCATGGTCAGTTTCATGATGCACCGGTGAAGTACTTCCCAAACGGTGTCGACACCTAGTAAGCTGGCAGCTCTGCCCCCGCAGTGGCCCGCTGCGGCGCCACGACCGCTACCGGTCCTGGCAGCCGCTTGGACCGCCCACGTTTAAGCCATGGACGTGAGTACATGATGTTCCAGTGGCTAACCGTGTGCTTTGTCCCCCAAGTACCTAATTTAGGGATCAAAGCGACCTCCGGCACATGCTGCAGCCCATTGTGCGCGAATATAAAGGTCATGGCACCTTCCGAACCACACCGCCAGCAATTTAGAAGCATACCACGAGCATCCCCGACATCGACACCAAGCCGCAAGACTAGCCAGCAATAACCGACGCCATGGCCCACCACGACAAGCTCACTTCGCTGACGAATTATCTCTCGCAGGCGTACCTCCCACCACTCATCATAGACGAAGAGCTCCCGCAGAATGAAGGCTCTGCTAATCCGTGGCCAAGAATCCACGAACTCGACATTATCGAGAACAACGTGCGCCTTTGCCAGGTGGTCACGAAGATCCCTCTAGAGGTGCTCCAACACGCCGTCCGCTCTTGTAAGCAATCTCCCCATGCCGCTCCCCAAATGCACCGCACTCGAGCGGGTCTAACCACCACCCACAGACTACGCGGGCTTCGACAACCGCCTGCGCGTCGACTGGGCGAACACGCGCCTCACGCTGCCCTGCCCGGGCATCACCGTCATGTCCCGCCGCGACATGTCGCACCTCTTCATCCAGAATTCGCACGACTTCCTCGAGGCGCTCGACCGCTTCATACTCGGCACGACAGCGGAGGCACTGCGCACGATCGAGGGCTGCCCGTTCGACGAGGACACGCTGAAGTTCGTGCGCATCCCCGTGCATGGCGCGGTGCATGGCGCGGTGGATAAGAAGCGCCTGCTGTGGTGGGTCCACACGTTTGGGCCGCAGGACCGGGTGAGTCGGTTGCGCTTGGGCCGGGTTCGAGTTGGGGAGAGAGGCTGACTGGGGCGTGTGTGTAGCCGACGAGCATCTTGCGTCCGGGCATTGCGGTGCTTTCGTTTACGCCGTGGGAGCTCGGGGTCAACGATTTGAAGGAGTTTTCGGCCCGTGCACAGGTGAGCTACTCCAATCTGACCTCACCCACATTCGATGTGCTTACATATGACACTCTAGTTCGCACCGAATGAGTTCCAGAGGGACAACGTTGTGGGCAAGCCTTGGTCGAACGCTCTGAAGGCTTGGGCGATGGTGCGTCTCCGCCTCTTGCCCTCTTTCTACGGTGTTGCTCACTCGAGGTGCAGGCTTACGACTCTTGCCGGGTGAGTGGTTACCGTTGGTTCGTAATCACCACGTATGATCAGTGGGTGTTCGGCACCTGGAGTCTAGGTGCGTGCCAGGGTAATTTGGCTTGGATAAGCTTACTTACGCGATTTATCAGACTGGACAGGAGCGGAGGTAACGGACCCGGTACCATTCGACAAGACACATGGCATGAGCGTCATCGAGATGCTCACGTTTTGGATGGAGTGCGGTCGGCAAAAGACGATGCTTTGGCAGATCTCTGCGGTACGCACTTGGATGCAGTCTCGGCCACGATGAGATAGCTGACATTACCAATCTTGCAGGATATGCCCCGCAGATATTGAAGACTCACCAATGAGCCTAATGAGCGGCGCGAACGACCTCCTGATTGATACTTATGACTTGACGCTACCCGTATGTTGCAACGGAAACAATATGTCCCTATGATATCTATGCTATGTTACACATCCACGAACACGTCGTCTGCCTATCCTACACATCCATCTGCTACTGCGCGACGCCTTACGCCACCAACGCATGGTCCCACACGAACCGCGCACACTCCTTCACCATCGCAGCCGAGAACTCGTGCCCCACGCCCGGCTCGACGATCACCTCCTTCACGCCCTGCGGCCCGACGTCCAGGCCCTCGACGAACGCCTGCGCGCTCGTCCACGGCACCTTCTTGTCGTCCTGCCCGGACAGCACGAGGATCTTCTTGCCGTGGAACGGGTTCGACGCGTCGGGCGCGGTGTAGGGCGCGGTGCACGGGTCTGCGCGCGCGATGAGCGCGAGGAGGGAGGCGGGGAAGTAGGGCGGGCCGACGGGGAGCTTGTGGGAGCGCGCGCGGCGGGACATGAGCGCGAGGTAGTCTGGGCATGCTGAGAGGGTGCATGTCAGCTGCAGCGTTGCCGAAGTCGAACGAATCGTGCTCACCGATGATTGGGACGGCGATCTTGATGCGCGGCTCTGTGAGGACGTCAGTTCAAATTCATGCATGCATCCTCAAATGTCAGCATACCGTTGCGGAGCACGATCCAGGTAGCGTGCCCGCCGAGACTCTTCCCGATGCACAGGAACTGTGAGATCGTCCGCTCCTCATTGGGGAAGAGATACGAGGGCAGGAAGTCGATCAAGTATGACACGTCTTGTGCCGTCCCCGCTGCACATCGTCAGCCAGACATTTTTGGACCATCCGGAGGTGCGCGGATGCTCACTTTGAATCGCGTACATATCAATGCTGTAGGTATTGAGTTAAGATATAGACTTGTCGCACATACATGCAAAGATGTACTTACGCATGGCGGTCGTTGTTCTGCGTCGGATCGTCAAACCAACCTTGGTTCGCCTGCTTCTCGACCAGCCTCTTTCCGTGGTTACGATGATCCTACGCCCCGCTCGTCAGCCCGCCATCCACACCGCCCATCGCCGCTCATCCGCTCACCAAAGTCACGATGTATAAATCCTGCGCGTCCCCGCTGTGCTTCGCGCGGCGCGCGTGGATGCCGTCGAAGATGCCGAGCATGAACTCCTCCATGCGCAGCGCGCTCCCGTTCCGCCCGTGCAGAAGGAACGCGATCGCGACGGGCGCGTTGGGCTTCGTCGCCTTGGGCTGCGAGTACACGTTCACCGTCAGCCCGGCGATGACGAAGGTCTGCTTCTTGGGCTCTGGGGCTTTCTTTGAGAATAGCGGCATCGTGAGGTGCGCGTTGTTGGTGGGCTGTATGGGAGTGCTTGTTGGATGAGTACCCGCGAACTGGCTGGGGAAACTTCACGATGCGTGGCGGTGGGCGGACGCAAGGATGTACAGCCAGGCTAGAGACTGGTTGAATGTATACTTATCTCCGTACGTCATGGTTTGCACCCCGAAGCGGAAGGCGTATGCAACGTGCACAGCCTCCGCCCGCATCCGCCGCCACCGATCGACCCGTCCATCTCACTGATCTCACCTCGGTGACGTCCATCCGCAATGCCGACCGCCGCTCTATCCCCTCGCGACGGCACCCATCTGGGGCACGAATGAAGGGCGGAGCCCGGGAGTGGAAGAGAACCAGAACACAGTCGCGAGGAGTCTAAAATGAGGGTATATTCCCATTCCACAGACAGTCAGTAAGATCGTGAAAGCTTCGGCAGGACAGACGTCCTGCGAGGCGACAAGAGTCCAAGAGACAAGGGGGATTCAGCTACAGATGAAGTGTCTATGAACGTGACAGAATGTTGAAGAGAAGAGAAGATGAAGGAGAACGTCGCAGGTCGTAAGACGTGATGAAGAGAAACATAGACCACAAGACAGAGACACAGAAAACGACGGCGCAGACGCAGTCGTCACGTCGCGGGCAAGCATGCTACAGGGAGACGGGAACAAGGTGCCAAGGAACATCGGCGGAGCGGAAGACTCCTACCTTGGGCAAACAGCGTCCTCGAGGGGGGATGGCAGGCGGACAACAGTAGCGTAGTGCGAGCCAGCGAGCGCGAGCGTCCGTGCCGAGCCGTACGTTTTGGGGGAATGTGGGATGTACTATGTGTGTGTTGCGATAGCGTGGGCTGTGTGCCGAAAGGACAGAACAGAGAGTATCAAAAACCGAAACCAAGGTCCATGCGTCCTTCTCCTTCTCCAGCCTATATGTCAGACGTCTCTTCCTCTCATCTCCTCTCCTCCTCCAGGCGCACCAGCGGCGGTCAATACGGCCCTCGGGTCTGGTTCGACGACATCCTTGGCGCGTTCTGGTGGTAGGGGTCGAACTCCGCGCTCGCCGTCCGCGGCTCGTCGTAGTACGGCGAGTTGAGGCTGAGCGTGCTCGCGTTCGCGCCCCACGTCGTGCTTCCATTAGCCTGTGATAGTGGCATGAAAGCACTCGAGTCAGAACTCCGCAATCCACCGCCACCCCCCGCACGCGCCCCCGAGGCCACTCCGCCCGCACCCCCAGGCGCCGCACCCATCGGGTAGGAGAGCGACGACGCCTGCTGGGCGGCCGCGCGCCGGCGCCGTGCCATCCAAATGCCAAAACCCGCACCGAGAATGCCAACGGCCGCGATCGCCGCGATGATACCCCCTACGATTGCTCCCGTGTGCGACGACGACGCGCCGTTGTTGTTCGTGCTCGTGCTGTTCGAGCCCGTGGCGCTGCTGCCCGAGCCGCTTGCGCCGTCCAGACGCACGCTTGCGGGGAGGGTGGACGCCGCCTTGGTCGGCTGCGTCTCGATGTTGCCGCTGCCGACGATCACGTACGAGCCGTTGCTGGGAATGCCGGAGACCGTGACGAACAGGAGGGCAGGGCCGGGCTGGAACAGGTTGGGGTTAGGAGGGAGCTGAGCGACGTGCAGCGTGAGCGAGCCGTCCGAGTTGACGGTGTACGTGTTGTTGAGCTGCATCGCACGCTGGCCCATGTTCATGGCGTGGGTCGTCCAGCCACCACGGATGAGGACGACGGTGGTGTTCTCAGCGGCGTCGTTGGCGGCACCAGAGTAAGCAGAGGCGGGGACAGTGAGGTCGAACGAGTCACCGCCGTACGAGAGGGTCGAAGGCGCGCCAGTGTACGTGGGGCGGTTCGCGGCGGCGAAGTAGTGGGGGTAGAACACCTCAGCCTTGTACGTGGTGGGGAAAGGCGCGGTCAGGTTGACGTCGACGTTGGGGTTCGAGCCAGCAATGAGGACAGATGCGTCGGGGAGGAGGATAGCCGAAGAGTGGTAAAGACGGGCGATCGACGAGGTGTCAAAGCCGGCAGTGGACCAACGCGAGCCCTTGGGCGCGCGGGGGTTGTAAAGCGCGGGCTGACCAACGGGCTCCGAGGCGAGCGACATACCGAGCGGCATCTCAAGAGTGTTAAGGGTGCGGTCGGCGTAACCAGCAGTGCCGTTGGCGCCACCGTTAACGACGAGCAACGTCAGATCGGGGAGGGCAATGAGCTGACCCATGGTACGGCCAACGGGCAGGTCATCGTCCTCGACGTACTCGACAGCAGACCCATCGGTAGGCTCGGGTGTGATCGTGTGGCACTTCTTCGATGAAGGGATAGCCCAGGTGTCGGCGAACGGCCACGAGTAGTTGCCCCAAGAGTAGTCGTCCATGAAGATACCACCGCAGAACATCACCGTGGGCGTGTAGTTGTTGTCGGGCGTCAGGGGCAGCATTGCGTTGGCACCGGAAGCAGGGTACACGCGCACGATCTGGTCGGGCATGTCGGGGAGATCGGTCTCCTCGTTCTGAATGGGATCCCAGAGCACTGAAAAGCGGCGTTAATATGAGATGAGAAGCGTAAGTCGGTGACGCACTCGTAGAGTAGTTGGCCTGGACGAGCATCTTTCCAGACGGCATGAGGTACATCAGGGGGTAGGCGTTCAAACCGGAAGTCTTGACGATGAACGGTGAGGTCTGCTCTTGCCTGCCGTTGGCGGGGAAGAACTCGTAAGTCGGGTTGGCGGCACCACCCTCGGTGGCAGGGTCGACGTTGGGGTAGTTCCGGTTGATGTAACCACCGTTGGTGAAGCCACCCATGAGCACGATCGTACCGTCACCAAGAGGCTCCGCACCCGAGTACCACCGCTGAGACTGCATGGACAGAAGCGAGGAGTTGTCGAACCACTCGCAGTCGGCGGAAGAGAAGTCGTCTTTGCTCGTGCAAGGGTTCAGGATACGGATACCCTTGGTACCGTCGTAGTCGCCGAAAGTGGTGTCGTAAATGCCCTGGAAGGGGTTGTTGGCAGCAGTCTGGTCACCGATGTTACCACCGGGGCCGATAGCTCCGTTACCGCCGAAGGTGGCGAAGGAGCCGTTGGGCAGGTGCATGCCCGACGCGCAGAAAACGTTAGTGGTGACGCCCATGGTCTCGGATGTGCGGGCGGCGATGTCGTAAACGGAACCCATCGCGGGGAAGTTGCCGAACTTCGCCGCGTTGTTTTCTGACTTGTCGAGGATGTAGACTTTCTCCTCGTTACCCAAGAACATCTGCATTGCAAGAGGTGATCCCGCGGGGGATGAACACCATGCGCAGCAGGGAGATGAGTCGGAAGAGACGCACCATCATCGCGCTAACCTGAGTGTCGCCGCCATCCTCAAAAGAACCGGCCGTATGTGACTGAGCGAGGGCAGAAGAGGCCGTGCCGAGGAAAAGGGCCAGCAGCAAACGCTGGCTGTTGATCATGGTGGAAACGGATTAGGAGGACGAGTAGAAGGGGGCCGGTAGGGTAGGTCGAGGACTAATGGGAGTACTTCTGAGCGTCCTGGCTAGGCGAGCTAAAGGAGAGTGGGGGACGGAATCCGTGCGTAGTCGGAAAGGGTGGTGGTGAGGGAAAGGGGAGGGAAGGGGCGGGAGGGGTGGTCGTTGTCTGCACCGCAAACGCCAGCTTTCTCCTTATACAATTCCCCCACGCGTCCCAGCAGCTTACCTAAGCCCTGCCGAGCGCGCGCACAGGGCGTCTCCCCCCGCCAACGCTCCGCCAGACGTCTCTCGGTCGGCCGCGACCTGAGCTCGACCATGATTTCGCACCCGACGTCGTCCCACCCCGCCCTGTGCTCGCTATCCGAGGGCCCGTGCGCACCGTCCCCGACGATGAGCTCTGGCCAACACTTCACCGTTTCAACTTCCTTCTTGTCTCGTCGCCGGGCGCCGGCACCCGGAATCTCTTTCTCGGCCTCTTGGGCCGCGCTCGGCCAAGGTAAAATTAGACCGTGTGTGTATGTATAGACAACGCTCTGCCCTCCGCAACGTTTTGCAACTTGCGCATCGAACGCTATCCATTTCATTGATCACCTTCAGTTCTTCCAGCATCTGCCCAAAACAGAACAGCTCGGCCCCACGGCAGACCAACTCCCCGTTACAACCCGCAACGGACCTGAGCTGCTGAGGCCTCTTCCGCGAACCGCCCCCGGCATATTTGATGCTCGGAAGGAGGTGCTGAACATCCCGGGCGAGCCTGGTTGTTTGGTATAGCCGCCCCTCGCAACCGAACCAACACTCCTCGATGCGGAGTATCGCGGAACTTCCTCACACGGAACGCGTTCACCGCGTCGCGTGTCTTCTCGGAACTGTTCCTCGAGTCGACGCCGAGTGCGGCAAACCGCATCCTCCCGCCTTCGCCTCCCGCACGACAGGTCCTAATCTCTGTTTGGCTGTGCAGCGATTATAAACAGCGTCGTCCTGGCCATTGTCGACCACAGCGGCGCATCGGAACCTCCGTCGATGGTCGCACACATGCGGATCCGCTTGAGGGTGTTGTGCCCGATCCTGCGGGCCATATCGCTGTGAGACTCTTCCGGCCGCACAACGGCCACGCCCAAGCCATGCATCGCGTACTCCCCGAGAATCATGAAATGAGCGCAACCGCTCCCGCGTTCACTCATGATTACTGTATCCTCACGTACACGGCATGGCAGCGGTGAGCAATTACATGGCTCACCTCCAGCCTGAACGCTGAGCGCAGGGCTTGCACCTAGCACGACTACGTGACTCGGCGCCCAGCACGATCGTCGCGCCACACTCCAACTTATGGCCTATGGACGTCACCGTTGGTATGAAGTCAGGAAATCCCTGCCTCAAGGCGAACTCCCGACGTATGTATATACTTTGTATATACTGGTGCCTGAGGCCTGACCGGTATATCATATCAATAGTTGGTGGTGTCGCGCGCGTGCTGCGTCGCAGCCTACGACCCTAAAAATTAACTTCCACAGCGGAGCGCTGCGCGAACGCCGCAAACAGCGGATGACCTCATGCGGGTGCCTGAAAGCGGGGGCGGATGCTGCATATTCATAATCACAACCTTAGGGCGTTCGCATGGCATATATATATGCGACTTTCAAGCTTGTACGTGACTGCGGCGTTTTCGTATGAAAGTCCGAATTTGAGCTTCTAACGCCACACCTTCCTAAAACGGGGCGGTCGTTTGGTATAACATCGGAATAAGCGCCCGTCGCTGACGGCCCCCCTTATGAGATGCGGGAACTCCCCATGTACAATCAGTTTCTCTCTTGGTGGCAGTATCCCAACCCAACATCACAGCTGCCCCACAAATTGCAGGAAAACACAACGCGCCACAGCGGTGCGGGGAGGCGCAAGAGGAAGAGGCCTAACCTCCTCTTGCCCCTCCCCCCGCCGCTGCTCACTTCTCTCAATGACTGCCACGCCGCACACGTAACAAGCCCGTATCATAGTAACCTCGTCCGTATATGAGAATGGGAAGGAAGAAGGAGGGAGCAAGGAAGGAGGGCAGGAGAAGAGTGCGCAGACAGAAGACAATGAAACTCCTATGTGACGCTGGACTCCTAGTGAAGAAACAAGTCGGGGGAGAGTCGTGAACTTAAGAAAGAGAAAGGATACAACGAGGAATGGACGCACGGTATAGGAAGTACTTGGAACGCCGCGAGCCGTATGCGTCGATGATGTACGCGACGAGGAGAGAAGCTCAAGGGGCCAGGCCTGAACCCCCCAAAGCTTCTCTCCTCGCCGCGTAGGCCACCTACGCGCAAGACCCTATGAAGACAGCTATTGTTTCTAACCGGCAGACCAGGAAGACTTGCATGAAGATCTGGGGAGGGTGTATACGAAAGGTCAGTGCTGTCCTGATAGCGAAGAGAGAGAGGAATGGGCACTCACTTCTCGGATTTGTGCGGGGGGAAGGGCCCGTCATGCCCCACCCCCGCTCCGACGGGGACAGCGACCTGAGCAGCAGCGGAACAGGGGGGCGCCATCCCCTGAACCGTGCCAACCCTGGTCGCTGCCACCGTACCACCCCAGACCGACGCACGGACGAGCCACAGAAGGGAGACTGACAAGACACTGAGACCACGGGGCAGGAAAGGGATCGAATCAACGCACGGACGAGCAACGAGAACAGGGACGACCGACAACGGAGACAGCAAGAGCATAGAGAAAGCCGGAGAACAGAGACGACGATCGGAGACTAGGGAGAGCAAGAGACGGGGATCCGACGGGGGACCAGAGAATCAGAGCACAGACGAGAAGATTGAACCCAGACACAGAGAAAATACTTACTTGGCAATGCTAGGGAGGCTGACGTCGACGGGTCATCCAAGCCCTCGGCCAACCTCGCTAACGCCTAATCCTGGGTCCTAGGTCTTCGTTGTCGGCCTTGTCGGTCGTGGTCCTCGTCATCTTCATCTTTCCGGGGAGAATGCCTGTGTGGGGAGAAGAGCAGCGACGAACAATGAACAGAGATATCGAGAGACTAAACACGGCGTTGGGCGTTGGCAGGTCACCGAGATCCTGGGGGTCATGACTCCCCGATCACTCGTATATTCCTGCCGCAGCCGTCAGCCTCACCTTTTCCTGGGTCTCAGTCAAGAGAGCCATCCAGGTCTTGAGGCGCGCGCGATGTTGACGTTGAAGAAGGGACCTAGCACATAACAACCCCCGCCCATAGGCGACGGGGGGAAGATCAGATCCTCACTGAGCATGGCAGCGGAGCGTACCGTAGACGAGCTCCGTGCGCAACTTCGCATCCCGGAACGAAATCAGCTGCACCCCCAGCGCCTTGAAGTCGCTCTCCTCCCGGCCCCGCCTGTCGTCGAGCACCACCCGGACGGGCGGCGCCGGCGCCGGCTCCTGAACTTGAACTTGAACGCGCCTCGGAACAAGCGGCTGCGGCTGGAACGCGGGCCACTCGTACGCTTGCGGGAAGCTGATCGTCTGCTTGTCGACCTTGGACCCGAGCGACCTGCGCTGGGCGGGGGCGGAGCTAGAAGAGGACTTGGAGAAGGTGAAGGAGAACATGGTGAACGCGGGGAAGGATGTGGGGGTGGGGTGGGGGGTAGGTGATGGTAGGTGGGAAAGGTAGGTAAGGAACAGTCAAGCCGGGGAGGCAGGTTCATATAGGGAGGAGAATTGCAACCGAGACTGACCTCGTCGTCCGAGCCGGCTTCACCATTTGAGGTGAGTGCGCGTCGGTACTCACCTGCATGATTTTGGCCGTGTCAGCCTCCTGGCGTTTTATTGGCCGGCTGATGTTGTGCCGTAGACGACACGGTGTTCAGACTGGTTGCATGGAAGAGGGCCTCAGCTCAGTATGATCCCGAGCTCGATGGCGATTGCCACAGGATTCGGCATCGTATGTGGTGTTTAACGGCGCGTGTGCATCTATTCTCCTCAGATGACACAGGGTATTAGTTTGTGAGACAGATACTGATTCTAGCATACGTATCAGTGACGTGGATTTGAAAGAGAATGACTAGAGTATACGGTGTACTCACCCCTGCAGCTCCGTGTCCGGGGAACACGAACAAATCTACCACCGATCACTCAGTATGCCATGATCGTCCCCAAGATGAGGTTATCCACGATCACCAGGCCCGCTGAGATGACCAGCGCTACTCCTTGCATGTGGCCTCAAGCTCAAGTCGTTGAAGGAGTTCGGGCAGCTCGAGCGGTTTCGAAGCAAACACGGATGCTGGGCCACGGTGTTGGCATGACGGTGGTTTGGTTGAGGCGGGCGTCTATGAACGTGTCGACGTTCACTGATACCACCACGTCTCGTCACAGCCCATCGCGATTTCGATGTCAAGGAGGGACGATACTTTCCTTTGAGCGTGTCCGAAACATGGCTATAGATGGGTGAGTACCCTGATTGGTGTGCTCAAAGGTGCTCACAGGTTGGGCAAGGTTTGGCATTAGGCTGTGCGGGTGCACATGAGCTCTCTGTCTACGGTGATGTCCTTAGGCCTGGTAGGTCTAGCCTCTTCCTCGGAATCGGTATACATGAAACATGCAACAGTGCGCTCGGACGTATCCCTGATCTGCTTCTATTTGTGAGCTCTGGGGTGTGCCGGTAACCGGTCAAGCAAGGGCTGAAGAAGCAACTTGGTCGGCCTCGCTCCGCTATGAATTCGATGGGATCATGGCCTATTGCTTCCGCACTTACCGCGATAGATGCATCATTGCGATGAGTGCGGTGTCTACTGACAGGAACACATTGCCTCAGTTGCATCATGGCATTTCGAAGCTCCCCTCGACCAAAACCGTCATAAAATTGTGGGTACATGCACTGCACCACGCCGTGCACACTCTGAGCATCTCTCTATAAACGGTTTAGCCCACCTCCCCACCTCCAGAAACACTAGTGGCTGCCCCCGCGTTCGTCCTCGCCTTCCGCTCCTCAATCACCGCATGCCAAAACGGCTAGGTACGTAGCCTTTCGAGCATTGCTGTGATACCACAATCAGCGCAAGGATTAAATCAAGTGTTACAGGCTGTTGATTTTGTCGCCCCTGCATCTACAAGCATGCTCGCCTCCAACACCGGATCGTCATCCTCGGCACTGGATGTGCAGGTTACGGATTTACCTATGCAGTCTCCACTCTCGAGCTTTGGGACATCCATACCCTCAACGTGAGCGTCCGTGACTACTCGCGCTGGTCTAACACGGACGTGACTTACCCTTCTATTTGCTGGCAGTTGGGTATATCTGACTCTGCTACCACGATTCCCCCCTCTGCCTTCAGGAGTCACCTTTCCACCCGGCTTCGGAACGCTGCGGGAGTCGCAATGGGGGTCTGGTCCGTCCACCTGGGTTCGGCCAGCGGAAAGTCATAGCGCGGCGGTCACTCCGACTTCGGATGGGGCCACCTCAAGCTCGGCCGCGGCGGGCACTTCGACCTCGGATGGAATCGCCCCAAGCTCCAGCGGCGACACCGTGGCCCAACGACCCCACTCAGGTCCTTCGACGACGTTGATCATCGCTCTTTCCATCTCAATCGGACTGTTCCTCGCAGCTACGGTAGTGCTGCTCATCATCCTGAGGCGACGCCGCGCTCGGCGAGCCGCAGAGCACTCGCTCCAGGCTCCCCTTCCCTACGACCGCCTCGAAGCTGGAGAGCGGAAGTCCGACGAGGGGCTCATTCCCAGTCAAGCGCGTAACCTATCCGGTGGACGATACCATCGGCGAGGACGTGCAGGCGACGCGCGTCCATCAAGGAACAGCGTAAACCGCAGCACCGCGTCGATTTGCTCAGCCACCATCTCGGACGTGTCACAGGATGATAACCTTCTCCGGGAGGTTAGCACGATGGTCCGCAAGGGAAGTGTGCTAGCGGATATTGGAAGCCCCGTAGGTCCCGGGGACGACCCGTCGCATTCCACCCCCGAGCCTATTCCAACCCGAGCGGAATCGCAACCTAGTGGCGACTCTACACATCCTCAAGCCGCAGGTGCGAAACCATCGCCTCGACCACGAGAGCCTCCCGCTGTGCCGAGCGCGGATCGTCCGGACACGGTCCTCCTCAGACTTCCCGCGGAGCTTGCTCATCGCGTGATGGTCACGATCGCAAGCGAAGCAGCTCAGGGGGGCGGGAACCCCGGAACGTTGCAGGACTCGCAGGACTCGGAACCTCCACCCGCGTATGAGTCTCATCCTGCGAACAGGGAGGCCCCTCCGCCGGGCTGAGACGCGTACAGCTTGTATCGAGCGATGGACAGTGCAACGATGGATAATTTCTTGTATGTATAGGACGCTATCCAGGGCAACGGCCATGATCATGCTGTATATAATCCCGAAAAGGTATGCTGATAAATGTGGTCAAATCCGAGGGTTTTGCGATCGGACCTTCGGCGGCATAGGCGAAGGTCCTACATTGGCGTGGAGGTTTGGCTCGGGCGTCTATGAACCTGTTTGACTGATACCACCACGTCTCATCACACCCATCGTGACTTCGGTCTCAAGGAGGGACGGTACTTTCCTTTGAGCGTGTTCAAGATGTAGCTTCAGATGGGTAAGTACCCTGATTGATGTGCTCCGGGGCGCTCGCCGCTCACAGCTTGGACAAGGTTTGGCATTAGGCTGTGCGGGTGCACGCTGGCATGTGCTCTTCGTCTACGGTAATGTCCTTGGATCTAGCCTCCTTATCGGCCGAGCACGGGCGCAAGAACCAAGTCGGCCTCAGGCTCGCTCCGCTAGTCCGAATTCGATGGGAGCATGGTCTACTGCTTCTGAACTTGTCGAGGTTTGGAAGCGGTGCCTACTGACAGGAACACATCGCCCCACCTGTATTGTGCATCATGACACTCGAAGCTCCCCTCCACCAAAAGTGTCAAAAATTTGTGGATACCTGCACCGCACCACGCCTTGCTCACTTTGAGCATCGCTCTATAAACAGTTTAGCCCACCTCCCCACCTCCAGAAACCCCAGTGGTTGCCCCTGCGTTCGTCCTCGCCTTCCGCTCCTCAATCACCGCATGCAACAACGACTAGGTACGTCTCCATTCGAGCATCGCTGCGACACCGCGATTATCTCAAGGCTCGAACCAAGTGCTGCAAGGTGTTGATTTTGTCGCGTTCGCATCTACCACTGCGACATGTTCGCTTCCAACACGGGATCGTCATCCTCGGCACTGCATGTGCGGGTCACGCATTCACATATGCCAACTCCTTTCTCGAACTTTGAACCATTCACATCCTCAACGTGAGCATCCATGACTATTCGCGCTAGATGAACACGGACTTACACGTCGGTTTGCTGGCAGTTCTGTATATCCGACTCTACTCCCACGCGAATTCCCTCAGGCTCCGGACCCCTCGGGGTTCCCCTTTCCGTCAGGTTTTCCATCGCAACTGGCGTCACAATGGGGGTCTATATGGTCCACTGCCCTGTCTCAGCCAGCGAATACCCAAAACGCGGCGGTCACTTCAACCTCAGATGGGACCACCTCACGTCCCTCGACGACGTTGATTATCGCTCTTTCCGCTTCACTTGGAATATCCCTCGTAGCTGCGGCGGTACTACTCATCGTCTTGAGGCGACGCCGCGCTCGGCGAGCCGCCGAACACTCGCTACAGGCTCCCGTTCCCTATGGCCGCCTCGAAGCTGGAGAGCGGAAGTCCGACGAGGGACTCATTCCAAGGCATGCGCGTCGCCTATCTGGTGGACGATACTATCGTCGAGAGCATGCACGCGACAGCGTAAATGGCAGCACTGCGTCGATTTGCTCAACCGCCAACTCCTACGTGTCGCAGGATGGTACTCTTCCCCAGGTGATTAGTACGACGGTCCGCAAGGGAAGTGTGCTGGCGGAAGCTGGGAGCCTCCTAGGTCCCGGGGACGACACATCGCATTCCACTCCCGTGCCTCCGTCGCATCCCACCCCCGAGCCTCCATCGCATCCCACCCCCGAACCCGTTCCACTCCACGCGCAATCGCAACCTACTGGCGACTCTACACATCCTCAACCCATGAATGCGGAACCATTCCCGCAGCTGCGAGAGCCTCCCGCTGTGCTGAACATGGATCGTCCGGACACAGTCCTTCTCAGACTGCCGGCGGAGCTCGCTCATCGAGTGATGGCCACGATTGCAGGCGAATCTGCCCAGGGACGCGAGGACTCCGGAGCATTGCAGGATTCGCAAGACTCGGAACCTCCACCTGCGTATGAACCCCGTTCTGCGGACATGGAGGCGCTTCCGCCAGGCTGAGACGCGTAGAGCTTGTATCGTGCGATGGACGATGCACAGATGTACAACTTCTTGTATGTATAGAACGCTCCCCGGGACTATGTTGGGGGTGCCCGCGGCACAACCTTTCGTATTGACATGACACTACGACTCACACGATCAGGCATGCGGCATATATACGAGGCCACTGAACGAACTTTCTTCATGGTTTGAGTACACTGGTATCCAATCCGATCTCCGCCACTGCAGCGTACCATCATTGCGCTCACATTGCGTTCATGTTTCGCCCTAGCTCATACCTCTCAAACCCCACGTCTACTCGCGATAGTTTGAGAATTGCGCGGGCGCCTGCTCATGCAATGCATCATGCGCCCATCGTCTTAATCTGCCAAACGTTATGCCACACAGGGTGGTCCGAGAAGACCAGTCCGCTCTCACACTCACAGCCTCCGGGTTCTTCGAAGTTCGCCCTATCGCACAGATAAAATGGCATATGAGGATCAGGTACTATTGCCGGTATCATGCGTTCCTCCACCCTCCCCAGGCTCGTCCTCTGTTTCATCGCCCCGTCGCCCCTCTTCGCTCATGTAGTACGCACGCAATATTCTTGGCCAAGTACGTCCAGCAACACCTGTACTATCAAGTGAGACACAGACTCACGGAATACTCCTCAGATTGCACTGAGTCGTGTCGGGAGAGCAACGTTCAGTCATACGGTGGAAGCGTCTGCGACTCGGCGTCGACTAGCAGCGTTTGCATATGCCCCAACCAGGCCGCAGCCATCGCGTTGCACGGGTGCTTAGTGAGCGATTGCACAATATATGACCAGTTCGTCGAGGCAGAGGGCGCATTCCAGGCAGATTGTGCTGCCCAGCTGGTGAGCCTTTATAGACTACTCCATTGCCCTAGCCATCCTTGACCGGAGGGATTGTGAACAGGATCCACAGCCGTCGTCCTCGAGTGCAACCTTGAGCCTTACAACGTCATCTGCTGTCGCCCATCTGGAGACGGGTGCTGCATCACCTCCTTCCTCTTCCTCCCACTCGGGCTTGTCGAAAACAGCCATTCTGGCTATCGCCATCGTGCTGGGTGTTTGCGCCGCGACTGCTTGTGCTTCGTTCCTTTGGTGGCGTCGCAGAAGAAGCCGCACCGGACGCTGGGCGCGGAGCGAGTCCATTGATGACGAGGCAGTTAAGGAATATCACGCCGAGAGCGACGGTGCTCCTGCGTGTCGTGAATGGAGGGCGGTGGATGCGGCGCCTGTTACGTTCGACCAAAGGAACCCCTTCGACGATGACGCCGGAAGCCCGGCTGAAGAATCCTGGCATCCTACCGAATCGCTCGACGACTCCAGTATGAACGCTGAACATGGCAGCGACATGGGCGAAAGAGACGTGGACCTCCCTCCCTCTCAGGCTCGCAAGCATTCTCGCACCGCGGGGCCGCACAGGGACGCGGAGGACCCGTTCGCAGACCCCCAAGGCGCGACGCCGCTCCCGCTGGACCAGGATATCGCGGACACACGTCTCCAAGAGGATCGGAACACGATGGTACTCCTGCGAGTGCCGTTGGGGGTTGCGAAAAGAGTCCTCGCGGCCATGCATGCTGGACGTTCCGGTGGATCGGAGGGAGAGGGAACATCAGAGGAAGGAGACCGTCGGGACTCGGAGACGTTGCCTGCGTATAGCTCTCCATCTTCTCTTGAGTTAGGCAGATCGGAGCCTTCACAAACGTGATGTTCGTGTCTGTGTATCTATAGCGGATTCATGCGGTCAAACAGCAACGGTACCTTTGACAGCTCTGAACTCGTGTGCACCTTCGTTGGAGCGGACAAAGCCGTGAAATCCTGGAATCGACAGCGAGTAGATACGACATCTGTACCAGCGACAGAGGCCATGTTCGCGGACACTCAGAGCTTCTTCAAGCTCTCCAAGAGCACATTCATGCCCTTCCCGTCCGCAGCCTCGATCTCCTTCCGCGTATTTGCGCCAAACCACCCCTTCACCGTCTTCCGCTCCTCCGCCGCGTCCTCGTGCTCCGCGAGCTGCTCGCACAGCGCCGCCACGACGAACGCGCCCTCCGCCTTCGCCATCGCGACGGTCGGCTCGCGCCCGACTATCCGCACGAAGCGGCCTGCGAAGTCGCGCGCGGAGAAGTGTGGCGCGCGCTCGACGGCGCGCGTGCTGTGTGAGAAGTGTCCGCCTTGGAGGAGCGTCTTGTAGAGGCGTGAGGTGTGCGGGAGAGAAATAGGGTGTGGGGATGCGGGATCGGTGGAGGGGTAGGGCGTGGAAAGCGCCTGGAGGAGCGTGTCGGAGGCGGCAGATTTGTCTGCAGATAATGCGCGTGAGTGGTGAGGTCACTATATATGAAGACGCAGGGCAGAGGGGACGTACCGCCCTCGGTGTCGAGCATGATCTCGCAGACGACGAGACTTCCGCCAGTATCGCGCGCGACGTCGGCGCCGCTCTGTGCTATCCACTGGAGCAGACCTTCGCTCGCCGCTTTCCGGATCTCGGACGCACGCGTCGCTTCCTCCTTTTTGCTCGTCTTAACGCGGATAGGGTCCGTCTCGGCGAGCGTCACGATTTGCGCAGGGGTGAAGTGCCGGCGCGTGCGCGGGGCGACGAGGTAGATAATCGACCGCCGGCCTTGAGAGGAGGTGTATAATGTGGGTGCTGAGGCCACGATGTCGGCAACGAGAGATTTCGCTGTTAGCTTGGTATCACTAAAGGAGCGAGGGTGTTAGGGCGGACGTATGGAGGGATTGGATCATGCGTACTCGATGATATCCAGGGCGGAGAACAGCACGAGTTGTGCTTCGTCGTCCTTGCACATCCGCTCAACGTGCGGCTTGATAGCCTTGACTATGTGTTTCCGGTCCTATGGTTTTGGTAAATCATGGGAACAAGTGAGTGGTTGTGTAGATTACACACCTTGGCTGAACCCCAAGCGATGAATTCGCGCACTACGCGACTACCGTCTTTTGTGTGCACCATCTCCGCAAGAGCATCCTGGCAGCTACACAGGCGTCAGTATGGGCGCGATTGAGGATAATTCGAAGACGCACGTTTCGAAGATCTCTCTCCGCGCCTTCTCGGCCTCTGCCTCATCCTCCGTTTCGCAGACCGCAGAAAGGTATTCCCAAGTCGCCCGATGCACGATAGCATGCGCAACGGCACCCTTGTCAGGGTTGTTGAAACTGTTTCCGACACGGACCATGTCAGAATCTACTTCTGGCGTCGCGGTAGATGCAGACCCACATAGTGACCAGGTTGTCTTTCAACGATGCCAAGACACGTCTCCGACGGTCGCCCTCGAGACCCTCCATGAGCCCTTTCAGGCCCTTCTTGGAGCGCTCCTTCTCTTCCTCACTGCCGGCAGTGACAGTGAAGAGACTGGCCTCCTTGCCGTAGAAGTCACGCAGCAGGAGTGATCGCTCGTACGCGTTCGTGTAGAGCTCGAATGCGTCCGCCAATACGCTTGACGCTTCGCGGTGCAGGAGCATGCGAAGGACGTGCCCCTGGAACTCCCGCAGGATTGGAGCGCGGTACGAAGGGCAGAGACGGATGAGCTTGGTGATCAGGAACTACAACGGTAGACTATTAGTATTTGTATCGTGTAGGTGTTCAAAATGCGCACCTTGGAGTATTTACTCTGCGCGAGTTCGCGGTACTTGCCATTCAGCTCCTCCGCGATCTCGTTCCGCGCCTTCTGGTCGCCGTACTTGACGGCTGTCTGAACGATACGGCTTGCATCGTGCTTGAAGACGATGTCTTTGACCCTGCCACGAATGATCTCCATGAGCTCGTCAATGTGTTTGGTGCGCTCAGCCTTCTTAAGGTTCTTCTGTCGGGCAGCAGTCCATGCACGCTTGGCATCTACGAGGAGCTCCGAGTGGGGCTTTGCAGCCTTGCGCTGCTCTTGGAGGACCTTCTGCGCTTTGTGGGACTCTCGCGCAGCTGTATGACGATGCGCTAAGTACATCCTGCTCTGGACTGTAGGCAGAGTTAGACGGACCATTAGGATCTTTGGGCATTGCCGAGACCTCTGTCTCGTCGACCTCCATCTCATCAACGGCCTCCTCTAGCGCATCTTCATAGACGTCGTCCTCCGAGCTGTCTGCGCTGTCTTCGACGAGAGCGCGGGTTACTGGCTTGCTCCGTTTCTTAGCTTTTGAGTCGGTGGCCTTGTCCAGGTGAGGTTTCTTCGTTTTCGGCCCAACCTGGGAGGCGGCCGGGCGCTTTTTCATTCCTTTCGTGGCAGCAGAAGGCATGAGAGAGGCTTGCGCACGCAAGGAAAGCCAGGAAATGCTGCTAGGAGAGGAGGTCGGCGGAGTGAACGGCTGAGCAAGAGGCGAAATGAGCGAGTTCAAGTGAATGGGCGTCTACCAAAACTTTCGATCGAGTTGGGCGCCAAATGGCCGGGCCGGGGTCCCGGAAGTCAAGACATTCGCGGTTCCTCGAGCGCGGAAAGCGCAAGTGCTATAGCAGAGTACAACGTTACATCCTTAGAACAAAGCAGGAGAAAAGACAAGATGTTATGCTACAAGCGGAGAAGTGCACAAAACTAACGACAACAAGTGGAAAGGGTACATGGGGTATGCGGTTGCCGCCTATTTCACGATCGGGTTGACGCCACGCGCAGAGAGATACTCCTTCGCAGCCGTGGTACTCTGCCCAGAGGTTAAGTTCATTGAGAAACGGAGAGCGGCAGGTAGTACTCACTAGACCCTTGATGAGATCATAAATGCTCTTGTCGTGATATCGCAGACTCGTAGCAGGGTCGGTGTATGGACCCTACAGAGCAGCATTTGGTTAGGCATGAATCAGCGTAGGAGGCGAATTATATCCAACCTCAAGCCCGGTGATATCACAGTACCGCCGCTGAGGAAGGACGGACGGAGGGGCCTCAATTGACGCGTCTGCCATGCCCAGTCAGCAGGGATGCGCCAAAGAATATAAGTGCGCGCACAGGTCGGAAGGTCCTCTTCCAGCGAAGTATCTTCCGCCGGTTGACCGTCTACGTCCATGTTCTCCTCCCTCTCCTGTCTCCTCTTCTCCCGCTCGTTCTTCTCTCGTTCTCGCTCCTGCGTGAGAACAGCTTTCAAGTTCTTCGTCCTGCGGTTGACGTTCTTAGTGTAATGCGGGTTTTTGAACGGCCGAGGGTTATGGAGGTAGGACAACTGCTCTGCTAGAGTCTTTATACGAATGCGTTGTAAGTATACGAAAGACTCTGAAATGAATGGCGATAATGCGTACAGGTACAGGCGGGGTTGGCGAATCATCGCTATATACAGTGTTCTTCCGCTTTCCTGACCCTTTCGGTGGCCTGATAAACCAGTCAGCGGCATTTGACATATACCATCGATGCACCTACATAGTGGATGTGTGAACAGCGCAGGTGAGCACGACAGAGCAAGTATGCGGAGCGAGTGGGTGAAGCGGTCTAAGGTGCAGAATGCTGAGACGCCGAGGACCCTGTCTTGCTTCCACCACGACCATGCAGGATCACTCTGGCTTCTAGACATTAGGGGCCGTCAAAGTTGACGCTGCGACTTTCGCTGCCGCTGCCGCTGCGAGTGACCTCACGCAGTCACTGGTGACTGATGTTACTGATGGTGATGCTGGGCGCTCGCCTATGACGGGCACCTCGATATAGTAGCTGTAGGCGCTTGATCAAGAGATCACCCACGACAGAGATAAAACACTTTACGTCCCTCTGCACTGTCTTCGAGACTCAAAAAAACCATGTGAAGCATTTTAAGTAGCTATAAGACTGATTTGTCATCTTGATGGGCGATTTCATAGGGAGAGGCACTCTAATCACGCAAAACAGTACAGATGAGCGAACCTCACGATGATCTATCGATTAGGCGCCGCTCTCCTACTATATCGGGGTCTGGATTTCATGGTACATCGGCACCCTCTTCAAACACAACCAAAATTACTGGGTTGATACATATATAATCATTCAAAGCTTCTGGAGACACAAAAATGAGCACCAAACAGCAGGATAATGGAGGAATGAGGGGGCATCGTGCGCGGACTTCGGGTGATCTAAGCGCTCATACCGGACCGGGGGCATTACGTAATGTCACTCGCAGCGGACGTGATGCAGCGGCAGCGGCAGCGAAAGTCGCAGCGTCAACTTTGACGGCCCCTATTGGCGACATCTTCCACGGCCACTTGATCACCAACGACCTACTGGATCACTGCTGGATCGCGGCTCGGACATCTCCCCCGCCGCTTATACTGAATAGCCTCCACAAAGCTTCGTGCGGCCGCTGCCTCCGAATCACGACAGGGCCTACTCACCTGCTCAGTCCTTCACGCGTTTACGCAACGTTCTCGTGCCAAGACGCGCTTTGCACGTAAACCTTGAGATGTGATGGACGAGCGGTCCTTCATGGGGTCACACCCCTTCCCTGGGATGCCCGGGTCGACGGCTACCATCCGCCCAGATGTTGTGGAGCCCCCTTCGCCGGAGGATGGTACGAACTTGAAGCGCAGTCTCCAGATCGACATGAAGGGACTTATGGGCGATGCGGTCGGGAATGTGAGTACATTCGCTGTGTTTTGTTGCGCGCGTGAGTGCAGCGTACCGGAATGCTGAACCGTTTGCTAGATGAGCATAAGCCCCGATAATAGGGACGTGGTACTCGCCTCGTACGTCTATCACCAAGAAAGCTGTAGCGTGCATATTCAGCTTCATTCTTCACAGTCGCAAAGGATTGTTCATTATCGACTTGGAAACACCCCTTCACGTTCCTCGGTAAGGGTTCAGAGGTCGCGCGTGCTACTGGAATGCTCACGCGGGAGTGCAGTTTCCTTCCGCAGGGAGGTACTTGGGATGTCGCTGACGTGCAATGGAACCCGCACCTTTCCCATAACGAGTACATCGTATCCACTTCGAGCGAGAAGCTGTAGGTCATCCTATACAAGTCATGTTATCGCGCTTTGACATAATGATGCAGTCTCATTTGGAACCTTCTGCTGGGTGGCCGAACGTCTATCGAGCACGTTCTGCGTTCACACTACCGGGCTATCACGGATATCAACTGGCATACCATCGAGCCCGATGTCGTCATTAGCACAGGTATTGACTCCTGGTTATGGGCTTGGGACTTGCGCACGGTCCAGAAGCCTATCATGGGTTTATGCGCGTTCGGTCGTAAGCTCTTTTGTCGACGAAGTTATTGTGTCTACGAGTATTGATTTGACCTACAGCCGGAGGCACGCAGGTCAAGTGGAATCGCGTAGACGGGAACATCCTCGCATCCTCTCACTCCAACGAGGTCTTGATCTGGGACAGACGAGTACGGTTCTTCTGTAGATATAATTTCTTCCCCTCACCTCGTCTTTGCAGAAAGGTTCCTTACCTATGCAACGGGTTCGCGGGCACAGCGCGAAGATATACGGGATCGACTGGGCGCATGACAGGCGGAACGAACTCGTCACTTGCTCGCTAGACAAGACGATTAAGATATGGGACACCCATATCGCGCAGCCGACCACGGTCATCAACACCTCGTACCCGGTTTGGCGTGCTCGAGACCTGCCGTTCGGGCAGGGTGTCCTGAGTTTGCCTCAGCGGGGCGAGACGACACTCGAGATGTACGCTCATGAGGATCCCACGACTCCTATCGAGAAGTTCGAGGGACACGCCGATGTTGTGAAGGAGTTCGTCTGGCGACGAGGCGGAGAAGGTGAACTACTATCTGAGTTATCCCAGCGCATAGGCTTATTCGCCGATAGACAACTCTGAGTTCCAGCTTATAACTTGGTCGAAAGACAAGACCTTGAGGTTCTGGCCTGTCGATACAGAGGTCGTACAGGTACAGATTCGGATTGCAACATCACCACGTCGGACACCTTCTGACCGTGGAACTGTAGAAAGCAGGTCGGACCCCTACCAGGACCACTACGATGAACCGTGGTCGGCAGGACTCAAAGGTTTCGTTCAGCAATCCACCCATCGGCAACGACCTTCCACCAACCCTCTCTGCACCGATAGGATTCCGTGGGATCTTGGCAGAAGTTAGAGCGCCTCCCCCGCACCGTCCTGTGCGCTTTTCGAACCGTGAGTCTGCGGGGCGACGAAAGACCTCTGATGCCGGTCGAGAGGACAAGGCGCAGTGGCCTCCGCGCTCGCGACCCGTCTTTGTGCCTGCAGTGGCGACGAGCGTGAAGGATAGCGGAAACCCGGGGACGATGAGCCGTGGCCCCTTTGCTGGAGCACGCTCTAACCAGATCACGACGTTCCAGTGGTTGTCGAACATCAAGGTTGGGCAGCCGCGCGATGGCAGCTCCGGACCTAAGAGCGGGGGTGACAGTGGGAACGTCTCGAGGATCAACTCGGGGTCGCGCCCGCCATCCTCGACGGATCTTACGATGTCACATACGGCTTCGAGGACACGCGGAAGGAGTATGAGTAAGGATAGGTTCGATGAGCAACTATCGGATCTCATTCCATCGCTCAACGAAGAGTGAGTCGCTATGATCAATCCAAATATGTCGTGCTAACGTTTCGCAGGATCACGTCCGTTGTGAGTAAGCTCAACTCACCCAAGCTGAAGCTCGAGAAGGTATGTTACGCTTACAAGTCGACGAGGGCCAATGCTAACCTGTGCGCACAGGCCGACTTCAAGAAGCGGGACTGCACATTCGGTCTCCAAGGGCCGTGGGGCGAGTCGACATCCGTCTTCCTCCGGGCCACGTTCACCTTCCCGCGTGACTACCCACAGGCTAGCTACCCTGGAGGAATCCCAACCATTGACCTGGAGAAGAGTCCGCTGATCTCGATGAAGCAGCGCGCTTTCATCCTGCGGCGGCTGCGAGATCTCCGGGAGCACCAGCGGCCATGTTTAGAGAAGTGCCTGCGGTTCCTGCTGTTTGGCGACCAACAAGTGGACAGTGCGCGTCATGCGGCGATTGACTCTGAGTCGTCGTCCGAGGACGAGGCGCAGACTACTAGGAAGGGCGACAATACCCTCTCCTCTCTGCGGAGCGACAAGAATCTGGCCGAGCCTAGGACCTCACAAGGGGTGTTTTGTGCCAACGGTATGCTGTAAGCCGTTTTCCCTGTAGTACGGATACTCACCGGAGCATCTAGGCCAACTGGTCTGCTTCGACAACGCACCCCCGAGGATCGTCCGGAACCCACTCCGGGAGATCTCTATCTCACCCTCGATATCCTCCCGTCCCGCCGACGCCGGACCCAGGATCTTCCAGTCTCCCGCCCTGCTGTCAGATGCCGTGCGTCGGCTGACGTCCGCCGCCCAAGATCGCGAGCCGCAGTCCGTCGAGCGCAAGCGGAGCGACGACGCGAACAACGTGGATAACGTGCTGCGGATCATGGACGGGCTCTTCACCTTCTCGCACGTCGCCTACGCCCCCAACAAACCGCGGCGCGTGTCGGAGAACTCCCGCCAGGTGGACGACATCCCCTCGCAGTATGCGCTGCTGCCTGCGCAGAGGAGCAGTGGGTACACTGTGTATATCAACAGCACGGATGGGCTTGTGGGGGAGCCGGACGCGGACGCTGCGGCGCGCTATGTGTTGAAGGGAAAGCTGTCGGGGATGTTTAAGGCGAACACGGCGATCGCGAAGACGCTAGGTAGGAGCGACCATGAACGAGTCTTGAGCATGTTACAGGTGTTGGCGACTCGGAGGCCGGAGGAGCATGCTTCGATGACGCACCTTGGGATCGACCCGCTGGTTGCTACGTTGGCTATGAAGCTGTGAGTTTGTGTGCGGTTGGTGACTGGATCATACTAACAACCCATAGTTACAATGAGCTTCTGGCGGAAAAGGACATCCAGATGCTTGTCTTTGTCTCTGTCCTACTCCTTCGGACGTTTCCACCAGGTACGTCCACAGTATATTCTCAGACCACAGGCGGTCTCATAACCTGCCATCTAGATTCGGAGGACGTACCCAGCGGACGGACACGCATCTCTTCTGTTTCGCCTTCGCCGGACGGGCCCATCGCGTCGCGCAAGATCAGTCTGGAATACTTCGACCCGCGTAGACAACGACAGGGCAGTCCTCTCTCGCCCCCGGTATCGCATTCGCCTACCCCGATGCACACACCAGGCGGGTATGCCCCACCCATGGCTTCTCCGTCGTCGTCCAAAGGGTCGTGGTCAAGCATCTTCAATGCCAGTAGCATGCGACAACTTGTATCTGGTCCGTCTTCTCACTTCTAACTGAATGAGACAGTGCTAATTGTGGAACAGGAGTGAGAGCGGCGTCTGCGACGACTCCGGAGGGCGCGAGACAGTCTGCGGGGTCTGCGGGCAACCGGCGCGTCACGATGAAGCGCGAGAGCGCGCGCCAGTCGTCGAATTCGCCTATGGCAAAGTCCTCCTGGGAAACGTCTGATTCGTCGATTCCGTCTGGTATGATGTACGCGTCGAAGAGGAGGCCGACGTTCTCGCAAGTGCTTTCTAGCAAGACGCCGATTCAAGAGAAGAAGTCTATCATTTTCCACGCTGCGGTCGAGGCGCGGCCGTCTTCGTACGTGTTCTGCTGGTCCGTGATGGTTCATCGCGGCTCTGACAAATGTTTTCCGCAGACCATTCCTCTCACCTGCGCTGCGCAGCCAGTTGGTCTGCCATGTTCTAGCTTATGCGGAAATGTTGCTCGCCTGGCAGCTCCCCGAAAAGCGTGGCGAACTGCTCAAGCTCGTCGAAAGCGATATCCAAGGGCTCTCCCTGGATGCCACTGTAGCAGACGAGACCTTGTACTCGTCCCCAGTTGGTCAGTCATGTTGGATAGTGCTAGCAGTTGTTGAGATACTGACTGAATCGTCGTACAGGTTATCTGCGTCTTTGTGAGACCTGCGGACATCTTGGCGAGCCGGGGATTCCAACGTGCACGGCATGCGGAGGCCGTCTGCCCGCCCGTTGTTCCGTTTGTCGCTTGTCCATCAAAGGTCTGTTGGCTCTTTCCTGCATATTCATGACTTACTTAAACTGATTTTTGCGTCAGGGCTCTTCCACGTCTGCTCGAAGTGTCTTCATGTGAGCCATATGAAGTGCTGGAGAGCTCGTGACGACGCATCCTGCGCGACGGGGTGTGGCTGCATCTGCGCCCTCCCTGCGTTCGAGCCGCTTTCGAGTGGAGCAGTCGTTCTTTCGCCGATCATGCAGATTTATCGATGAAACAACGAGATAACTTGAAACGAAAAGACGATATGCTTGTGATGTTGTGGTTTTGCTATTAGTATGTGTAACTTTGGACACTGGATATCTGTAATAATGCCCTGTAACAATACTGCCGTATATTATCTATGCCATGCATTATTGCGCGTGTTGTCTGTAGAAACGAAGAAAGGAGTGCGAGACAAAGGGATGTTCACGATGCACGTGATCGCGCCCATAGCGAACAACAGCGGCAAAGAACGCGGTCGCGTTGTTGACCTCAAGCGCCCTCACGCACGCTCTCTCCACACCCCCACACCCACCAGTACTCATGCCTCCGGTTGTGCACACCGAGGCTGAGGAGTCCGACTTTCTCTCGAGCCTCTTCTCTGAGGTCGATAGTGCGCCCATCCCCGCACCCTCCTCCTCGCCGACGCGTCGACGCGCTGCCGCACCTCAGCCACGCACCCCACTCCGCGCCTCGCGGTTCAACGGCTCTCCTCACGGAGTACAGGCGAAGCATGTCCCGCAGGCTGACTCGCCCAAATTCAGACATACAGTCTACGCGGCACAAGATGTCGACTTCGATGCCCTCATGGACGGCGTCGATGACTGGGACTGGGACGAAATGAAGTCCGACTTTCTCACACCTCACAAAAGCAGCCCCGTCAAAGCGAAGGTTATTGATAATTGTACATGCTGCACCATATACTTCTAACACTTTCTATCTTAGCGGTCGAGATATACACTTGCGCAAGAAAAATGTAAGCGCGACCCTGCCACGCGTTGCATTGTCAAGGGCGTGGAAGAGCGCTTCACTGCCGGCCGGTTCGAGAAGGTATATTCTGATGCACCTTGAACAGTACAAACCCGAGCCATCTCTGAAATTGTTTTATTTGCAGGTATTGACTGTGGTTGCGGTTTTGACTAAAGATACACGTCATGTCGTTCTACGTGACGATTGGTCGCACGGCGACGTCCGCACTGGTATGTGCATTATTTTGTTCAACTCCACGTCCTCTGAAGTTGTGTTGTATAGGCGATACTGCCAACGTGATCGGGGAATGGACGACGCCTTCCGCGTCTTCCTCTTCACACGCTCCGATGCCCAGCATCACCGTGTGCTCAAAGCAAAACCTCTTCATTCATCACCCTGACGTTCTGCTCACTGCTACCTCTCTTTCGAACGCCTCCCAGTGTCTCCGGAAACCTCTCCTTTCCAACATGGTGCGGTCGAGTTCTGACGTGACGCCGTCCCTCATTTGGGGAAACATGCTTCACGAAGTGATGCAAACTTGTCTCTCTGTGGCCCGTTGGGACGACAAATTCATGGACAAGAAGATTGCGGAGGTTGCTCAAGCAGGCCTTGGAGAGTTACTGCGAATCGACATGGGAGTGGAGCAAGCGATCATCGAGGTCAAGACAAGGGCCAAGGGCCTCAAAGTCTTCGCAGAGAAATACATCGCTCAGTCGCCTAAAGTAGGGTCTGTTCTTTGGAAGAACGAATGGCATGCTAATAACGTCCTCAGCCTGAGGCGTACTTGGTCAACACCAGAGCTGGGCGCGGAGAATCGTCGCTACTTGCTATCTCGCAGTTGTACGACATCGAAGAGGACATCTGGTCGCCCACGTACGGCCTCAAAGGAAAGATCGACGCTTCCGTCGAAGCCGTGGTACACGACCTGGACGACTCGAGCACTCCTTTCGCCCGCACCGCACCTCAGCTCAAGAAGCACTCGTCCCCGATGCCGTTCGAAATCAAAACCGGTCGCGCAATGGCGGGCATGGAACATCGCGCGCAGACTATGCTCTACACGCTCCTCATGGGTGAGCGGTACGGGGCAGAGGTCCCGAGCGGCCTGCTCTACTATACGCAGAGCGAGGAGGTCGTCCGCGTTCCTGCCGCCAGGAATGAGATACGGGCGCTGATGGTAATGCGAAATGAAATGGCGACCTATATGATGCACAGGCTGCGAGCAACGGCCTCCCTGTCTGTCAAAGCTGAGGACGAGGACCCAGAACAGACTAACTTGGCCCCGAGCGAAGAGCCCTTCCTGCCGCCGACCATCGATGACAACAGGACATGCGGCAAATGTTACACGCTCGATACTTGCATGTTATATCGAAAGGTGCGTCTCTTTCGCTCTCCATATTTCATAAATCTGACACGTCCTGCAGGCCGTCGAAGGGGTCGAAGACGATACCTCTGACATCGCGGATATCTACGCGCTCAAGACCGGGCATTTGTCTCCCTTACAAGCCGCGTTCTTCAAGAAGTGGGAAGCCCTCATCTCTCTCGAAGAGAAAGATATGGTGCGCTTCAGGAAGGAGCTCTGGACGATGGCCGCCAGCGAACGCGAAGAGCGCGGACGATGCTTCGGCGGGATGGTCCTCGACGTATCGTATCGTCCACCGGCCCCGACTAAGGCGGCGAATCAGAAAGAAGGCAAGATCCACCGTCTGACCTACCGCTTCAGGAAGACGGGTGCTGGAGGAGCTTCTCTTCTGAGCGGACACATGGTCACCGGGGACGCGGTGACAGTCTCTGTCGAGCCGGAGTTGCTCGCACTCACGCGCGGATTCATCGTGGAGCTCACGCCCGACGCGGTCGTCATTGGAGTGGACCACGAGCTCGACGAGGAGCTTATCGCAGACCGGCTGCGTAGCATCCGGGGCAACTTCATGGAACAGGTGGTGTTCCGTATCGACAAGGACGAGCTCTTCGGCGGGATGGGGCGCATCCGGGACAACCTCGCCCAGCTGTTCTATGCAGGCGGTGACCCGCGCCGCCTTGAACTCGTCGTGGACCTGGCGAAACCGCTCTTCTCCGAGGATAGTCTTCCGGAGACGACGGAGGTGACTGCGCATTTGAACCAAAATCAGAAGCGGGCCGTGTGCAAGGTGATGCGCGCACAGGACTACGCGCTCATCCTTGGTATGCCGGGGACGGGGAAGACCACGGTAATTGCTGCTATTATCAAGGAGCTTGTGAAGGCTGGCAAGTCGATCTTGCTGTCCTCGTATACGCACTCCGCCGTGGACACGATCTTGTCGAAGCTGGACGATGCAGACTTCGGTATCTTGAGATTGGGTAACCCGGACAAAGTATGTCGTCTTTGATTTATTTAGCTTTGCGCGCGTCGACTAAGCGTGCTGTCAGATCCATCCTGATGTCCAGAAGTATACTATGGCTGCCAGACCGCCAGCAAAGAACATCGAGCAGCTCCAGCAGCAAGTCATGTCACCGCCCGTAGTCGCCACGACTTGTCTTTCCATTGATCAGTACGTCATTCAACTAAGCGTCGCTCACTGGTGCGATATTGAGAAACTTCACAGTCCGCTCTTCTCGAGACGGAGATTTGACTACTGCATTGTCGACGAGGCGTCTCAAATCACATTGCCCACCTGCCTCGGCCCCCTCCGCTTCGCCGACAAGTTCGTTCTAGTGGGTGACCACTTCCAGCTTCCACCTCTAGTAAGTCGCCTGTCTCTCAATGCGAAGACACAGTGATAACAGCCATCTGTAGGTCAAGAACAAGGCGGCTCGCAAAGGCGGCCTTGAGATCTCGCTCTTCCGAAGGCTTTCCGATGCCCATCCAGCAGCAGTCGTCGACCTTACGCACCAGTACCGGATGAACTCAGACATCATGCTGCTGTCGAACAGATTGATATACAGCGATCGCCTGAGGTGCGGCTCGGACGCTGTTGCCACGCAGAGCCTATCATTGCCGAATGCCAAGTTCCTACGCCTCCTTCACGCGAAGTCGACTTGCCACGACACCTGTTGTTGGATGAACAGGCTCATGGCCGAGAGGTACATCGCTTCCTGCATGCGTTCAAGGTCAACGCTGACGAAGTGGTCGATGTGATAGTTGCAAGGCCGTATTCGTCGACACCGACCAAGTGCCCGCCCGCGACTCCCGCGTGGGCGACCTAGTAGAGAACAAGGTGGAGGCGCAGCTTGTCCACCAGGTAACCGAATGCCTCCTCGGATGCGGCGTTAGGCAAGACCAGATTGGGGTGATATCGCTGTATAGGCAACAGCTCAAGCTGCTGTCGTACCTGCTGCAAGACCGGAAGGAGCTCGAGATGCTCACCGCGGATCGCAGTCAGGGTCGCGACAAGGACTGCATCATCATCTCGATGGTGCGCTCCAACGACGACGGCATGGTATGTCTTACGAAGGTCGTTCCGAGCTGCAGTGGCACTGACGCGGGGCATAGATCGGCGAGCTCGTGAAAGACTGGCGGAGGATGAACGTATCGTTCACGCGTGCACGCTCGAAACTCATCATCATCGGCTCGCGCAAGACACTGCAGGGGACGCCGCTGTTGAAGGAGTTCTTCGACCTCATGGACGGGCGAGGCTGGATCCTAACGCTTCCGCCCGACGCGCACCTCATGCACGACTTCGCTGGCGGTACGCCGCGGAAGCGCGCTGCGGGGGAGATGGCCGCGGACGACTTGACTTCGGGTTCGCCGCTGGTCAAGGAGAATGGCGAATCTGGGAGCGCGAAGCGGCGCAAGAACGTGGCGGCGAGCGAGGAAAGCATCTTGAAGGGGCGGCCGTTGCTGCGCGATCTCGTGAACGCGCACAAGTGATTTTGGACTCTGCCGGCTGGACGGTGACCTCTTGGTTGTATCTTGATATTGCGTTATATGTGTATCATTCGTATGCGTCGGGCTCGTATATTCGATAGCCTGACATAGCTCAAACCTCCCGTTGGGTCTCGACGACGGGTTCATCAACTTTCTCGTTGGACTTCGCCTCTTCTCCTAGCGCGACGGCAATGCTCTCAGACGAAGATCGACCTTCGCTCTCCATGGACTCCTTCAGCTTCTCTGACGTCTCCATTGAAGCGCGCGGTTGGGGTTGAACGGCGTGCGGCTCCTCGGGCTCGGAGGAGATCTGCGCTTCCAAGTCCTGTTGCCGATTCCCATTCGACTTGGGTGGGCCATAGGTGCGTTTAACGCAGGTTGGGCGGCAGATGCTGTTTGATGGGCCGACAGATCAGCAGGCTGTGACGATAGTGCAGAACCAGTCAGCATGCGTATCTACGAGTGAACTCATGAAAATCCAAGAGACGTACTGCAATTGACGCGTGTGGTGCTTTGAAGGATTTACCATACGGCGCCTGAAAGTCCAACAATATCAGTCGAAGGGAGAACTTTGGGAGGAAGATGCAGGTGGCCGTACACAACCAAAGAGGTATGACAAAAGGCATGAGGCACAATGCTAGAACCTTGGCGCAAAGATCGTCGAGCGCGACGCCTTGTTTCTGCGCATTTTCCTCTGTATGTCGGTCCCGCGAGTGTCCACGGGTCAGGAGGAGTAGTACAACAAAAGAAAGCCTTCTAGATACGCACGAGGTCCTTCGTCCGACATCGAAAGAGAGGTCTACACGATAGCGGCAAGTAGTCATTTTAGTGCAAATCATCAGCGAGATATATCCCGTGTATCTGCTTCTTTCTTCCACGGGACAACGCTGCGGTGATGCACGGCGCACGTAATCAATCCCGAAGTTGGGCAGTGCCGACAGCGATAGCGTCGGATGCGTTTGATACGGGCAACGTGGGCCGACAACTTCAGGAGCTGCGCGGATATGTCAAGGGACAATCGCGGGCGTCGGGTATGTGCTCGCATTGGCGTGGTAAACGGTTATAACTTTCGTAGTGAGCATGAAGGTCAGACAAGTCTCATGGACGTAGGAATTACATGCTTAGTTATTCGGGTTTCGTGGCCTCCTTCTCCGTTTCCGAGCCGGCCATGTCCTCCACCGCTGTGCTCCCTTCGGACTGAGATGATTCTAGCGACTGCTTCTCGCTATCCATGGAAGGCCTCTGCGACGATTGGGTCGGAACGCCCATCGGTGGCTGAGGGTTTGGCTGAGCGGTGGTCGATAATTCAAGCCCCGTTGCGTCGGCGAGCTGAGAAGTCTGCGCTTCGTCGGACTGGGCTTCAATCTCGAGGTCGACTTTCTGGCGGGGAGTGGAAGTGGACGCAGGGTACTCTGCTTCCTGGACGCAGCCCTTAAAACAAAAACGGCTGTATGTCAAGCCCATCCATAGCGTCAGGACACTGTTCGATAACCAATGAGCATCGATAGTTTGCGGTAGATGTCGGTCGTCACGACCTACCCAAACGACGATGATGGCGTGCCGTACGCAGCTACTCACAACCAACCTGGAAGAACACGTCTCAGCTATGGGTGTCGAGTAGATGCGGCAATTCGACTCTCACAGAGCCATACGGGGACGCAACATGGCAGGCACACCCAGGCCAAGATTTCAGCTGTACGGTCCGTGCATAGTTCTTTGGAGGACTGATGTCTCCTCTTCGTCCCACAACGCCGGATCATCATTGTATATGCTCCCCTGCTAATGGGATAAGTATGCAATGGTCAGGTAGATCACGGCCATGCCGTAGGGGTGGTCAAAGTAGCGTACCGATTATGACCCCGACTTGTGTTACCGACAGTGCAGTGGGGCGGAGTCGAGGGATCTTGGATGGTGAGGAGAGCGTAGGGCGGGGGTGCTGTGAGTCTCCAACGTTCAGGCTGATATCGAAGGGCCTCTGAGAGAAAGGATACTGCGCCGTTATCAACTCGATAGCGATGAAGCCGGAGACGCAGAGCCTCTTTCGAGCGCCCAGATTGATTGCTGAGGATGGAAGATGAGGAGACACGATCGCAGTCAATGACACTCCGCGTGCATCGTTTTATGCGACGGATGCAATGACATGAAGCTAATTTACTGACAGTATCTCATTGCATCCGTTGATGGTCCTGAAGGCACGCCGCGGAAGCGCGCTGCGGGACGAGGTCTTCTGACGGCTTGAAGTCGAACTTGGTCCTCGCAGACCAAAGAGATCCCCAAAGCACTCGTGAGGACCAGGAGGGGCAAGCACGCGGTAGAAAGAAAATCGTAAGTCTTGAGGGGGCGGTCCATGCTGCGCAACCGTGTCGTGAATGCGTACGAACGACTTCGTACTGACGAGCGGCGTTTCGGTGACATCTTGATGTCGCATGCTATGATACATTCGATAGTCAACCAGTGCTCATATATCCCGAGCGCGAGGGTCCTCGATGTCGTGATCTTCGACCTTCTCGCTGGACGTCTCCTCTCCTGCCATGACCGCGGTGCTCGAAGATAAGGATGAAGATTGCCCCTCGCTCTCCGAGCATCCGCGCTGTGAGGGCTTGTCTGAGGTCTCCATCGAAGCGCGGGGCTGTGGTTGCGTAATGCGCGGTCCCTGCGAGACGACTTGTCCTTCGAGATGTGGCTGCCGCTGCTCAGCGCGCTCTATCGGCTCGGAGTATCTGACGCAGCCTTTGTGAGTGCAGCTGTATGAAGTAATCACAGCTCAGTGAGCTATAATGACAGCCCAGCGAATCAGTCAGCTCATGTTTCTGTAAGCGAAATAAGAGGAAACCGAAACGTACTGTGATCACGGCATGGTTAGCTTGCGACGACTTGCCCCATGTCTGAGAATCTGTGAATGTCAGTCCGACAACACGAGACTTGGGGTTGAAAACGCAGGCGATCGTACATAAGATAAGGCCCAGCATACAAGGCAGACAGAACCACGGCAGAATCTCACAACAAGCCTCTTCGGCGCTCCACCTCCTGTCGGGTCGTTCTATATCAGCACCGGATTGAAACAGCGTAGTACACAGTGACGATATGAGTATAGAGTCAACGTGCAGAAAATCGCCGAGTACGCACGAGGTATCCCGGAAAGCATCGCCACAACTTGGGGCGAGCGTGGACTATAGGCCGTCGTGGAACGTTCACGGTGGTGGCTGGGGAGATGATTACGCAAGTATATTCGGAGTCCCTGCAAGATATAGGCAGTACATGAGCTTCTTTATTCCACGGGCAACACTGCGGTGATGCAAGCTGTCAATCTTAGGTGTCGTCGCGGTCAAGGCTGAGAAATATCATCCGCGCAGAGTTCTTCAAGTATGTCGGCGGCGGTAATGAAAGCAGCAGTAACATGTGCCATAGTAGTGTAAGGAGATGATTTCGAGGCGAAGCGAAGGTGGTGGTCATAAGCAAAATCGAGACTAAGCGCCGCCACCCGGGGGAACCTCTCAGCGCGCCAGCCAACTCCGTTTCGTCTCTCTTTGACCGCGACCGCCCTCACTCACACGTTCATCTTCCCCCCGCTACTAATGTAGCAAGTCGTGTTGCAAAGACGAATAAAAAGTCTCTCAAATCATACGGAACAATTATTTATGTGGGTGAGTGGCACATCGCTACATCATAGAATCTACTACTACGAACTTTATAGCTGCATGTGGTCCCATTGGTAACGTCTAGACACAACTACGACCACACCTTGTAGTACAGACAGCGAGGACTATCAAGAAATGAATCCAGATCTATTGCGGTACCTCGGTCGCCGAAGGCTCGGACTCGTATCCAGGTAGCGACTCCGACTCGGAGTAACGGCCGTCCTCCGACTGTCCCACGTACTCAACTTCACCCACGCTCGCACCTTCAGCCAGCGCCATAATTTCACGAGCAAGCCCCGATGGGAGTCGGAGGAGGGCCGTGTTGGCGTCTTCTGTCGACGGTGCGGCGGGTAGCTCCAGGCTGCGTGGCTGCTGGTCCTCCACTGTCTGACCTCCAGGCGGCACTCCGTTGAAGCCTTGGGGACGTAAGGGTGCACGAGCCGACATACGCCGACTCTGTGAGGCTTTTGACTGCAGCGGCAAAGCCGAATGACGAGATGCCCTCCGGCTACGAGCGAACTCGCCGTCGTCTTGCGCGGATGCGCGGCTGCCGTCTTCCGCTCTGCTGGAATGCTGTGTACCAGCTGAGACGACTGTGGTAGACAGCGAGACTGGGCGTTGCTCCATAGCGGTGGTACACGTGGCCCGAGTGTGGTCAGATTGTGTGCTGTGGTGTAGACTTTGGTGGGTATCCAGGGAAATGCGATGTCGTTGCCGCCGCCGACGCCGCCGCCGGAACATCCAGAGCGTTAGGAGTGGTGCCGCAACCACGAAGGCAAGACCCAACACAACGACGATAGGAAGTATCGTGTTGATCAGTCTTCTCGAGGTTATGGAGGAGAATGTCGCGTCAAACGGTCTTTCCGAGCGCCCGGCAGAGGTGGACATCGAGGTAGTGGTAGCATTGAGAAAGGATGTACCGGGTACCCAGGTCATGTTTGGTTTGAAAGAGAGAAATCCGGGGGGCCAGGAACGTGTGGGTCTGCCGCTTTGGAAGGTCGATTGTGCGGGAGGAGGATTTGAGGAGGCAGAGAACGCGGAAGCTGTCGGGACGAAGTATGAAGATCCTTGGCTGCTAGCGGCCGATGGGACGTAGCCATATCCTGAGCTACTCTGACTCTGTGAATCAAGGAATACGATATACCCGAAAAATCGACAATTAGTAGGTGTAACATCAGGATAAAGACCAGTATGTGCTCACCATCATTGGGGAGGTCTGACCTGCCTCAGGAAAAGACGCATAAGTCACCGTGACGGAAAGAGTTTCTGGGACCGCAAACGTGGTTGCATTAGGCACATATGGGTCGCCAGGGAGTTGTGTGAGGGTAAACATGCCCAGGGAATATGGGAGTCTAGGGGGAGGCATGAGGGATATGAAGGTATGCGAAGGTTATATAATGTCGAGAGCCAAACTTGAACGGACATGCCCAGAGCGCGCTGTGCCCTTGCGCACATGCCTTTCTGGCGATGCCGTCAGCCTTGGGCATTCGGCAGCATCGGATGTGAGGCTTGAACTTGAGCTTTGCGCTTTGAAATGGGCACGCTGGCACGCAGAGAAGATGAGAACGCGAACAGAGAACTCGATATCGCAGCGTACCTGTGTAGTAACGAGACACCACCTCAAACCTTTCAGAGGCGATCTTCGTGAAGCTATATACCACACGGCTGCTGACCTGCGGTTAGATATATTGAAGAGGCCTTCGCGGGTCAAGGCTCTCGGATGATGCCAGGACCCGCGCCTCTCCACCAAAGGTTTGTCCAAAGTTTGCATGTCGCACCTTCCATATTTAGAAATTAGCCCTGTCCAGTTTGCATGAGCAAGCTGCCATATTGGGATTAGACGCCCGCTAAGCGCTCGGGGCCTTGTCCGCGTGTTGCATGTCGGAGGCCTTATCATGGTCGGATTATGTTTGTACCTGGCCATGCGCCGTTGCCGTTTGTGCTCCTCCCGTAGCATCATCCACATATTTATATGAGACCGTTCGCCACATATCCTTGGAGGGTGCAAGAGAAATGAAGAGACTTTGTTTCCTCCCTGCCCACTTGAACCTGCTCGCGCGCAAGTCTACTCACGATGGACACGCTGCCGGACTCAGGCTCGTGCATGCGTCGCATACGCAATATCGACTTCTGTAGTCAGGAACTCGAGACTCTGCTACCAAACCGTGTACACAAAATCAGCGGGACCACCCTCGATGCTTTTGCTGCGGTAGCTCAAGAAGTTGCCGACGCGTCTTCCAAGGGACGCAACTTTGCTTTCTTCTCGTCATGGATCCCGGCGATCGTGAGCGGGCGCGAACGCGATGGCGGGCATGCCGGTTCCATAGAGGAACACCTCCTCGCTGCTGTATGAACAGGATCACTCAGTAATTTCGAAGGGAGAAACTAACCTACTTCGTACACAGTGCAAAGATCAAGACCGCGCGGATGCACGCAGTAGACCGCGATGGGCAATTCCACTCTGCGGCGGGGACCCTGCACATTGGGTCCTCGGCTGGGTGGACTACAGCTCCAAGGAATGTGGCGTTGTCGACAGCATTCCCGAGCTAGAATCGGCCTCTGAATGGGCGAAGCCAGTGAGTTGCAATTTGTTAGAGAGCCTGCACTGGTTATGCTAGATGATTACTCACCTTGTTCATATCATGAAGCTTCTGCATGCAAGTATTGATCGCCTACGCGAATCGCTTGGGATGCCAAACATGGACTGGTCAACCATGTCAATGAGTGTGCGCTCTCCGGCGCCGCACGAGCAACAGATGGACAGCTGGTCTTGCGGGCTTTTCGTGATGATTGCCATGCAGACATTTGCTGACAACTGGGAGCACCCACTTCTGGGGGATAGCGCGAAGGAGGCAGTCCGGGCGGGCGCCTTACGCGCGCTGCTGAACGTTCCGTGAGTCTGCGCACTCGACCCTTATCATCAGCACGATGTACTCACACACCGAGCTTACTCCAGCCCGCGACCGTCTCGCATACGACCGCCTCACGCAAAGATACCTCAGGCTGAGGCTGAGGCGATGGCGGTTGACGAGACGAAGTTGCCGGAAGTCGTAGCTAGGCCGATTGGTTCAGCTGCCAGTGCTCAAGCATTGCGGGGCAGCAACTCGGCAGGATCCTTGTCAGACAACTCAGCGCGCGACGCGGGCAGCACGAGCGGCAAGAAGCGTGCACTGACCGAGGTGGTGTCCGACGAAGAGGATGCTGCGCCGCCGGCAGCCAAGTTCCAGAAGGTATCGACGGAGCCTGAGGCGCAAGGATCACATCGTCGGGCACGGAAGACGGCTGCCCAGAGACAACTCGTACTCACCAAGGACCCCTGGACCCGTGAAGTCGAGGCACATCGAGTGCAATGCACGGGGTGTCGCCAATGGGTTGTCCTGAACAAGAAACGCCAGTTTGACGGGGCCAACTGGGAGAGCCATAAGAAGCATTGTAGTCACATCACCGGGATGAAGACCGTACGTCATGCGGAGATAGAGGGGGGTAAGGTTACCTGGAATAAAAGGACGGTCGCGGCGGTGAGTGATCTTGTGCAAGCATTGGAGTGAGCATGTGGTTGACATGAACGTACCAGACTCCATCTATAGCACGTATCTTTCAGACCATCCCAGGTCCTCATTACCCGGCTGCGGGCGTGGATCCAAAAGGCGATACTCGGAAGCCTCGTGTGAAGACTCCAGAGCCTCAACCAGCGCCATGCCAGCATCTCCGTGACGGCGTGTACACGGAGTACGTCCTTCGGACACAGACACGCTCCCTTGGCGGTATATCTCCGAGTTGGCGAGGTCGTATTGCACGGCAGCTGTTCAGGTACAAGCCATTCCCTCCCCTGCGTAGTGAACAGGGCCCGGAAGCGGCCTCGGGATCCACAGCTCCCCGTCCCAGTGTGCCATCGGATGGGAATGCCGAATGCGAGGAGAAAAAGTGGACACTGAGGGAGCAGCTGGACTTGGATCATGCTCTTGGAGGTTGGGCGCGTTGGACTGTGGACTACGGCCGGCAGCTTGTGAAGTCGACCCGATGCGAAGGCACAACGATGAACGAGAGCGGTGTCTGCGATGCGTGCCAGACGCTGGGTGAGAAGGATGCGGGTTTGAAAAGATCTATCACGCGGGTTTGTACCTATTTTTGCGTTGTGCCGATTGTGTGCTAAGAACGACTTATAGAAGAACAAGGAGTCGGAACTACCTGAAGAGGAGCAACGCCATATGAGTGTGCAGAGAGACAAGTACGCGCCCCTTACCGTATTCAAGTCGACTGAGGCGCGCGACTTGCGGCTCAAGATGGCAGATCCCGTGATCTTTCCGCTGGTGCAGCTGCTCGAACGCGGCGACGTTGCGGGTGCCTTACTCTCCCTCTACCAGCGAGCCAAGGAAGGTGGTCTGGCGAAATACCAATCCTTCATCGATATCTGCGCCGTCTTGGATGAACAACTAGCCCGTGCAGAGAGTGATAGCCCCGGCGCCAAGAAGGGCATCCGATACACTCAAGACTACCTGAACTTCATGACGATGATGCGTTCGTATGGGCAGCAATCGGGTCAGCAATATAGTATATTGACATCTCAGATTGGCGGGCCATCCCCGCGTACCCTTCAGTATGTGTTGTGCTCATTTCGTGCGATGGATCATAGCGCGGGTCATTCTGACATCTACGCGCAATCACACAGGAAAGTCATCAAGCGCTCTCCAGATGTCCTCACCAAACCAGATCTTGACTTTGAGAATGTCGCGCGCGTCAAGCGCCTTATGGACATTCTGAAGTATAACGGCCCCGTTGCCGTGGCGGGCGACTGCACCAAAGTACGCCAGCGCCTCACATACTCGAACGATCACGGCAGCCATGTTCTCGGCTCTACACTGCCGTTTGAACAGTGCGCCGTTGCCGACACTGAAGAGATCTCACGTCTGGTCAAGCGGATTGGAGAGGAGAAGCAATATGCTTCTCAAGTGCGCGCCATTCTGATCAAGGTGAGCATGCCATTCACCATTGTAGCAGCACTATTCACTGACTTATACTGCATGGCACTCGGAGATCCCTTTGCCCCATATCCCACCCATGGTGATAGCCCTCCGCCCAACGAAGGGAAACGACGATGCAATGGGCATCCATGCGCTGCACCTCCAGCTTCTCGAGATGGCCCGCCAGCTAGGCATCAAGGTTGTCTCGCTCTCCGCTGATGGCGCATCCTCCGAGCAGGGCGCACAAAGTCTGATGGACCATAGCCAAACAACACATGCGCCTATTGCGTACGAGTACAAGCACTACGGAATCGAGCTCCGCGCACCTGTTCTAGCGACTGGGCCATTGATCTCATGCCAGGACCCCCAGCACGCCCGCAAGACCAGCCGAAATCAGCCTCAGCATGGTACACATACAGCCAGCCTCGGGCGTGGTGTAATGGTCAATCGTACCCTGGTATCTTTGCAAGAGACCGGTACCTCAGGTCTGGTGCGTCGCGATATCGAGAACGTGGACAAGCAAGACGACGGCGCCGCGCGCCGCCTCTTCCACCCCACAGCGCTTCAGGCTATGACGAAAACGGACGAGAAGGGCACGTTATGCGTGCACGACGAGTTCCGGGGACTTTTTGTTTATTTATTCATACTTGGTACGTCTTACTTCCGACCATCGCATCATGACTGCGTAGCATGATCTACTAAACTTTGTACGTCTAGGAGAGCTTTTCGATGCCTGGCTCAACCGTCGACTGGCTGCTCACGAGCGCGTGCTTGCTGCTCTGCGTGCTCGTCTCTTCCTCAACATATGGCATCACCACATCAAGTCCATGGAGCGTCGCTTTCCCGATCTATACAAGCCCCATCGCGCGTTCATCTCTCCTGCAAGCTTCAACATCTTCAATCGACTCTGTGATACCCTCATCCTACTCATCCTCGCGTACGACCGCTTCTACCCGGATCAGCCATTCTGCCCCTGGCTCCTCGGCACTGAGTTCGTCGAACACTTCTTCGGCCTCGCTCGAACCTTGCTCCCGAACTTCACCTATGCGGAGCTCTTGAAGCTAGTCAAGCATGTGATGCTTCGGCAAACGATCCTGCTCTCTGGGAAGGTCAGTGCAAAGAAGGAGCGCACTTCGCGCGTTGGATATGCACTCGACTACGACCCTAGTCCGCTGACACCTGAAGAGCTCAAGAACGCACGAGTCCGCATGCCAAAGGCCGTGCTCGACAAGCTGGTCGAGCTCGCATATAAGGAGGCTGCCCAGATTGCCAAACAACTCCTTCGCATGCCGGTCCCCGTCCTTCCCCTCAAGCACATCCCCCTCCGAGCCCCCAACCCCAGCTCCAGACGCCGCGCACCCAAAAACACTGTCCAGGAAGACGAGGAGGATACAGCAGACGAAGAGGACTTAGCAGACGGCGACTCAGACTCCCTAGCAGACGACGCAGAACTTGGGGAAGATTCGGATGAATCAGATGACGAGGATGGCTCGGGCGAGGACGCTGCATCTGGTCCCATTGCTTGTATCGCCGTGACTGGTAGCACCGCCGCACCTCTCGCGCAGGCGGCCGACACGTCCTCGGGTCTCGGAGATTCCGGTCTTGCTGCACTTGCTGAACAAACCGCAGATGCTGCCGGATACACTGCGCGCTATGCAGCGCTCTCGGAGGACTTCGACGCGGCGATACAGGAGGTATCTGCAGCATCGGATCCGACCCTATCAACGCTGTGTGAGGCGACTTCCCCTCTCCCCATCGTGACTGCAGTGCCGAAGCCGTTCATAGGACCACTCCCTCCTCCCATTCCTCCCTCGCCCTCAACGCCCTCTGAGTTGATGGATGCGCTCTCTCCCAAGTTAGGGAGCCGGATTCTCGACGACAACAACAAGGTTGTGGTGCAATCCATGCTAGACATACGCGTCAAAAACCAGTCGAGCACGCGGACTCGATCGGAGCGGGTCGTCATGCTCGACCCAAAGTTCGCGCTCAGCCGCTTGAGCAAGCCCAATGAGAAGATGTCCATGCGGGAGGGTTCGCATCATGTCCGCGTCTTGCAGGACCTAGCGTCGTCCGCTGTAAAGCCCGTCAAAACAGCGCGCGAACAGCGTTGGAATGAGACTGCGCGGCAAGTGCAATTGATCCTTCGGGAAGAAGGTACGCCCCAAATGATCATGACGCTGTTCTGTATTCTAGCCGCTAACTACTATGACAACAGACCTTCCGAACCTTCATAGCAAGAACGTTACGAGTATCAATCCGCTTCGCCCGGGAGCACTGTTGATCATGAAGAATGAGGCTCGTACATACCTTGGTGAAGTACTCGATATCTATAAGAAATCAAACCGCCGCCATGGATCCCTCGACATGGCATCAAGTACATCTGGCCTTTCTTACCTGTCCCTTCGCGTGTATCTTCAACATCTGCCAGCGGTACGTTCGGATTTGATGTTCATGCAGCAGTGTTACAACACTTATTAATTCGCACACAGGAGTTGGCACTGCACTCCACGCCGAACGACGACGAAGACGCTGAACTGCCATCGGACGATGAAGATGAAGACTTTGAAAATTCGATACCGCCGTTCTCGTGTCGCAGCGGAACCGTGGATATCCATACCCATGCGCCCGCCGATCACCTACTCTACAACCTCGGGACACTAGCTAGCTCTGGTCCCCCCCATCTACTAACACTCAAGCCGTTCGCGGTGGCTCGCTGGCGTGCATTGACACAAAAGAAGGTGCAGGAGAAGCTGATTATCAGGATTCCAGCGAAGGTGAATATGGCGGCGGCGGCGGCGGCGGCAGCAGCGACGAGTCCTAGTATATAATCAGCTAGCGTCTACTACCTAGTACTATAATTACATGCTCAGGGTACTGTACGTCCGTGTCTCTTTCTTACGCGGTAGCGAAAACAGACTACAGAGTCCCCGACATATGTTTCATGACATGACCCAATTAGGTGAGTCACGTTACGTGACATTTTGTTATTTAGTGACGTTTTGTGACAATCCTTGTCCGATTTTGCATGTCCGAGGGCCAAAAGTTTGCATTTTCGAGGCCGAAATGGCCGGTAAAAATGGACAAACCTTTGGTGGAGAGGCGCGGGTCCTATGATGCCCATAGACACCGTGACCGTGTAGGAAGAAGACGAGGACACTCTGGGCAACGGCAAGTACTACCAACCTCCGCGCAGTGGTGCGAAGACGATGCCGACAGCTTTGCGCAGAAACTCAATTTGGCGACGAACATTGGCAATGATGGCAGCACTTTCGTCAGGTAGTCAAGTCCGAAGCTGTGCGGCGACACACTTAACAGAGGTGTTCGAGCTGCGCTGCAACACTATCTGAACGGGGGCATGAGTGATAAGTATGATGGACCGTCATACTGGGAATGCTGTGTACGCACCATACAACCTCGGCATGGTCTAAAAATGACCGTCGCGCTACTTTGCAGCTCGAAGCACAACCCCGGTAGCGAGGGTGAAGTTTCTATCCCACCTCTGAGATTATGCGCATAGTGCACCATCGTCGAGTACTACCGGGGACCCTTTGCTGATGGAACACGAGAGGGTGCCCGTTGTCGAGTTTTGATGTTCTCAATGGCATATATCTTAAATGACAGCAGTGCTCCGGGCTTGCAGGACAACGCTGACTCCAACGGCTTGAGCAGTGTAACGAGCGTTGAACTCCGCTTTCTAAGTCTGCCGGCGTATGAGTCAAAGAGCTGGCATACCGGCGTTATGGGCGCGCTCGTCGACGTTTGCAACGTCCCAGACGATGCTCTTTACGCTCCTCGAGCTATCCTTAAAACATGTTTAATCGGCCTGGTTACCTCAAAACTCTTCGAATCCCCAAATTCTCTCGCTGGCGCCTCAGCAGGAGAGCTGTGATTGACGGTCGCCCCGAAGTATGGAAAGGTGTCAAAGACGGTAAACAAATCTGTTTGATGCCCAAGGCGTGGTGACGAGCCTGAGTTGTGAGACGGCCACGTTGCATGCCGAGCTGCGGTCGGACACACATAGCGTGTACATCAGATACATCTATTGAGATGTCAGTATGGCAGTGCGCTTGAGTACCAGTGCAACCCGCACCGTTCCGTACCATCAAATGTGCAAAGAACGTCGCAGTGTGTTGCCGTCGAGTGTTGCAAAATGTAGTACTGGCCGCGGTACTAGTATAACGGCCCGCAGTGGAAGCCTATTGTGAATTTATATCGTCGGCTTGGAGTTCTTCAAGACGTCGGTGGCATCAATGAGCGCAGAACTAGTATACTCGATTATGTAGAGATACTTTGGTGATCTCAATTCGGAGCGAGGGCGATGGTCGTAGAAAAATACAACTTCCCGAGCGGCGCTAGAGGCCAAGCTTGCTAGTGGCGGAACCCACGGGAACTTGCGCGTCGGTGGCTGTGCCAACTCCATCTCTCTTCATGACCGTGACGATATCGCCCACTTAAGTCGTGTTCGTCCTTTCACTCACTACCATCTAACGCTAGAACAGACTATCTGGATATACTTGCTAGCTCATCTGCTTGACCAATCGCGGTCTTACGAGCCCGCGGGCCGCCACCGACGGTGCCAGTGCGCGCTACAGCAACGCCGTGATTTCGCCAACTTGAATACCTTTCAAGACAGTGCGCGCAAAAGCGACGACATGTCTGTCCTTGGGGCTTCAAAATCAGGTAGCATCATGTTGGCCATATATAAAACAGAGGTGAGTAATGTATCGTAGGTATCATGGGATTACAACGGCTGTCACGAACGGTAGTCCAGACTCGGAGAGCGAATGTTATCAAGAAGGAGATCTATGAAGATCTGCCAGTGTTCACCTCAGAGCCGGAAGGCTCGGACTCGTATGCGGGCAGCGATTCCGAGTCTTGACCATTTTCCGACTCTCCTGCGTATCTGACCGCACCGGCGTTTGCACCCGCCACCAGCGCCATAATTCCCTGAGCGAGGCCAGCAGGGAGTCTGAGGAGGACTGTGCTATCCGCCTCCGTCGAGGGCGCTGAGGGTGCGTCTCGTCGTGCCGGCGGTATCTGCGTCTGCGCCCTAATGAATTCTTCATTCGAATTGGGGCCCGGATGCGTATAGCTAGGGCTTCTCCGCGAGCCTTTGACTTGGGAAGACGCAGCCCATGGGCGAAGAACGTCGCTCCCGCTTTGAGAAAGTGCACTGCCGTCCTGCCCGGACGTGCTACCGTCGTCCTCGGCTCCAGCGGATTGCTGTGCCATAGCAGAGGTGACACCGTTCGACGTTGATACCTCAGAGTGTTCTGCCATGGCGACGCAGGTGCGCTGTGGCTGCGTGTCGTCATTTCGAAACTGACTGACGCCCTGGACTACGCGGCGTCTCCGTCGTCGTCGATGAATACAGACCGCAAGGAATAGGGCTGCGGCTACGAAGGAAAGACCTGATACGATGGCGACGGGGATGATGATGTTGTTTGGCGGTCCCGAGTGGGAGGCCGGTGGGTTCGAGATGATGGTTCCGACAGAGGTTATATCCGTGGAAGCGCGAGTTCCGGTGAGGACTGGGAGATTTGAAGAAGAGGTTTTTGTCGGTGTGACAGTGATGCTCGGGGAGAGGTTGTTGTTAAAGTCCGTAATGCTCGTGATAGAGGTAGAGCTAATCGACGCCTGTGAATAATGAGCATGAGGATTGTCAAATGCCAGCAATCAGTGCCCTGTTGAGACGCAGATTGGCATACACTTACGTTCGCAAAAGGGTCGCTGGTGCCAATACAGGCTGGAGTACAGTGGGTGATCGTACCGGGATCCACAAAGACTATGGATGCGGAAGAGAAAGCACTTGTGAAGCGAGGGCCCAGTGCGAGCATGGGGACGAAGTGTTCGAATATCGAATGCAGCTTGTGGGTCGTTGAGGGAACCAGAGTACTTCGAGAGCCCTTTGTCTGCGTGCGAGCAACCTTGATATGAGCCTAGAATCAGGGAGCTGAGACCAAAGTACATCTGCAGAGTGCGATGCTCAAAGCCGATCACTGATACGTCCAACGCTTGAACAAGTGGCAACTCATCAACTAATTCCGAAGATGGCAGAGTCGGAACTTTGGTGGAGCTTGTTAAAGTTGTTATGCCGGATTAAGTGGTGAGGAAGATGTTCGACCTTTTAGGCCTGTTGAAGTGCATGTGGCTGTTCCCTTGATTTGAATGCTAAAGACCTATAAGGGCATCTTCAGTTTTGACAGATCATGTCTTGACGGTGAGCCCAGATACTCGTTATCGAAGGTTGGCGGTATATGGGCGTGGCGCCGAAGTATCACTTGGCGTGTTAAGTGAAAACTTGAAGCGTGCTGCGCCGCTCTACGGCAGTGTTCAGATGGGTTGACGCGCACACGTGTCTAGAGTGAGTAGGGCATTTCCAGCGACTACACAACGCCGCCGGAGTTCTGTGATGTAGGTGAGGGAAACGTCCGCAGTCACTCATCATCTAGTCCGCGTTGTCCAGCTTCGGTCCAGGCAGCGGACGTCTGCGCGAGCGGAGATGTGACGACCGCTTATCCGACGCTCTCTCGTTTCAAGCTCGACCTCCACTTTCTCTAACTCTGGCCTGATAGTGTTATACAACAGGACGTGAAGGAGCAACATCGGTGAGCCAATCAGGTGCGGTAACAGACGTCCACGCGACCATAACAACTCACTGGCAAGCTTCCCGGGCCGCCGCGCGTTGAGGCAGGAGAATTGGATGCTATCAAAAGTCAAAGTGGAGTGTGCGCACAGTACTAAACAAGTAAATTCAGCATGATCTGGAAGACAGCCACGACCTGTAGTTCGATAACAAACGACTTCAAGAAGCGGGTCGGAATCTGTTCCCATCGAAGGTTGAAGGCCCAGTTTCGTAGGCGGGCAAGCTTTCCGTGCCCTGGCTCTCCTCAGGCCCTGACACTCCCGCAGCCTGCCTGATCCCGCTCACGTTTGCGCCTCCTACCAGCGCCACCAGTCCCCGAGCAAGATCTACAGGGAGTCTGAGGAGAACTGTGTCCGACGTCTCCACCGTGGCCGTTGGAGCGGGGGGTACCGGCCCGTAGTAGCGCGGCAGCGGAAGTGTCTCGGGCCCTAGCGATGCTCTGTCAACAGGTCGAGGCCGCAAGGCGGCACGAGCGGGCAGAGAGCTTCTTTGTGCGGTTTTTGCATGGTATGGTGGGCCCCAGGGAGCCGGATGGAGGCTCGCGGGGTATACGCTACCGGCTCGCGCGTCCGCGCCGCCGCCGTGAGTGGCTGCAGCAGAATGGCCCTGCGAAGGGCCTGAGATGACTATGATGGAAGAAGGGGGGAGCGACGTCTCGTGCTCCGTCGTGGCGCCGCTACGCACGCCGGCGGCGAGCAGATCGCTGTGGTATGGACTCGGACGCCATTCGTCGACGTGATACATCGCGCCGATATGCGACGTATTGTGACGTCTCCGTCGGAGGACATAGAGAGCTGCTGCAGCGGAAAGGAAAAGGCACAAGACGACAACGGGGATGGAGATGATGACACCGATAGGTGGCCCTGCGTGCGTAGAGGAACCCGATGTGACTCTGGTCGACGGAGCCGCAGTGGAGGCGAAGGTAGAAGACGATGATCCAATGGCAGACCCTTGGGACGAGCTCGGGGTTGTGGCCGAAGCGAGGGTGACGCTGCTAGTAGAGTTTTCGGTGGTCACTGACCCGGGAGTCGCAGAAGTGGATTCAGCGACAAACGGAGTAGTGAGGCTCGAGCCTGGACGTTGAAGCGCAGGTGGAGTAAGCAGGCTGGTGCTGAAGCTTGATGACTCCACCGAACTACCGGGGCTGAGCGTGTTTGTGGGGCTGAAGGCGCTTGTGAGACCAGGCGTGTTTGTGGGACGATTAGTGGACGTGCGGAGAGAGCTTGCATTCGATGTGGATGTCTCAAAGCGCTGACTATCAGTCAGAAGCATTGAGATGCTGGGAGTGATACTCACAGAGGAATCGGAGGCGGATGTTTGAGCACACAGTCCCCAACCCGAATCACAATCCGCCATCGTCAATTCGGAGCGACTGGCAGCAGGGATAAGGTAAGGATGACACGAGCGCGAAAGGCAGCGAAGGGGTGCACGAGCACGGCGGCGACGTAGGTATCAGTAGAAGTCTGTCGGGATAGTGAATGAGAGGTCCAGTCAATATTTTATAGCGAGTGCACTCGATGCCATCAGAATACTTTACCTGTGTATCGTATGCACCTGCTCAGAAGAGGTGAGCACAATCAGACGAATGGAAATCATATCGCTACATGCACCTCAGTGAAGACGCCATAGCACAAGCTTAAGATGAAATGACTGCTAGGTTTGGCCCGCGCGCAACAGTGCACGGGAACTCGGATATGATCGTCGTTGCCTTCTGCGGTGTCCAGGGCTGAATATGGATGGCGTCGTTGACGACCGCACTGCTTTCTGGCGGTTCGTTATGGTTATGACCACCCTGCCATGGAGGGTATCCTGGGAAGGAATTATTCATGGACATGAGCTAGCTGC